CTCGAAAACCAAACCCACCACTCTGCTTTGATTTGCACATTGATTTCCAAGCAATCCAATGAATTTTCCGTTTTTTCTCACAAGCATTCCACCAAAAAGCTGACATCGCACTTGTGATCTTCTTACAATGGTGCTTTGTCAACCTGAAGCACGACATCGCATATACCGGAAGAGCCATCGCCACCAATTTGAGTAGGATCTCCTTACCACCCAGCGAGAGTATTTTAGCATACCAGCCACTCAGCCTTTTGTGTAACTTTTCACCAATGAAAGCTAGGAGTTGTTGTTTTGAACCACTAGAACACTCCGGCAAGCCCAGATAAGTCCCCGCACCTCCCTCTTTATCAATGTTCAGGAGATTTGAAAGCAGCCTGCGAGAAATCGGATCAATGTCTTGACCCAAAAGTGATCGAGGATTTTTGGAAGTTAATCGCTTGACCAGATGAATCACAGTACAGCTTGAGGCACCTCAAAAACTCAGAACATTCTCTAAGCGAAGCTCGGCAAAGAAACAAACTGTCATCTGCGAACAACATGTGTTGAATCGAAGGACATTTTGACGAAAGTTTCATAGCACAAATTCTTCCTTCTAATTCGGCTTTGCTCATAATGTGGACTAAGGCTTCAGCACACAAGATAAAAAGAAAAAGAGATAATGGATCACCCTGACGGATGCCTCTTTCGGGTTGGATGTGCCCATGTTCCTCACCATTCAGCAAAACCGTATATGAGACCGACTTAATACAACTCATTATCCAGGAAATCCATTTTGCAGCAAAACCCATTCGCAGCAGTAAAACCTCCAAGAAATCCCATTCCACACGGTCATAGGCCTTTGACATATCGGTTTTAATGGCTATGCAGTTTGGATTAGTTCTTAAACCATGGACTATTTCGTGGGCAATCAATAAGTTATCGGCTATCAATCTGCCTGATACAAACGCACCTTGTGTGGGAGAGACCAAACTTGGCAAAAACCTTTTGAGGCGATTACATAAGATTTTTGAAATAATCTTATACGTAACCGAGCACAGACTGATAGGCCGAAGGTCAGTCATTACATTTGCTTTAGGTTTCTTCGGCAGAAGAGAGATTTAAGTAAAATTCCACCCTTGAGGTAGCTGACCTGTTGCGAAGAACTCCTTCACCTCTGCAATAACGTGTGTGCCGGTAATGTCCCAGAAGTGTTGAAAAAATTTGCCTGTCATACCGTCTGATCCAGGAGAGCTATCATTCTTGATGCTGCGCACAGCTCTGTTGATCTCCACATCCGTCACAACTTTAGTGAGATCTCTATTCATCTGCTGAGAAACTTTTGTTGGGAAACCCTCAAGTAGTTCATCGTGATCCGTCGAGCCAGAGGATTTAAACAATTTGGAGAATTATTCAACTCCAATATCGCCCTTCTCTTTCTCCGAAAACCTTTCAACACCATTGTCATCTATCAGTTAGGGAATGTTGTTTTTCATCCGCCGAGACTTAACACTGCTGTGAAAAAACTTGGTGTTTTTGTCCCCTGCAATCATCCATCGTTCCTTACTTTTTTGCTTCCAATAGCTCTCCTCTGCTTTGATAGCCTGCATCAACTCCACTTTCAAGGTAGCTATCTTTTGGAAATCGAGATGAAGCTCTGCAGATTCACCGTCAATCTCAGCAGTCAGCCTCTGGATCATCTTCTGAGAGTTAAAATTACTACTCCTCTTCCAAATTGCTAGAGCTTTACGACATGTCGAGATACTATCAGCAACTCGTCTCGTGCTAGTACGGTCCGGAATTGACCAGCTGTTCCGAACCACTTCCACTGCTTCTGGACTATCACACCAACGCTTGTCGAATATGAACCTGCCTCTCCTTACTGAATCTGCAGGTGCGACCTTGACTAAAAGAGGACGATGATCAAACCAGGTTCTTTTCAAATACTCAGAGTGTGTTCTTGGAAATAACCTGAACCATTCAGAATTCCCAAACGCCCTGTCTAATCTGCATTGAATCCATACCAAAGCCTTTTCACCATTCGCATTTATCACTTCACGGTTATCTCCCCAAGAAAGTTTATTACCAGAGCTGGGAATTTCCTTGATGCGACACTCACGAACCATACGTCTGAACGGATAGAACGAGTACTCCGCTCTAGGTGGGCCTCCAAGCTTTTTTGTGTTGTTCATAATTTCATTAAAATCTCCTACAACACACCACGCATCATCTCTACTAATCCCAATATTCGTCAATTTTTGTCATACATTGCCACACAGATGGCTAACTAGGTCTCCATACACAAATGTCATGAAGAAGTTCCGACTTCCCACTTCCACCCTAGTATCGATGATTCTGTTATCCAAAAATAGCACATCCACCTTATGTGTCTGCCTCCAAAAAACCACCACTTAGACCCACAGAGTTCACAAGGAAGCTGTGGTCAATACCTAACACTCTTTGAACATACAACACGTGATCACTAGAGCTTTTAGTCTCTAGGAGAAACACAAAGTCCTGGAAATGTTCACGACACATTTCCTTTAGGCGTCGAACCGTCGGGTCATTCCTCAACCCCCGACAGTTCCAAGCGAGTGTCGTCATATGGACGGATTGGATGGTTTCTGGTAAACCATCAAACCTGGAGATTGTTTGGATAGTTTAGACGTAACTTCAGAGCTGTCGACTGCTTTCCTCTTAGAAGGATGCTCTGGGTCTTGGTCCTGAACCTTGGTTAGAGTAACACCCTGTTTCGCTCTCTGCTGTCTGGACCAGCGTCCAGAGTTAGACTTTTTGCTTCTGTTACTAGTGCCGGAAGAGCTTGGTTGAACAGAACCGATCTTAAACTCACTCGTTTGTAGCGGTGGAACAAAGAAGCCTGACCCTTCTTGTAACTGTTCAGCCGTCTGTGGTAAGGGATCCGTAACACCATTCATATGACCCATCATAGCATCTGCCAAAGGTGGATGTACTTCCTTTGCAATTGGATTAACCGAATTTTCAGCGCCATCATCCTTTGGACCCGAGGGAGAAGGATCCTGATTCCCATTACTGGCACTACTATCTTGAAGCTGATTTCCTCGTTCAGTACTTTGAGGAGGTATAAGGGAAGCATCATCCCTCTGGTTACAACCATAAGGTAGAAGAGAATCATCCTCTCTCCAGTTACGACCAGAAGAGGTTTCCGCTAAAGCCATCTGCTCATTCTCTTTGATCACCGGAGATGCTGTGAAGACGGGAGGGGCCTCTAGCCGCAAATAAGATCGTTGCACCACTGGATCTCTGGATAATTTGTCTAGCGTCTTCTTCATCTTCAGTTCCCGAAGGGAGCGTTCTGATGGATCACCCGAAGACATGTATATAAGCATTTGCTCAAACACTTCAGGAGCCACGAGGTTTGAGTGAGGGCTGAAGCCAGGAGGAATTGTCGGAGCCAGCATCGGCATAATCTGCTCAGAGAGGTTTGAGTGATGCTGACGAGCAGTAGCGTTGTGCTGTTGCCGCATGTTCTGTTTACCCGAAGCTTCCACACTTTGAGTTTTGTTACGCTGAAGAAGTGGACATCTCTGCTTCTCATGGGTTAGGCGAGAACAATTGAAACAATTTTTAAATTTTCTCTCATATTCAATCTCCACAATTGCCACCTTACCGCCAGGTAGATTCAGAGATTTAGCATCCCTCACTGGTTCATCCAGATCAATAGCTACACAAATTCTAACGCCAGCTTGCAAAAGAGGTTTTGCAGGATCGTAAGCAATTTCCTTAACGTGACCAATACGGTTCGCAACCGCATCAATAGTCGCCAGAGTGAAGTAGTTCACAGGAATCTTGTGTAGTTTGATCCAAACCGGGGCTTTCTTTAGAAAGTCAGCAGGAGGGTTCTCTACCCATCTCTCCAGCACCAGACCCCACTCATCAAAGGTCCAAAAACCAGCCTTAAGGACTGTATTCATATCCTGTTCCCAATCAAATATGAACTGGAATGTATCATTAGTGAGAGCTACACCTTTCACACGCTCATATATTCTCCAAATTCTCGGCATAGAGCGTAGCATTCTTGCCATGTTTTGAACATCAAGATTCAACAATCGACCAATCAAACTTCTGGCGCTTCTTTCAACCGCACAGAAAGCTCCATCCGCCGGGATATCAATCGGAAGATCTTCCTCCAAATTCATCGACTGCATTGCTAAATTCAGAGAGCTATCCATGAGCAGTAAAAACAGGGAAATCCGAGATTGGAAGTGTAGATAGTCGCTTGGGTTCTTGAACTGCGAGACAATACACGGTTGCTGACGGCCCTGAAATCCTAGGATATCAAGCTCACGAATCATTCGGAAAAGGAAAGGGACCCCGTAATGGAAGAGAGAAAGGCAAGTTTGGGTGGGAAAAAGGAAAATTCCTTTTTAAAAAACCGACCGACAAGAAAGACTCCTTCCGGAAAAGAACTTCAAACCCTCTAGACGGGTTAGAGGGGCTTAAACAAAACGGTTCAAGTTTCCCATTATGAATACAAACAGGAAAAATATTTTGAAATAATCTTATACGTAACCGAGCACAGACTGATAGGCCGAAGGTCAGTTATCACATTTGCATTAGGTTTTTTCGGTAGAAATCGTGGTGAAAAGACTAGTTAGAAAATGATTATTAATTTTTTTTTTTTAAGTTGGGGAGGTGGTGTTAATTTACCATTTTGAGTTTGAGTATGGATCATGAGGGGTAGTATTGTAAATACAGCTGAGACAAGCAACGAAAGTGATGAGGAGGTCAAGCGTTCAAATACTTACGTGACAAAAAAACAAGTCATAGCCAATGTTAGTTGGCAAAATTAAATATGAAATCGACATTAATACTTATATCTATGCCATATCTTGATAAAACACACAGATTATAAAATCAAAAAGTGAAGAAATTCACGAAATAAAAAGCGTTGCTATTAACATTTATTGCAACTAGTAAAAGCTGTACAAAATGAATTAGGAAGTATTGTTTTGACAAAAACAATCATAATTCAAAGTGAACAAAAATTACAAAACCAAAAAGCAATGTTTGTATAAATAATTATTGCGACAATTCCTTACAAACAATCATCATCAAATATAGTAAAAGTTCTCTCCTTCTGACAAAATAACCATAATTCAAAAAAAATTGCTCATAAGCTAAGAAACATGCCAATCATACATACAATACCTATGCTAATCAACGAGTAATGTATTGAATCTCAGCTCGTTCTTTCAACCATTCTAGCACTTTTGCACCTTCTAAAATCTCTTGTACCTAACCACCAATTCAAGACGAGTCTCTCTCTTTCAGTTATCTTTTTTATTTGTGCAACCATAGTAAAAAAATAATGACAATACTTAGATTCAAACTAACCTGATCTTTCACACGTTCCTCGTCGTACTCTTGTTTATGTTTCTTGAATTCTGTGATGGAGTTCTCGACCTCTTTAAGTAGTTCATCTGTTGAGAACTGCATTCAAGAATTTGACAATGTTTTTTTTTTTACTAATTTTCGTTTTGTTCCTCTCTCTGAGACTGTGAGACAAGAGTATTAAGCATATAAAAATACCTCTAAGTTTTCGCGCTTGAAGATATCTCCAACAGCCAAATTCTGCTTGATTATGTTGGTAATGCTCTCTCTTTGAGTTTCTAGAAACTCATTTACTGCCTTTTGACTTGAAAGAGAAGCCAATTGCTCTTCGGTGAGCTTCATGTTTCCCTATAGCACCATGTCATTAAACATTAAATATCTGATTGACCGTAAAAGACAGAGAGAGAGAGAGAGGAAGATTCCAAAAATGCCTTGCCTGGATCTCTAGAAGCCTAGCTCCATAAAATTGTCTTCCTTGTTCCTCAAATAAAGATTGAGGAATCTCTACTTCAACCATCTGAAACACACAAAAAAGAAGAAGGAAAGGATAGTGTTTTGAGGATCACGCAGATCAACGATGCTTACTGCTTTAGATGCTTTATGAAATTTAATGATGACCTTTCGAATCCTGTCAAGGATGGCGTTGTCTGTTGCTTGCTCCTTGGCTTCCTGCTCCATCTCTTGGCATCTTTTAATCAGAGTTTCTTCAACCTGTTTATTTGTTTCATTAGACAAATACAGTTAGAGAAGGCAATCTTTTTTGTCTAACTTGTTGAAAATGAACTCCCTGTGTTCATTACCTCCTTTAAAGTGGTGCATCCAGGGAGCAATTTATCAGCAAGTGAATCATCTAATGCTGGTAAATCTCTGTAGAATAGTTCCTTGCAGTCGACCTAAAGAAAACAGACACGATTAGCTTATCTTTTACTTCATGTCTGCTCGTATATTGCAGAAGAACTCACAGTGAACTGAGCACGTTGGCCACGAAGATTTTCTTGCTTCCATGATTCAGGAAACACAAGCGCGAATGACTTTGATTCGCCTGCTCGAATTCCCAAGATTGAATCAAGGAATCCAGGAAGTAATCTATTCCCTTCTTCTGTGTCAAAATGAAAACCTGTACACAGACCCCGCACATCTCAGCATTCATTAGCAAAACAGGAAGGATTGGTATCAATGGAGTAAAAGATAATGGCTCTGTTACCTTTGCTTTCAGCATCTGGAATCGCTTGACCCGTTGACCCGTCCTCATCTATAGTTGTAGCAGATATATCAATGACGGCAAAATCTCCTACCTGCACGGTTTGCAGAGTTAAATATGAACTAATGTAACTCACATCTTTATCCTACTTAGATATAGTGGCTGATCTTAACTGTCTAGTTGCAGAACAACACTACAAGTATATGTGAAGTTATGCATTCAGTTACCTGTAGCCCTCGATCAGTTACAATCTTTAAAGCACCAAGGGACTTGTGTTTCTGTCTTAGTTGTCTTTCACAAGCTTTTTTGGCGTCTATCTCATCGCCTAATTCTACAACGATCTTCATATCTTTATACCCATTCTCAGGATTCCATTTCAACTCAGGCACGACATCAACAACCACCTCATAACTGAGGAACAAAATAAAAACAGAAAAAAAATGTAAAAGTTAGAAAGCAAGCAGCCGTTGTTCGGATTCTCGCATATATGAAGATTAAACAAAAAAAACCTAAGGGTCTTGAGCTGAGAATAAGCCTTCTCCATAACTGGAAAGCTGCTTAATATCTGTATCGAGTCTTTTAAAGCCTTTCCAGTGACCTACAAAGCCAAAAATCTGATATGAAAAATGTTCACAAGACAAGAATCCCCAAATTCAGATACATCACAGGAGTACACATAATAAAAGTAAATATAAGCATTCGAACTGTTACCGACTCCATGGCGTGAGGAAGTGTTCTCTTCAAGATAGATTCAACAGTTGCTCTCAAAACGTATTGCCTCCCAACGAAACCAACAATAATATTCTCTGGAACTCTCTTTCCAGGACGGAATCCAGGAACCTAATTGAATCATAACCAAGTAAATCCAATTAAACAACAAGCATATCACTACATGGAGCCAGTTTTAATTTGATTATACATTGTGATCATTCATCTTGATTTTAGAAAGCTGAAAAATGCAATTTACCTTGGCCATTTTCATGAACTCGCTAAGGACTCTTTGGTAACAATCTTCACAGACAATTGCTGGAACTTCCACACTTAATTTCACCTAAAATTGAACAGTACATCCCTAAAATCAGACCAAACTCAATTCCAAAAAATAGACAAAAAAAAAGCTTGAAAAGTTTCTTACACTTGAATTCGGCGCTTTAGTCTCGGTGACCTGAAGATCAGCGGGAAGCCGGTCTTCCTTTACGCTGGGTTCAACCGCCGGAGAAGCCTCTGCTCTCCGGCCTCCAATTTTCTTGGCGACACAAGATACCTCCAAGGGCTTGATTGGTTTCTTCAGCCTCCCATTGAAGCGCAACACAGAGCAACCACCACGAGAGACGAACAAACTATCGGATTGTAAGAGACGAGACCCAATGCGTCGGGTTAAACATGAATGAAACGGATTAATCGTCGTCGTCGAGCTGATAACGCAGAGGTCCATTTTCAAAGTCTCTCTCTTTAGATAGAAGAAGAACTGAGCTTTTTGAAGCGCCACTTCTTCTTGGAGGAGATAAAGCTGTGTAATTTTGTTACATATATCTCCTTAAAACGCTGCGTTTTCCAAACTATATCTTCTAAAAACGCTGCGTTTTACTTGCACTAAAGTCTAAAGATATAAAAAAGTAACTATTTTTTTTTTCCGGGCAGTGACAGTGAGAGAGAAGAACAAAGACAGAAATTTGCGGAGATGGAAGGCGTAGGGTCGAGATTGAGCCGGACGTCATCGAGATACAGTGGTCCGGCGGCGACGGCGGTTTTCAGCGGCCGAGTAAGGAAGTGGAAGAAGAAGTGGGTACGTGTCTCAACCTCATCCGTCGGCGTTTTCCGAGCATCTAAATCCAACGGTCGCAATAACAACAACAACAACAACAATAACAGCAGCAATTCTCGTCACCATCTTCTTCTCCATAAGTGGACCCCACTTTCCTCGGCGACGGTTACTCCCTCCGAAGCTAACGGCTCCGGTGAGACGGAGGAGCCGCCTAAGCGAAGATTCAGATACGCCCCAGTAAGTATTCATCCAAAATTGGAATTCTGCTATGTCTTAGGGTTTCCTTTTTTGTTTTGTGTGGGATTATTGTGAATGGTTCCTTTTTGGGATTTTGCAGATTGCGATGCTTGAGCATAGAGAGAAAGTGGTTTCTAAGGATTCTGAAATCGAAGCTCTAGAGGAAGAGACTGACGAATTCGACACTGAATCTCCATTGCCTAAAGCCGTTGAGCTGGACATGAACATGACAGACACAGACCAAACTAAGGTAAAGCTTCAAAATCAGTTACGAAGTTGTCGAGTTCTGTTCATTTTACTTGTTCATACTTGTTTTTTCTTACTACTTCCTCTGCAGGAAGCAAAAACTGGTCACTTGAAACTGGGACTGTGTCTGAATTCTGAAGGGACTGAAGAAGAGTGAAGAGAATCGTATTAAATTAAAGTCCGAGGACTTGGTATTGTTGTAGCTATTATGATGTCTCATTATGTAACTTATCGTAGGTTTTTGTTATTAACATTGATCCTTCTGGATCTGTATGTACTGTCTCTAGTTAGAAGAAGCTATATTTATATGTATCTCTAAAATCAGAGTCAAAATCATAGCATTCGTAAGGATTTGATGTTCCACTTTTATAACTTCATGAAAATTTTGAGAGAAAAAAGTTACAGAACCAGGTCTTCCCTGGAAGTGCAGCAATGTCAAGCTACTTTATGAGATCTTGTTCATCCAATGAATATGCAAATATGATCTATTAACTAAAACAAACTCAGGAAGATGTCAAAACAAAGGTTTTTCAACTATCGTAGTTTGAGTTTCTCAAGCTTCAGACTCTTTCTCGCCCTCTTGATTCTCCACAGCGCAAGTAACACCAACCTCAGCTGGTCTTATAACTCGATCAAACAACGTGTATCCAGACTGCAGATATGGAAACAAACCGTTACCAAAAGGTTACAAAATTATGCTAGAGAATCCATGGTATTGTGTTGATTTGCAAAAGATAGCATAATGCTTAAGAGTCATCAAAGCAAGAAAAAAAGCAAATCCTTTGAAAGGTTAGTACCTTTAGGACATGAGCAATTGTGCCTTCTGGCTTTGAAGCATCTGGGACTTGGAACACTGCGTTATGTCTGTTTGGATCAAACGGTTCATTCAAAGGATCTTCTTTTACCAAACCAGATTTCTTAAATACCTGCAGTTTTTCAGATAAACTTGCAATCTCAGAATCAGTCTCATCTATCTTTGTTTACCTCAGTGAACAAATATAACGGATGTTTTTACCTCAGCTAATTGTTTCTCAGTCATCTCCACTCCTTCTAAAAGGGTTTTTAACAGTGGAGCAGCACCAGCAGAATCTTTTGAAGTGTCAATCTTCGAAAAACTCTCTTTGACAACCGAAGAAGCTCTTCCCAGATTATCCGCCACATCCAAAAGACTTGTTGCAAAGTTCTGCAGCAGAAACGAATTCAACAAATGTATTCAGCACTGGGATATATATGAAGCAAAAACAAGTTAATTCAAAAAGGAAAAGTTAACCTGTATGGCGAACTTTTTGGCGTTTTCAGCATTACGTTTTGTCCTGTCCATTAGATTTTCCATCTCTGCATAAGTTCGAAGAACTTTATCTTTCATTTCCTTTATGTCTTCCTGCTGAACCTTCACGAGATCTTCCTTCTCAGCCACAAGCTTCACCAAATCTTCCCTTGACAAATCCTCAAAATCAGTCTCTGAATCTAGAAATCAGTAAACGCAATTCGTTCAGTAAACCTATCAAACTTCTTTGTTCAGAATCAGACACAGTATCTCTAACATTCTGAGTCAGTCAATACCTGATTCTTTTGCCTCACCTGTAGCTTTTCCAGCCTCCTTATCCTCAGAAGCTTCGTTGGTCTTTGGAACCTCGGTGTTACTCTCATTTTCCTTCGATTCAGCTGAGGAAGAGGAAAAAAAGCTGAACCTTTGAAGGACATTCAAATCTGGAGTCGCATGGTTTAGAAGCGACACTGGAGCTGCAACAAGCTGCGCATGTTAAAGGAGATCCAAATTGAGTAAATTCGCTGTTCAAAAATCCTAGAATGAGCTAAACCCAATAAGAAAGTTCCTAATTTGCATCCAAATAACCTCAAGACAAGCTCATAAAAGAACAATCAAAACCTTTACATTCCGACATCTAAGTAATAAAAACGTCAAATTTCCAAATGAAAGACATGGAATTGATATTCGTTTGAATAGACCCTTAAACCCAAGTAAACCCCAACGAGTGGATTCAGAACACCAAAATCGGCTCAAAAACCTAACCTTGTTGGGAGTTTCGTGGACAAGGGAGTGAAATCGGCCGGAAACAATCGGAATAATCTGATTCCTCGTCGGAGTAGCGACTGCGGAGAGAGATGAGCGTAAGCCCACGGAGCGAGAAACTCTCGATAAGACCCTAGACACCAACATCACGGAGGAAGAAGCGCAAATGAATCAAAGAAGAAAGACAGAATCTTATTGGTTTATGTCGAAATCGTCGATAAAAGGGAGTATTAGAGATAGACGTTCTTGGGGAGGAAGTAAAATCGGGGTTTGAGGTTTCTGACGGTTTATATTGAATTTACGAAAGTACCCTTACCGATGGTTTTGGAAACCACATTTTTGGAACCCAAAGCCAAAAAATGTGGTGAATTGAAGTGAGAAGCTTAAGACCGTTTTTTTTAACAATGAGGAGAAACTCTTCTATTAACTTTACTTCAATCTCTAATCGATATTAACCAAAAATGAATTTTAATGATTTGAAATCGGAATGAAGGCCAAGCTTGTGGCCTATTGACAATACCTACCAAGTCTATTGCTTCCAAAGCAAAAATAATCATGTTTACTTTGTGACTAATCATACTTTCGATAGTCCACAAAGTACATTTTAGCTAACGTTGTATTGTTTTTCTGTCTGGCAACTATTTTTATTGAAATTGGAAACGAATGGTCATAGAGAAAAAATATTTCTATTTCAAGGCAATTAACATAGAGATAAATGGAGGTAGAAGCTCTGATTACACGGAATTTTATAAGAACTTTTTGGATTATGATCATCAACTGGTTTTCATAGCGACCACTAAAAAAAAAAACATAAGAGAGAATTACTAGTGCCATCGGTTCAACCGGTAAAAGCAAACCTCGACTTTTAAAACTTCATATTTTGAACACAAACACAGATAAAAATAGCACCGTCAAGAAAAAGAAATGATAATACTAGTGACAGAATCACATAGTCCGTATGTCTCTCTCTACTCAAAGGTGTCATCATCGTCATCAGGGAGTGGCTGACTTGCTGCGGCTGCGAGCTCCGCCTCATGCCTACAAATTCATTAAAAACACAAACTTTTAAGTAAACGAAAACAAACGGAGCAGCAAAACTTAGCAATGAAATCAAATAAAATGGAGTTTAGAAAGCTTACTGCTGTTGAGCAGCCATGTCAATCTGGACTTCTGGGGGAGCAAGGGCAGGTGATTCCACAAAGTGAAGGTTAGGGTCCCTGCAACAAGCAAAAGCATCTTTCTCAACTATTCCATCTTTTTAAAGTTATTACACAACGAGGCTTGAGAATCGGATTTGTTGTTTACCCGGCGAGTTTTCTAGCAAGGTACAAGAACGGCTTCTCGAAATTGTAGTTGCTCTTGGCAGATATCTCGTAGTACTGGAGATTCTTCTTCCTGTGGAAAGTCACCTGCTTGGCCTTCACTTGCCTGTTCTTCACATCAACTTTATTCCCACAGAGAACGATCGGGATGTTTTCGCAGACCCTGCACATGAAAAGAAATTGACGACATCGTTGAGCAGTTTGCCACATAGAACAAAAGTCTAGACTTCTGGTGTGTTCATTCATACCTGCAAAGATCACGGTGCCATGTTGGAACATTCTTGTATGTCAGACGCGCTGTGACATCAAACATGATGACGGCACATTGTCCATGGATGCTGCAACAAAACAAAATGCAATTTTTGTATCAATAACGTTATAATAGCTTTTCAATTTTTTGCTATCTACAATCATGGGAATAAGCATCTTATCCAGCTTCACATCATAACCAAGCTACAAACACTAGAAGATTCTACACTGTTCATACAGAAATTATACAAACACTAGAAGATTCTACATTATTCATACAGAAATTAACCAGGTATTAAGTGATTCGTATGATAAAAACAAAAACAAAAATTGTTCTTAGAAGAGAATGCTTACTAGTATCCATCCCTTAGACCACCAAATTTCTCTTGTCCAGCAGTATCCCAACAGTAAAACCGGATCTTGCCACAGTTAGTGAAGAAATCTAAAGGATGAACCTCAACACCAATAGTGGCTGCAAGAAAAAAAGAAAAGTAAGAAAACATCAGAATCAGTTAACTCGTGGATTAAAACGTTACTACGTTTCACAGACTTGCAAATACTTACGTTCGTACTTCTTCTCAAACTCTCCTGTAAGATGTCTCTTTACAAACGTGGTTTTCCCTGTACACATTATCAAAGAGTTAACATAAGTGCAATTCAAACAATTGCGAACAATCTCATAATTGAACTTGCAAGATCTATACTACATATCACAAAATGTATCGAGTAAAAAAAATCCAAAATCGCATCGAGCTTAAAGATCTACATCAAGATTAGTTATACACAGACACATAGAGTTTCTGAAATTGAGCTCATTCTCTGTATTTTTTGTTTCCTAAAAAAAAAAAGATGGTGAAGCTAGGATGGTACCTGTGCCTCCATCACCAACGATGACGAGCTTGAAGCTAGGGTAATCGACGGTTTGCTGGTTAGGTAAAGCCTGAGAACAAGTATAACGATGAAAAATCAACAGATCACGCGAGATCGAAGAAACTGTAAACCATAGAAATTCAAAATAGGATCTCTAGATGAGAGCGAGAAAGCAAAACAAAGCTAGGAAAGTCGGAGAGATAATTACCATCGATGAATCTCAAGAGAAGCAGTGGAGATCGAGAAAATATTTGAGAGCAAGACGGCGAGAGAGATATAGCGAGACAAGGGTTTTTAAACAGAGCTGTGAGGCTTTTGGCCGCTTAGGATTGACGCAAATGCTGAAACCCGGTAAATCCAGAATAATTGGATCCAGGTTTAGATCCGGATCTGAATCCGGGCCCAAAGGCCCAAAATTCACTACAAAATTGTGGAGATTATTTATGGTGCTTGAGATCAAGGGATCAAGGGTATATACTCAGTTTTATCTATGCATTTGAGAAGTTCATCCTAGAGTTCCAAGCTAGTCGTGCTATAATAATATATCTTACGTGATAACATCTATCATTGAATGATAAATGATATCATGATCAATCTTCCCTTGCACATTCATTGCTTGCAAATTTCACATCCATGAACGTTTTGATCAAATACAAGTCTCTACTTGATAATTTTGACAAGAGTTTTACTCATTTTGTGATAATCAACATGTTTGGTGGTTTATTGAGCCTAATTGCACCGATTTAATTTGTGACAATTTCAGCAGAAGTAGATCAATCCGAAATTGAGAATATCAGACCCAACACAACTATACTTTAGTGACTTAAACGAAGCAGATTTTAAACCGAAGAGATTTTACACACACACACACACAAAAATACATCAAATCCAATCTCAAAAATGGTTTTGTAAAATGTCTTTTTAGCTGGTGTAGATAAGTATTTGTCGACATCTTTTGTATATACACTTATCATTTATCCACAATTTACAGATTATAAGATTACCTTCATTAATTAAACACGTATATTTTTTATGTAGAGGTCGCTATAACCGTACGATGAACGATAGACATCCAAGATCCAACGAACACAAAATCGAAACTCGAGCGTTAGAGGATTAACTTAATGATTTTTCCATTTTTTCCTTTTTTCTTTTTAACGTGTTAAATGGCACGCAACTGGCGTAAATATGAGACTTGATTCCATGTATACACGTCGTAGAGGTTTAAGTTAAGAAAGAAAAAAAACTAAGACTATATTATACGACGAAACCAACCAAATATACAATAGTGAAAACAAATCTACGCATATAAATAAATCATATACTCGAATGACAAAACAAAGTATTAAATAAATAACAAGAAAATGCTACTAAATTAATCCGCCCGATTCCTTCTCTTCCATTTCCATTTCAATGCCCTGTTGGAAACTCGCACTTCCCGTACTCTACAAACAAGAAAATAGCAAACACAAATTAATACATAGGTCACAATTTAATAGTAGTTTGTGAATACGTAAGAAAATTTTATCAAAAATAGCATATGTTGTTGACCTATCTCAACCTCCATAATTATTATCTAACCATGAAATCATCTTCCAACTATCTTTTCCATTTCTCTCACGATTTTCAGGAATATATATTAAAAAATTCGATAAAAGCAAAAAGTGTGAAAAAAAAAATTATATTTGATTATTAGGAGGGAGAAAAAGATAGAGTACGTACTAGGAGGTTGCGAGACCACGTACGCTGCCCCACCAAAGTTACACGTGCCAACACCACGTGCGTTCTTCTGATAGTAACTGTTGAAGGCGTAAGAAGCGTGGGCCTCTAACGATTCAGGATTATAACACGTGGCACCCGGTTGAATCTGACGGCAATCAGCGCCTCCTTCTCCGCAAGCGTAGTCGAGACCTTCCTGAAGCTTCTCCTTGGGCGTTTTCCCGTTCGCCACGCACCACGTCTGTCCCACGTTCGACGGCGACTTCACCGGAACCTTCTCCTTGCTATCGTTGACCGGCGTCGTTGACCTAACGGTGAACGGAACGTCATACACTTTGTTCTCGTTCGGGTAAAACAACCCGTAGTTTCTCTCCGAAGTGGGCCCCGTTTTCTGGTTCTCGTTAAACAGAGCGAACAAGTAAACGTCAAGCGGCTCCTTCGGTTTTAACGGCGTCCCGTTTCCCGTCAACACTCTCTTCACTAACCCGCCGTTATAAGCCGCCGCGTTAGTCGAACCGGCGCCGATCTCGTTCTCATCTCCGGCAGAAGGCCAACCCGTCTCCGTCACCACGAGCTTAACGTCGTTAAATCCCACGGCGGCCATGGCGGCGAAAACGGCGTCGATTTGCGCGTCTAACAGATTGGAATACTTCAAACCGTTACCGGAATCTACATTTCCGGCGTTCTCTTTGAACAGAGCGTACTCCAACGAGATCTTATCGGCGTTCGCAGCGTAGGCGAAGAACGGGTAAGCATTCACCATGAGATGCGACGAGGTTTTGCGAAGCAGATCCAGCATCGGTTTGATAACCGGTTCGATTAAATCCGGTTTAAAAGAACCGGCCGACGGTGGATACGAGCTCGCCAACGCGCTCAAAGCGATCGGCGACGAGATCTTAATTGATTTGTCGAGGTTGAATTTGACCAGAGAGCTCTGAACATTCGTCATTGCCGGAACGAGATACGTCGTCGTGTTCCTCGGATCGACGAACACTTCGTTCCCGACGGCGATCGCTTCGATATCCGTCGCCGGCATGTATTTCTTTACGTTTTCCTGAACCCAATTGTCGGTGTAGCTCTGATCTGCTGCTGCGGCGGCGAGGTTCTCGTTAGGGAGAGAGACGACGACTTTGATGCCGGAGTTCGCGAGCGCGGTTAGTACGGATTTCTCAGTGTCGTAAAGCTTGACGCGGTTGATTCCTTGGGATTTGAGAAGCTCAACCACCTTTTCCGGCGCCGGGAGATTGTTCGCTATCCGGCCGTAGTTTACTCCGATCATTCCAGAATCTGTTAAGAAAACAAAACGAAGAAATCAGAAAATCATTAACGAAAATTTGGAATTTACATTCGTGAAAGAGATGATGAGAATCTAACCTGCGCATGTGAATGGAATGGCTGAGAAGGAAGAGAATATGAGGAGAGATATAACGAAGAGAGCCATTGTTGCAGAGATTTGAGAAATGTTTGTTGTTTCAGATGAGCTAAAGCTGTTTGTTTATATAGTAGGGAGATGAGGAGGTGGAGGAAGTGGGTGGGACCCAAGTGAGATATTGGGGGGGTGACTTTTTTTTTTACTGCTAACATCGTGATGTGAATTTTTCCAACTCCTTTACTCGATTACGTGTGAAAGTAAATACTAATTTTTTATTTTTATTTTATAACAAAATTTGACCGTTTCAATCGTAGTGATTGGAGACTGGACCAAATGTTGTCAGATGGTGGGTACGTGCCAAAATTAGCATTCAATTTATTAGATTATTTATTGATTTTACTGCAGCTTTTGTATCCTTTTTGGGGGGTTTTCCTAACGTTATGTAAGATAATAACAACAAATTGTAGCAGTCTTTCTTTAATCACGTTTGATCACAATAGATTTCTGACAAATAAAAGAAAAAGATTAGTATTTAACTATTTACGATGTTTATAAAAGAAGAACCTTGAATTTAATAATGATATGACTGCAGCGTTATTGAAAAACCATTTACAACCGTTAAGCTATATACCCAGTCAATATGTTCACTGGATTGCGATCGTTGAGGCAAATTAACCATATCTTGAATTGATGGTAATAAATAGATGGTATTAATAATTTGTTGAAAACAGCCAATCTATCCGTTAAACTTATAATTATAACTGGTCGGAAGTGATAATTGATACGATAACTAATCGGTGATGTGATGCATTAACGTATTACCTATGTCCTATAATAATAATATGATAAAAAAAAAATTTCGTTTATTGTTGGAATATTTACTCAAGTTCATGTTAATGCAAATTTGGTCTCGTCGTGAAATGAAGAATATATCTGCAATGGGGCCATGTGTAATCTGTTTCTATCTCCTAAATTTTGAACGTTAAAGCTCTGATTTCCAACGTCTCTATTTCGTACGTCAAGTCATTTTTAGAGAATTCCCAAATGTTCCCTCCTTTTATGCCCCTCTTGATATATTATCATACTGATCATTTTGTTAGATATATTCAGATGAGTTTATAAATCGAAGTACTTTGTTTACAAGTAATTTGTAACTTGTCAGTTGTAAGTAGTATATTAGATTTAACAACTTGGGCAAATGAACGCGTTTAGGTGTGTCATGTGTGGGGGAAAAAAATTGAAACTTGTAAGTTAGCTAATCAAACACCTCAAACAATTTTCAATACTATAGGTCTATAATAATGAATCAAGCTAAATGGTCCATATATTTGGTGTCCCTCCGACGAAAAAAAAAACATTATTTGAAGTGTGTAGTTGTATAGTTGTACTATACAAGTTGAACACTACCGCTAGCTATTAGATTTGACGAAATGTACGACTAAAATTAGTAATTGTTACGTTTATATATACTGATACGCAATTTTAATTACCTGCTTTAAAAAATTAAAACATCATAGATTAGTTTTTCTATTTCAAATTTTGAAATTGTAAATTTATATTATGGTATAATCATGATTTAAGAGTAACTATCTTTTCAACAGTTGTGCTAATGTTTCTTTTTTATGAATGATTTGCAGCTCACACTGTATAAAAGTAATTTGGTAATTCAAAAGATCGCAATCTAGTGATGATTACTTGATTAGATTTTTATTTATAGTTTTGAGACTGATATAAATACACATGGTAACTATTCACATATGCTGAATAATGAATCACACATGGTAACTATTCGGAATTCGAAATTAGGTTTGATTTTCGGTGTCTGAGACCTCAGAAGTCCTAAATAAACAATATCAATATCAGACATCATATAATTTTTTTTAATGATTATATGTGTCTGTGTTTGTATATATATTTTTCTTTGCATAAGATGTGTGTTTGTATGGTGGTTTACATTTTCAGATATATACATACATATATATAATTATTATTATTTTTTGAGAAAAGGCTAACATATAATTATTATTTTATGAAAGTAAACTTCATTTGACCATATAATATATATATATATATATAGGGCTTGTCGACATCGTACGATATATGGTTCACCGAGGGTCGAAGTCGGTTAAGCTCGTTTACTCGAATTTGAAAACGAAACACAAAGTCCATGGAAACATAATCTTATACAGGGTGACGTATCTTTCATATTGACTTATTTCTAACTATTATGGCTCTATTCTAGATATGAACGTTGATATAATAAGCCTAAACCATATATAAAAGTACTATAATTTTCTTATCAACCAAGAAAAAAAATTCAATGCGGTAGGTCGCTTGATTGCTATCTGTCCACCATCAAGTTGAGCTTTAGATAAGAATGTTAGCTGATTGTCCCTGATGTTTACGCTATGATAAAATGTTATTATATATAAATAATTGGAGATGTCTGTTTTGTAGTGTCGGGCCGAATTAATAGTCGTCAAGAAACATAGACTAAAACCATTAACCATTCACACACTACGACGAACATAATTATTTAAACATAATGAAATGTCATGCGTGTATTAGCGTATCAATAAAAATTTATAATTTTATAGTAAGAACTGCCCTGACATTTCCCGAAAAAACTAGTTCTACAAAAATCACGATCTTGATCTGTTATAATGCCGGGCCGAAAATAATTGTCGTCACGAAACATGTAGACTAAACCATTCACACATTTCCGTACATATCTGCCCTAAAATTTCCAAAAAAGTAGTCCTAGAAATAGCACACCCTTGATTTCCTTTCTAAATACCATAAGTTTTTTAGGTTTTAAAAAGGGTGTTTTACAAGTTTAGTAACAGTTAAAACAAAAAGTTTGGTAACAGTTAATAAATCAGTTACTACCCTTCATAAAATTTTAGTAATATTTTTTAAAATTTATGTCGATTATGGTATTTTCAAAATTATTTGATTACAGTGATAATTTTAAAACTTAAAAAAAAAAGTATATGGTATTTTTACATATATATGGTATTTTTACATATTGTCATTGTATAGGGAAAAACCTCTTTGTTGGGCAAATGGTTTCACGCTATTTTGATTGAGTAACTAGCCCACATGTGAGCCCATTTGACCTAAAACAGCCCATTATGAATGCTAGATTAAAAGGCTTGCGTTCGTCCAGCCGTCGGATGATAGACGACCCAGTGATTATCAACCGTTGGATAGACACCACAAGAATCAGATGCAAGCAACAAGAAGTGGATTTTCAGTCTTTCTTATTCTCTCCGAGTCTTACTCAAAATTCCTCAACCTGCAAATCGCGCGAATCGCTCTCAAAGGGCTTCGTCTTCCTCGCAGATCGGAGTTTTTTGTTTCCGTCGCCGGCGACGGAGATTCTGATATAAAAGGAAGATGTCTGCTACACAGGAAGAAGACAAGAAGCCCGGAGACCTAAGAGGAACTCACATCCATCTCAAGGTCAATTTCCAGGTTTTGGTACTGTGTTCTCTTTCTCACTCTTTTCTATTTTCCCTTATATTTGTGCTGATTCTTCATCTGCTAGCGTCGATTGTGTGTACTTACGGTTTTATCTTCTTCTTCTAGGGTTTTAGGTTTGTCTCGAAATTCAGTGTTGTAGATGTAGATTCATCAGTAACATAGGGAGTAAGTTTATAGGCATGTGTCTATAGGAACCCCTTTAAAGGTTTCTAGAACTGTATTAGTTACATTGATAAATTGGTAAGCTTGTGTATGAGTTGACTTTTTTGCAGAGACAAGTATTTCTATGTCGTGTAAGCGTGGTTTAAATCGAAAAATTAAAAACAAGAAATAACAAAAATTCTTTGAGAGATTGTGATGTTTTGTCATAAGCTGCAGCAATCAAGAAGTTGTTGGTACATTCAAAACTTTTGTATGGGTGTATCATGGAGATAGTGATTATCTGTTCATAAATTTACTGTCTGTCTGTAATAGTTTTCAATTTGTTGTTGTGTCTTGTTATGAAAGCATTTGAGTATGGAGCATTTGTTTCATAAAAGTTTTTTTTTCCTTACTATGAAAATTGTACTGTTGTGATCATTTGTTTTCTTTCTCTTCTTCTTATTTGAGTATCAATTTTCTGAAGTTGGTGCTTGGTTGGTTATAGTGTGCGATTTTCTAAGACGAAAAACTAACTGTGATGATTTCAAGTGAGAAAAAATCATTTATCTTCTCTTTTTTTTTTCTTCTTGATTGGTGATATACTTAGGATGGGTATGAAGTCTTCTTTAGGATGAAGAGGAGAACTCAATTGAAGAAGCTGATGGACGCTGTTTGCGAACGTGTATGTGTGGATTTCAACTCAATGGCTTTCTTGTTCCATGGGCGTCGTCTCCTCGGTGGACAGACTCCTGATGAGGTCAAAATCTCTCTCTCTCTCTCTCTCTCTCTCTCTCTCTCTCTCTCTCTCTCTCTCTCTCTCTCTCTCTCTCTGTAGCCTTTCCCTTTGTCAAAATTGAATCATTTCCTAAACCTAGAATCTCCACTTTTACAGCTTGATATGGAAGATGGAGATGAGATCGATGCAAGGCTCGATCAGTCCGGTGGTGGTATCACAAATGGCCTGTATCTGTCCTGCTTTTAGTGGGGTCTTTTATGGTTTCGATAAAGACGGTGTGTGTTAATGGATTTTCACAATTGATTAAAGAAGTAGTCGCTTAAACTAAAAGCAACTCTAGTAACCTACAAAAACGTCTTCGCACGTTTGCTTGAAGCGCAAGTTTCACCTTGCTTTCTAATAAAAAAGAAAACTTTCTTCTCGTCTTGCAAGCTTTTACCGTTTTCTCTGTGCCGTAATCACTACAAGAAAGATCTGCTTTTACGTCGGCAGATATCGACGTAAAATCGACGTAAAAGAGCATTTACGTCGAATTAACGATGAATTAAAAATAGTCGTAAAACGATCGTCGTAAAACCAAAATCGTCGTAAAATCGTCGTAAAATTACCAACTCCGGAAAATCGTCGTAAAATCGTCGGGAACTATTCGTCGTAAATGCGTCGTAAATTTTCCAACGGATGTACAACGAAAAAATTCCATCATAAAAACGACGTAAAATCGATGTAAAATTACATCGATTTAACAACGATTAGGAGACGAACAATTTCAATTAAGGGAAATGAAATTTTTAATTGTCGATGTTAAATCGTTGTAAATTTTCGACGTAAAGCCGACGTAAACTTATTCGTCGTAAATTCGTCGTTAAATATTCGACGTTAAATCGACATAAATTTACGACGAATTTACGTCGATTTATAAATTAATTATTTAATTCGATTATAATTTAATTAATAAATTTTTAAAATAATCAAAAAATTAAAAATAGAAAAAATTTGAATTTAAATTTCAATTTAAATTTAAAAATAATTTATAAATAAAAAAAAATTTATACAAATTGTTTTTTACAAAAAAACCTAATCTATACAATCATGTCGTAATCGTCGAGGTTGAGATCGACGTCACGAGGAGGCTCTCCGTCTTGGCCGCCTGTCGCTGCTAGGCCGACGTTTCCCGTCTGCACTACCGGAGCCGAAGTCTGACCGCCCGTCGCTGCTGAGACCGGAGCCGAAGACTGACCGCCCTGCGTCTGGTGGTCCGATGGTCCAGTACCGGAACTACCACCGGTCTCAAAAACCCTCCGTGCTCGCTGTTGCCTCGCTCGGATTGCGGTGGCCAACTGCGGAACCGCTTCCGCAATGATGTCGAAGAGATCATGTATCTCGGTGAGCTCCTGCTTCTGGGCTACTTGCTCATGCCTAAGACTGGTGATCTCAGCATTGGTCGTAGCAAGCTCCTGGCGAAGTTGCGGATCCTGCGAGCGGAATACGGAAACCGTGGCGGCAGGACAGTCTCTAATAGAGCCCATCCCTAAGGTTCGGCCCTTCTTCTTCGGAGCAACCTATAAATAGAAAATAAAAACGTTAATTATTTATTAAGTAATTATAAATATAATAAATTTTTAAAAAATTGAAATAGATATCATACCTCTTCGAAAATCTGGTCTTGCTCAGCGACGGTCAACGGTACTTGGATAGTACCGTCAGGTGTGGCCTAGGTCTCCCGCTCGGCGATCCGCTGCATAGCGGCATTGTAGATCTCCTCGGACCGAGCGTGGACAAAGCTCCCGTCCTTCTTCCGATGAGTGGTCTCGAAGAGCTTCGTCATTGGAGGTAGTTCTCCTCCGTTCTCCTCGGCCTACCAATTAATAAACATTATTAGTCAAAAATATTTAATTAATTCTAGCAATAAATAAAATTAAAATAATAATGAAATAATTTATATTTAATTACTTACCATCATGAGACGTCTTCCCGCAAAAGATATTTGGCCAGAAGTGTGCGGGGTCACTAACTTCTCACCAGTCACCGGATCGACCCGGTTTCAGACGGCCGAACACTTAGCAGCGGTGGTTTGGGCATGCGGGTCCACCCAATACGCCTTCAACCCGTTCCAACACCAAGTGGACATGGAGCTCGGCTTTGCATCGTCGCCGTCGGTCTCCCATTTCCGCTTCCAATCGGAAACGGTGTTAACTAGGCGTTTCTTCGCCTTTTCCTCGAAAGCTTCGCGGACGGTCTCGTTGATCCCGATGTCCCAGTTCCACCGTTGCTGCAAAAGAAAACAAAATATTAGATAAACAATATAAAAGTAAGATTAATTAAATTTAAAACAATTTAAAATGATATAAATAAGATTTTAAAAATATTACCGCGAAGCACTTGTACCAGGTGTTGCACGTCTCTTGCGACACCTTGCTCCAATTGACGTACGGCTCCACGAAATGACTCTTAATTGTGTCGGAAACGCTCCGCCCGACACAATTATCCAAAGTAAACCTATGAAACCAAAAAAAAAATTATTACATTAATATTTAAGTAAATTAAAGCGTTAATTTAAAAACTATAAAAAACAAAAAATTTACTTACCAATCAGAGTCTGGTTCCGCTTTTCCGGAAACCAGACGTCGTAAAGCCCCCCGTCCCGGTATAGCTAGTAAATCCTCAACCGTAAACTGGGCATACGGATGAGGAGGGGCGGGTACCGGTTCGGCAGCCGGGGCGGGTACCGGTTCGACAGCCGGCGGTCGAGGTGGTGGTGGAGGCGGTGGTGGAGACGGCTCCGCGGTATTCGGAACCTAGGAGGCTCCGGAAGATGAAGGGACATCGGTTCCGGTGTTTCCCGAGGCAGACGCCCGGGAAGAATGTCCGTCCGCCATGAAATTGATGTAATGCGTCCTCCGTCGAGTCATCGTCTGCAAAACCGAAAAAAAATTTATTTTTTAAATTAATTACAATTAATTTTTAATTACGATCCTAAATCTAATAAATTCCGAGCCTAAACTGATTCCCGACCTAAACCGTTTGAATTTCTAAACTATTTAAAATTATTATAATTTTAAGTAATTAAAAAAAATTATTTACCTTTTTTTTTCGTCAAAAGGAGGAGGTGGGAAGGAGGAAGCAGAGAGAGAGGAAGGAGAGATAAGCGACGAAATGAGGAAGAGGTGAGGTCCTATATATAGAATTTATATTCGTCGTAAATTCGACGTAAATATTACGACGAATTTACGACGAATCCGTCGTAAATTCGTCGCAAAGATCCCACCGTACAACAAAGCGAGTAAGACAAACACACGTGGCTGTATCTGGGCTTTGCGACGAGTTTACGACGATACGTGGCTGTATCTGGGCTTTACGACGAGTAAGACAAACACACGTGGCTGTATCTGGGCTTTACGACGATTTTACGACGACTCGTATAAATCAAAAAAATTAAGACGGCTGTGTATCCACTAATCGTCGTAAATTCGTCGTAATGTTACGACGAATTTACGACGAATTATACCAAAACTGATGAAATTCAAAAATTGAAACATCCATAAGGACATACAAGCATGTCTATTCATGATAAATGTGGTCTGTATAACTTTCTAGCATGTTTACATAACTTAATGAAGAATTTAGTAAGATGTAAGATAAATCCATACATCTTGTGTAAATGTATATAACACCTTAAGATTACTTGATAAACACATATATGTCAAATTTTGAATTTTTTTTTTTTTTTTTTTTAGAAAGTTGTTTTACCTTATGAGAAGGTAAGCCATTTCATTCTCCTCATCAAAATCCCCCCTGAACCCCATAAAAGATTGATTATAAGATTTAGGGGTTACATTTCGTCGTATTTTCGATGGTATATTACGACGAATTTACGACGATCACTCCCATTCGTCGTAAATTCGTCGTAATAAAAACCACATTTCTACAAGTTCTTGAACCTTATACTACATACTCTTATATAATACATCAGTTTACTTAGGAAAATGAACCCAAAAACCATTCTGTAAATTGGGAAAGCTAAACCCTATAGGGTTTAGGGTTTGCATATTACGACGAATTTACGACGATTTCTAAATAATCGTCGTAAATTCGTCGTAATAGTCAACATATGTCCAAGTCAACACTTAAACAAATTTTCATCAACATTTAATTAGTCTTCATTAATTGGCTTTAATTTTTCAAAAATTTAAATTTGACAAATGTTACATTGAAACGTTCAAAGCATGCAATTAAATGTCAAAATACTTAATTAGTCTTCATCAACATTTTCCTCGGTGTCGTCATCATCATTGTCATCATCATCACTGCTTGTTTGAAATTCGTCAGCACCTTCTTCAGTTTCGTCCCCATGTAGATCTTCAACTTGTCGATTACGTGGATCAATTAAAAGAACATTTTCTTCAACATCCGGTTCTGTAATGTCGACACAATCATCTTGCTGCATTGGCGGGAGATCTACACCATCAATTATACCCCTTGGAGCAACTTTGACAACCGCCAGCCATGAAATTCCCGTATTCCGAACTCGAGGATATGGAACAAAGGTGACTTGTTCTGTGTTCTGCTTGAGATGCAAGTATAAATGGCTCGAACTTATTGTATCGCCGAGATGCGTTTACATCTACCACTCCAAATTTGTTAATTTGCACTCCACGACCTACCGTAGGATCAAACCAATCACATTTGAATAAAACAGTTTTCATTCTGACTAATCCGGGGTATTCCACTTCAATTATCTCTTTGATGACCCCATAAAAGTCTACTTCACCTCGTACACAAACTCCATAGTTTGTAGTTGCCCGTTGAGTGCCATGACTATAAGTATGAAAAACATAGCCACGTGTGAAATACATAGCTGCAGTAGTTATCTTCGAAATAGGACCTAGGAGCAATTCATGAAACCATACTGCATATGTCATGTCATCATGAAACCATATGCAACTCAATTCTGTTACATATATCGGGTAAGTCCATCCGTGATTTAACGTTGTCTTTGGTTCTTCCTTGGACGTTCAAAATAGTATGCATGATGTTATCGAAAAAATTCTTCTCAATGTGCATAACATCAAGATTATGTCTAAGCAAATGATCTTTCCAGTAAGGCAGATCCCAAAATATACTTTTCTTGTGCCAATTATGATGAACCCCATATCCGTCAGGCATATTCGCAGGAGTGTGCCAATTTCCTCCAAGGGGGACCGTTTCAAGTCCACCCCAATGATCTATTTGCGCTTCAAGCTCTACTCCAGTTAGGTACACTGGTGGAGGGAGACGAACCAATTTGTTCTTTATAAACAAACGCCTATTTCTTCTATATTGATGGTTTGGTGGTAAAAACCGACGGTGGCAATCAAACCAACAGGTTTTCCCATGCGTTGTCCAACCTGATAGCATTCCGTATGCCGGGAAATCGCTTATTGTCCACATAAGCACCGCTCGCATCGTAAAATTTTTACCACTCGAACAGTCATATGTTCGTACTCCAACATGCCACAACTGGTTTAACTCATGTATGAGTGGTTGCAAAAAAACATCAAGGGCCCGCTTCGGGTGATTTGGACCAGGGACTAATATACTTAGAAACAAAAACTCTTTTTCCATGCACATATCTGGAGGAAGGTTATATGGCGTAAGAATCACAGGCCGTAATGAATATTGCCTACCAGACATACCAAATGGACTAAACCCGTCAGTGCAAAGACCAAGATAAACATTTCGCTTAGACCTAGCAAAGTCTGGATGTACGGTGTTAAAATGTTTCCAAGATTTCCCGTCAGACGGGTGAGTCATTTTGCCATCTGTTTGTGAATGTTCCGCATGCCATCTCATCGACGCAGCTGTCCGTTCGGATTGATATAGTCTTTTTAACCTATCAGTGATAGGAAGATACCACATTCGTTGGTAAGGAATCTTCTTACGCCCAGCAATTTGCGGTCTATATCTTGGCTTTTGGCAGAAACGACATTCTTCAAGCTTCTCATCATCTCTCCAAAAAAGCATTCAATTATCAACACAAACATCAATCATCTCAGAAGGCAATCCAAGACTAAAAACCAGCTTCTGAATTTCATAATACGTTTCAGCAGCCAAATTATCATCTGGCAAATACTCTTTAATAAGATCTGCCCAATCGTTCATGCAAACTTCAGATAGATTGTGATCTGTTTTTATTGTCATCATCCGAGCTGCCAATGATAATTTTGATAAACCTTCTCTACATCCCTCGTACAGAGGCTGTTTTGCTGCGTTTAACATATCATAAAAGCGTTTCGCATCTGCATTGGGCTCCTCAACAGTATCAGCATGTGTTTCATGAAATGCATCAGTAATCATTTCATGCATCCTATCATGATCTTCACCCTGAACTTGACTACTTTGATAATCATTGGACGCTTCAAAATCCACATGTTCTTGATGATTACTACTACTCCGTGCAGCCATCTGACCACTACTTTGACCATATTCCTCTCCATGCTGATACCAAATAAAGTATTGGGGCATGAACCCTCTATTCAATAAATGCTGCCAGACAGTGTCAATAAGAATATGTTTCCTATTTTTGCATTTCACACAAGGACAATACATTTTGCCGCTTTCAATTACAGTTTCCAGAAGGCCGGCTTGGTACATGAATATTTCCAATCCGTTTTTGAAGTCTTCAGTCAACGACCCATCACCATTTTTGGGCGTATACATCCACTTTCGTAGATCGTATATAGACATTTCAAAACAAATATTTGACTTTTTGTTTCTGAAATTTGATAGAAATTTCAACTACCAAAAATTTTACTTAAACATTCAAAAACTCAAAAAATTTGTGTCTTTATATGTTTTTTTGGGATGATGGAATAATGAGAGAAGAAAGGGTATATATAGAATTTTTTGTTTGGTTACCAACATATTACCATTGCATATTTACATCAAATTTACGTCGAAATAAAATTTACATAACATTTACATCGATTTTACGTCAATTACTAGATAGAGGACAATTCGTCGTATTATCGATGTAAATTTTACGACAAGATTACGACGAAATAAAATTCGTTCTTTATTCGTCGTAAAATCGTCGTAACATTACGACGATTTTACGAGGGTTATTTTTTACGTCGAATTTACGACGAAATTTTTGATCGTCGTAAAGACGACGTAATGTCGTCGTAAATTTACGACGACTACAAATCGTCGTAAATAATTCGACGGAAAAGCCCCTCTTTCTTGTAGTGAATTTTTTAAAATGGATGTCTCTTCTTCTTCTTCCTCCTCGTCCTAGTCGGATTTACTCCCGGAGCTTATCGACGCTGTATTCCACAGCCTAAACAATGCCAGAAACAACCTTTAAGTACTGTGCCACCGTCTGTTCTTCTTGGAGATATTCTTCTTCCGCAGTCTACAGTCGCAACTATGTTTGTCATCAATTTTTGGTCTGTTTTGTAGTGTGTCGGGCCGAAAATAATAGTCGTCACGAAATATAGACTAAAACCATTCACACACTACGACGTACATAATTATTTCAACATAATGAAATGTCATGCGTGCATTAGGGTATCAGTAAAAACTTATATAATTTTATAGTGAGATCTGCCTTAAAATTTCTGAAAACATTAGTTCTAGAGATATATCACAACCTTGATTTCCTTTCTACTACATACCATGAGCTTTAGGGTTTTAAAAAGGGTGTCTTACAAGTTTAGTAACAGTTCCTAAATCAGTTTGTAGTTAGTATTTTCAAAATTTTGAGATTACAGTGATAATTTTAAAGCTAAAAATTATATATGGTATTTTTACAAATTGTCATTGTTTTTTCGAACATCTATTTTTCTATACAAATTGAAATTGTATAAGGGAACAAAAAGCTCTTTGTTGGTCAAATGGTTTCACGCTTTTTAATAGAATAGCTAGCCCATATGTCAGCCCATTTGATCTAAAATAGCCCATTATGAATGCTGTATTAAAACGCAAGCCTTTTAGGTACGGCTTCTATGTTCTTCCAGCCGTCGGATGATAGACGACCCAGTGATTATCAACCGTTGGATAGAGACCACAAGAATCAGATGCGACCAACAAGAAGTGGTTTTTAGTCTTTTTATTCTCTCCGAGTCTCTCTCAAAATTCCTCAACCTTCCATCGCGCGAATCTCTCTCAAAGGGCTTCGTCTTTCTCGCAGATCGGAGTTTTTGTTTCCGTCGCCGGCTGGGTAATCTAAGATAAAAGGAAGATGTCTGCAACTCAGGAAGAAGACAAGAAGCCCGGAGACCAAGGAGGAGCTCACATCAATCTCAAGGTCAAGGGCCAGGTTTTGTCACTGTGTTCTCTTTCTCACTCTTTTCTGTTTCTCGTAAATTTAGGCCGATTCTTCATCTGCTAGCGTCGATTGTGTGTAGTTACGGTTTTTTCTTCTAGGGTTTTGGGTCTGTCTCGAAATTCAGTGTTGTAGATATAGATTCGGGCTCTATCAGTAACATAGGGAGAAAGCTTATAGGCTTATGTCTAAAAGAATCGTTTAAAAGGTTTTTGGAACTGTGTTAGTTACATTTGATGAATTGGTAAGCTTGTGTATGAGTTGAGTTGTTTACAGAGACAAGTATTGTTTAGTAAGCGTGGCTTTAAGTGGCTCAAATGGAAAATTTAAGAACACAAATTCTTTGAGAGATTGTGATGGTTTGTCATAAGTTGCATCAATCAAGAAGTTGTTGGTACATTCAAAACTTGTGTGTGTGTGTGTATCATGGAGATAGTGATTATCTGTTCATAAATTTACTGCCTGCCTGTAATAGTTTTCAATTTTTTGTTGTGTTTTGTTATGAAAGCTTTTCGTCCTTAGGCATTTGAGTATATGGAGCATTTGTTTCATAAAAGGTTTTCTTTACTATGAAAATTGGTACTGTGGTGATCATTTTTTGTGTTTCTTATTTGAGTATCAATTGTTAGGTATTTTCTGAAGTTGGTGCTTGGTTGTGGTTATAGTGTGCGATTTTCTATGACGGAAAACTTACTGTGATGATTTGAAGTGAATCATTTTCTTCTTGATTGGTGATATACTTAGGATGGAAATGAAGTCTTCTTTAGGATCAAGAGGAGCACTCAGCTGAAGAAGCTGATGAACGCTTACTGCGACCGTCAATCTGTGGATTTCAACTCAATCGCTTTCTTGTTTGATGGGCGTCGTCTCCGCGCTGAACAGACTCCAGATGAGGTCAAAATACTCTCTCTCTCTCTCTCTCTCTCTCTCTCTTTCTAGACTCTTGTCTTGCCCTTTTTCGAATTGTATCAGTTTCTAAACCTTGAACATCCATTTTTACAGCTTGAGATGGAAGATGGAGATGAGATCGATGCAATGCTCCATCAGACCGGTGGTGTTACAAATGGCCTGTGTCTGTTCTGCTTTTAGTGGTCTTTTATGGTTTCGATAAGACGGTGTGATACTTAACAGAGTTCTCGATAAAGACGGTGTGTTATTATTGGATCCTATAATATTAATGGGCTTTTTGTTAATGGGATTTTCACAACTGATTAAAGAAGTGTAGTAGTAGCTTAAACTAAAAGCAACTCTGGTAACCAACAAGGAAATTTCTCCATACGTTTTTACTTGAAGCCCAAGTTTCACGTGGCTTCATAAAACGCACTTTCTTCTCGTTTTACAAGCTTTTACCGTTTTTTCTCTGTGCCCTAATAAGTTAGTTAATAATGGAGGCCTCTCCTTCTTCCTCCTCTTCTTGGAGATATTCTTCTTCCGCCGTCTACAGTCGCAACTTCGTTCCTTTTCTCTTTGTTTCTCATCCCTCTCCCGACGAAGAAACTCGATTCTCCGATCAGTTTAGGATTCTGTCTCCGGGAAAATTGGACTTCTCAGGGAATAACCAGAGATGGGTTGTTTGCGGTGGCACGCGAGGGTTTTTGTTAACTGTCAATCTTTCTTTCCCGTTTGAGGTAATTTTACAGAACCCTTTTACCAACACCGTTGTTTCTCTGCCACCATTGATATCTTTCGAGGACGTTCAACGGTTGCTTCAACCCCAAGCAATCTTTCTTGACCCTGAAACCCTAAAGAACTTTGTCAAGAAAGCAGTCTCTTCGACTAGTTTATTAGATCCTGATTGTGTCGTGCTCGTGATCTACAACACCGTTGGGAAACTAGCCTTCTGCAGACGCGGAGATAAACAGTGGACTGATTTGGAGTCTGGTCACGTTGCTTCTTCTGTTGACGACATTGTGTTCTGCAATGGCGTCTTCTTCGCCATCGACAGGATTGGAGGGATATATCACTGCGAGCTTAACCCTAACAATCCAAAGGCTATTCCTTTATGCAGTGCCTCGCCGTTTCGTCACGACCCTTGTAAGAAGTTTTTTGCAGAGTCGGATTACGGCGAGCTCTGGGTGGTTTTAAAGAAGCTAGAGCTTGACGACGATTCTGATTTCACAACCTATTTCGAGATTTACGAGTTCTGTTCAGAGACGAAAGAGTGGACGATGGTGAGAAGCTTGAGAGGAAAAGCTTTGTTCTTGAGCCCTCAAGGTAGATGTATAGCGGTTTTAGCAGGTGAAACCGGATCTAAAAGATTCATCAAAGACAATTCCGTTTATTTCGTCGATGGAAACGAAGAAGGGTCGCTGAATCTGGGCGTTTTTGAATGGGAGAGTAAGCAAATCAAGAAGCTTTACCAGCCAAGATCTTGGAATTGTCATATGTTTTGGGTCACACCTACAGATGTTCTTCGACGATAAACGAATTTTGTATTCTTGTATACATACATTAATTACATTTGTCATAAGAGATTTTTGTTTTTGTAACAAAAAAATTCAGCATCTATTGTCTTCTCAATACATACTTTCATAAATTGAAAGGTAGCTTTTGGTCAAAACTATTTGTCAAAAAGTAGTTCTTACTAACCAATCTAGGACTAACAGAGAACCGAAATTCCTCCCGAATCTTTGAAACACAAGAAAAGTAACCGAACGGATGGATTTGAGATTGACAAAATGAGAGCAAACATACACAAGGATCCAATGTATAGAAAAACATGAGTCACCAAATTCAATGACACCAACATTTCTTATCGCGTCTAGACTACTTATGACTTCCCTGACACCTTACCAGGGTCTTAATTTAAGGCGATTACAAATGCAACTGGATCTTATCAAAGTGACGGTCTGTGTAAATACTCAAGACATGGTGGATGAAGCTGTTGCAGGGCTTGAATGGCTGACAACAAGTGGCGGACGCAGAGCATTGTGTTTGGCTTCTGCTTCTTTGCGAGCTTTGTACATCTCCTCTGTTTCAACAACAACCATCCTTTTAACCTGCGCAGAGGGTATCACCAAGAAAATCACGTTTTACGTCAACATCATGCTTGAGAGAGGAATATGACATATGACAAATGAGAATAGACAAAAAATAAAAAAAAACATAACAGAACCTGTTGAATCATTCCTCTAACGGATGAAGTGTTTGAGTGCAAAACAGTGCGATGGCATCTGCGAAGTCCCATGGCCTCAAGTGTTCGCCTGTGAAGCTTCCTGGTTCCAGGGAGACCTCTCACTAAGGTTATGTACAAACTCTTGCTCCATTCAATGGGCACTTGTGCTTTAAATGCTCTAAATCCACTCATCGTTTTCTTGTCTCCCTTCTAACTAAGGCTCTCTCTGTAACATGGGAAATCATCACAAACATATAAAAAATTTACGACATAGAAAGACAAAAGATAGATCACAGAATCATACACTCAACTTCTCCAAATTAAATAAGCAGCTTCAATTTCCAAAAAAGGTTTAAATCAAACTGCTGCACGAAAATTGGGTCTTGAGAATTTCGTTTTTGTCGAGTGTGCTAGCTTCTTGAATGATCACATACACAGATTATTTCAACAGCAAAAACAAAGCTATACCACAGACACATGAACTCAACTTCCCCGAAATTAAAACCGTTTATTATTTAGTTCACCGAGCTGAATCAATCAAGCAGCTTCGTTTGTAACACAGAGATTGAATCAAACTAGAGCAAAAATTGGAGTTTTAACAGATCAAAACCAAACACTGATTCCCAAAAAATATACAAAAAAAAAACCAATCACCGTAGAAATGTAAGCCTACCCAAGCGGATACAGTAAACGTACGCATTATCAACATGAATTCCATCGAGGGATCAGAAAACAGAATTCAGAGTCAAAATCACGAATCACGAATCATGAACCACGAATTAAAACAAAATCAAATCGATCACGACAAAGAGATAAGAGGAGTGGGATAACGCGTGGTAAAAAAAGTGAAACCAGAGACTTTTTGTTCGAATCGGAATCAGATTAAGAGATACCTGGAGGAAACAGAGGCGGCACGTCCGGTGAAAGAAGTCGTCGGAAAATCTGAGCTTCGAGGGTTTTAGGCTTTTAGCTGGTTAAACCAAGATCCTTTTTGGGCTTTATCTGGGCCCTTTAAAGATCATTAGTAGATTGAAGATCAAGGCCACTTTTTTAATACACGTTAAGTAAAGCCTAAAACCATCGAAGCTCGTGTTTGATGATATCTTAAAAGGAAAAGCACCGCAAGTGAATTTTTCTGTCAATGGACAGGAATACGGTCTGGCATACTATCTAACCGATGATATCTATCTTAATCGATGATATCTATCCAATCATCCAATCAATTCCACTTCCCCAGAGCAAAAAAGCATCTGCATTTGCAGAACGTCAAGAGGCTGCCCGAAAAGATGTTGAGCGTACTTTTGGTGTATTGCAATCTCGATTTGCAATTGTTAGAAATCCGGCTCTTTTTTGGGATAAAGATAAAATAGGTAAAATTATGAGAGCTTGTATCATACTCCATAATATGATAGTTGAAGACGAACGAGAAACACACACTCATTATAATGTAGTAGAAGAATTTCAACTAGGGGAGGGAACTAGCAGTTCACCGATAGATCGCTCGTACTCGACAACTATGGCAACAAATGTTGAAAATATGTTGGATACTCGGAGGAGAGTTCGTTCCAATGAAGTACATGAACAATTGCAAGAAGATTTAATGGAGCATATATGGCAGAAATTTGGTCATTTGTATGTTTAGTTTCTATAAATGTTTTATGTTAATTTGTATGTTTAGTTTCTATAAATTTAAATGTATGTTTTCTTAAGTTTTAATCAAATCAGTTTTTAAACAGTTATGATTTATTTTAATTTGGTAAAAAATTCCTTTTTTTTTAGCCCATATCAGTCTCTCCATTGCACGGGTCAAACACGAAGTCTCTAAAATGGGTTTCTAAACTCACTTTTTCCACAGAAACTAATTTAATATTGCTCTGAAGACCCTCATGGGTCTCTCCCATTGAGGTTGCTCTTAACTTACTCCCTATGTTCATTTTTTTACACACAAGGGCATTTACTAATCCTCTACATTTGGAGATAGTTTTGAAATATTGTTTTCAGTGCCAACGTGTGTAAAAACAAGAAACGTTTTTATTCACTAAAACATGAACATTGTATTTGTAAAATTGTTTTACTTGATAAAGGCTTGTGGACCTTGTTTTATACCGGTCTACATACATTCTTTTCTTAGATGAAAGAAAGCTCATTATGTGATTGTTGCTTATCAAACTGTTCCTTTCTTTCTTGTCAAAATATCACACAACATTCGTTTTCCAAACTCAATGGGTTATAATTATGAAGAGTGTGAATGTTTTACTAAATACTTTAACTAGAAATATGATAGAAATCAGGAATTTTTATTTTTTTTTGTTTAAGTGACTGAAATGAATTACGAGATGAGATTAATCCATATGTTGCTTTGCAAAATAGTGATTATGCGGCAAAATAAGTTTGAGTTGTATTGTTTTATGCACTAAACATGAACATAGTATTTGCATATTCTTTAACTCGATAAAGTCTAAGAGAACAGATTGCTTGCTAGGAGAAAAACAAAATCTAACTAAGAGAACAGATTGCTTGCTGGGAGAAAAACAAAATCTAACCAACTTCGATCACACAAACGTGTGAATGGTGTTTTGCACTCCTAACTTACTTTTTTCGTAGCTATTTTTTTCTTTTTTAACTACTTAAGAGCAAAACCTTAAAATGGCGGCGATGGAGATGGCGTGTGTACGGTGTTGTTCAATCTCGAAGAAGGTTTATAAATATCCATGGTCATTGCAAACATATGACTTTATGCAGAGATTGTGGCAGATCCATGGTCATGGAAAAGGAGACATGTCATAAGTGCAGAACCTCATTCACACGTTTGATCAAGGTTGGTTAAATTTTGTTTTTTTTTTCTCAGCAATTTGTTTTTTAATTTTTTGAATTCTTTTATCTCTTTAGATTCTGTGAACTTTAAGCTGCATTACTCTATTTTTTTTGTGGTTATTATTCCGACTATCTCTTCATTTTTATTTTACGGTAGTTTAGAAACCGTAAAGTATTTCCACCATAAATTTTTATATTTTTTTCTCTTTTTTATTCATAAAGCCCACGAAACTCAAATCCGAATAGATTTTACCTTTTGCAATAGCTCTCGGCTTGCTCTTTTCTTCTCCAACTTCTTTTCTCTCTTCGTTACTGTTTTTTAACTTGAGTAACAAACTAAAATTCTTCTAAGTTTTTTGTCCCTCCCAGCTTGGTTGTTTCTATTTAGTTTGAGTTTCTAATCGTAGTTAATTGTACATTTTAGTTGTCGGTCTTTTCTACTTCTTTGTTATCTATGTAATCTATTGTTCAAAATTTAAAAATCAGTAATAATCTTAACGTGCGTACCAAAAAAAAATCTAAACAAGCAGATGATTGACGAAAAGAAAACGCAACATTTCTTCTATCCATAAGGACCATACTATATTATTACATGCACACATATACTTGTTTGTTTTTAAAAAAAACACCACATGCACTGATGCACACATATACTGATCTCCATTTTACAATGATACATGCCTTCATCATGCTCCTTAAGACGTGTTGATAGGCAAACCATCCTTGTCAGTAACCTTCTTGTGATAGTCTCTACCCTCTTCCTTCTCACAAAACTCCTCTTTCACTTTCTCCATCTTCGCCTCAGTATCACCGGAGGCGCTGACCGCCGCCACCGCTCCGTCGTAAGCCTTCTCCACCGTCTGGCTAGCAACACCTTGTCTCGTGAACTCCTCAGCCGTCGAAGGAGCTCTTCCTTCTTCCCTTCCTCCACTCGCACTTCCTCTCTACATGTTACAGAAAACCCCACCCCACAATTTAATCTAATACATATATGTTGTTAAATTAGTTATTTCATGAAAATAAACAGAGGCTAATTTAGAATATACCTTAAGGTAAAGAGAGTAAATACATGATCTTATATTAGCCTTGGAGATTAGTTTTGGGTTCACATAATTTACCAACATATTTTATCTTTCTTCGGAAGTCTCTCTCTTTTAAACTTGGATTAGATCAAACCATAGATGAAGCTTTGTCTCTCCTACTTATAGTATGATGATGTCTCATCAACGGGGTTATGATTATGATGCCACGTGCGTGAGTTACGTGTGTTAATTTCATGGGCCGTAATCGTTTAATCTTAATGGGCTTTTGGATCGATCCCGCACACATAAACTCATCTGTGGTTAGAGTAGAGAAAAACAGAACCAAACAAATTTTGTAAACAGAACCAAACATAGCAGATATATTTTGTCCGCTCGAGGAACACCTCTTTCGACACAGAAGCACAAATCCAACCGTCAATATATAAAAAAAGTCAACGTATCGTCGTTGACTGACATCGGTCTCTTTGCTGCTCTGCTCTAGGGTTCTACTATCGGTCTCTGACATTGCCGGGATGGAGGCGAGCAGTGAAATCATCCGTGAATTGGAAGAGTTAAAGCTCAAGAAGGCGGAGATCGAGCACCGTATATCGTCTCTCAAAGCCAAGCTCCAGGAGACGGCGGCGGCGGCCGAACGATGCGACGCCGTATCTAACGGTTACTCTTATCCAATGGCGGCGGCGGCGATTGAACACGGGCTTGGACACGGCCTGTCTCCTGATCAGATTTACCGCTACAGTCGCCAGTTGTTACTCCCTTCGTTTGGTGTTGAAGGTAACTCTGCTCAAACTGCAATGACCAAAAACTCTTTGTTACGTTCTAGTTTCTGTTTTTGAAAGTTCAAATTTTAGCCAATAGGAAGAAAATGGAGATGGATGGTTCTGTTTTTTGAATTGATGAGAAGAAGTCAGCTCTCTAGCTAGTGATGACGCAGCTGAAAGTTGAAAACTTTCTTTTGTTTCCCATGACTTTTGAATTTTTCAGAGATATATTTACCCTGAAGCTTAGTTTTAAGACGAATCTGGTTTGCTTGTTTACTTTGCTAATGTCTTTCTCAAATCAATCTTTGTTGACATGTTCTGTTCTATGTGCGTGTATGGTTTTAGGGCAGGCAAGTCTCTTAAAGTCTTCGGTATTAGTCATCGGAGCTGGAGGGCTAGGCTCACCTGCATTATTGTATCTCGCAGCTTGTGGTGTTGGTATGGTTTCAGACTCTTATCTCAAATCTATCTAACATATATATCAATAGCATACCTTACATTCTCTTGATTATGATATGCTGCTCATCTTTTTCGATTGTATTCTCTTAGGACGATTGGGTATTATCGATCATGATGTTGTAGAACTCAACAATATGCACAGGCAGGTACGACTTTGAAAAAACCTCTCCTCTGGCAGCTCTGAACAAAAGATACTAGCATTTACTGATGTCTTTCTCTTTTGGGGTTTTTTTACAAATCCAGATAATACACACTGAAGCATTTATTGGTCACCCCAAAGTGAAATCTGCTGCTGCTGCTTGTCGCTCGTAATTCATACTCCCTTGGGATTGATTCTGCTTTAGTGTAGTATTGTCATAGTCTGAGTCTCTCAACAGGGAGTTATGCTCTACTCATTTGGTCTAATCACTGTGTCGTTTTACTTTTATCTCCAGAATAAACTCGACAATCAAGATTGATGAATATTTGGAAGCTCTCCGGACGTCAAATGCTTTGGAAATCCTCAGCCAGTATCCTTAGATATGTAATCATTGCTATAGGAAGTCTCAGTTTTCTCTATCTCTCCATTAGCCTCCTCAAGTAAAGTATTGAATGGTTATTTGTTTCCATAACTGCCTAAATTTAGATATGATATCATAGTAGATGCAACGGACAATCCTCCAAGCCGTTACATGATCAGCGATTGTTGTGTCCTTTTAGGAAAGGTGAAGCGTCTTATGAACACTCTTTTTTTCTTTCTATGTTTTGTTCATTGTCATAGTCAGAAGCATTGACGCGTGTTTTGTATACAGCCTTTGGTATCAGGTGCTGCGCTTGGAATGGAGGGGCAGGTATGTTATTATATTGCAAACGAAATGATCCTGTTACTCCTTACATAGATATTAAGCTACTTATTAAAGGCTTAGTTTATATTTTGATTATTTTTTTTGGGTATTCAAGCTTACGGTCTATAATCACAAAGGAGGCCCGTGTTATCGATGTCTATTTCCAACTCCTCCACCGACAACAGCTTGCCAAAGATGTTCTGATAGTGGAGTTCTTGGAGTAGGTACATGAATGGCGGTTCTTTCTTTTCTACAAGTCTCCACAATTTCTTCATTCTTTCTTGAAAAGGAATTATTATTTTTTTTTTTGTTTCACAGTTCCGGGTGTTATTGGTTGTCTACAAGCGCTAGAGACGGTTAAACTCGCAAGCATGGTGGGAGAACCACTCACTGAACGGATGCTTCTTTTTGACGCTTTATCAGCAAGGATCCGGATTGTAAAGTTTTACTTAATTTCCATTCTCTTCCTCATTAAAAACTCCATCTATGGTAATATTAATGACGTCTAGTGTCTGCACAGGTCAAGATCAGAGGCAAATCGTCTCTCTGCACAGTCTGTGGAGACAATTCATCTTTCAATAAGCAGCAGTTCAAGGATTTTGACTATGAGGACTTCACCCAATTTCCTTTATCTGCGGTATCTGTTCTCTGTTTCTTTCTTTTTCACGCACCCATCATTTTGTTTTCCATAACAGTCTCATATATGTTTTTACCTGCATTTATTTGATCACAGGGCCCGTTGAACCTACTTCCCACAGAATCAAGAATCAGCAGCAAGGAGTTCAAAGAAATCCTACAAAAGAAGGAACCACATGTTCTTCTCGATGTTCGACCTTGTCATCACTACAAGATTGTTTCTCTCCCGGATTCACTCAACATCCCTCTAGCAAACTTGGAGGCTAGGTTAAACGAGCTTTCTTCAGCTCTGAAAGAAAAGGAAGATGGCCATGTCAACACCGGTTCTTGCACAAATCCGAGCCTCTACGTTGTTTGCAGGCGCGGGAATGATTCACAGAGAGCTGTTCAGTATCTTCGTGAATCGGGTTTCGATTCAGCTAAGGATATAATTGGAGGACTGGAGGCTTGGGCAGCCGATGTCAACCCCAACTTCCCCACCTATTAGTAGAAAACATGCATCACTAGTTTTGTCATGTAAACCTTGTGTGTTAACATGGTGAGTTTTTTAGATGTTATGATTACTTGTAGTTTGATTCGATCATAAGAACATAATAAGTTTGTATTGATGTTATGATACCTTTGATTCAATCTTTATGGATGATACTAAATTAGTTCCAATTTTCATAGAGCAATTAATACACATGGCCAAGAAGGGAACAAGATAAGCCTTTTATTGACGAAAACAGCGAGACTTGAGAACTGTGAAAATCAATCATGAGAAGCAGAGCAAGATTCATAGAGCTGCCTTGTGTAAAACGAAAATGAATAAAGCATTTTTCAGACTGGTTTTGGAGGAAAGGGACAAGAGTTGGGATTACAAGTTACTACTTCTTCTGGTTGTCGTTGTTATTCTCTTGGACAGCTTCTTCGTCTTGCAAGTTAAACCTACGCTTGAACTTGGCAATCTGACCAATGCTTTGAGCCATTTGACGCTTAGCTCCAAAGTGATAGACTTTGCCAACATGTTGGATTCTTGTCATCATCACGTGCATCAATCTACCGCTCTGTGTCACATAAGAGATCCATTGCATCTGTGGGTGCACTCCCTTCTTCATTGTTCAACAACTCTACAAAAACCAAAAAACAACCAGCCCTTAAAAGCACTCAAGGAATCAAATGAACATTGTTGAGGCTTAACAAAGATTCATGAACCAAGCAGAAATGTAATCAGAAGGTGTTGGTCACTAAGCTATTCATCTCAATTTCATGATTTACCCTACAAAATCGGCTTAACGAGGATCCGATATCTCTACCCTATAGGCACAGAAATGCAACAAAAAAGGATTTTTAAATTGGATACAAATCTCTATAGTGATAAGCTGCTGATTTCTTATTTGCATTTTATCGAACACCTTCGACGCCTGTGCTTATTCAGTAAATTAGACGCAAATTCTCGACGGCTTTAAACCCACCACAACTCAGAAAACAGAATTACGGTTTTTCGCCATCGAGATCAGTGGTTTAGCCTAAATCGAACGGGCATCTAAAGAAATGAAAAAAACAAACTTCTGGAGAACGAGGAACAACTAGAGAAATGAAAATTTGAAAATTCTACCCAGAATGATGATGAAGGAAAAATGTATATATATAGAGAGAGAGGTTAAGAAGCGCTTACGCGAGTAAAGGTATAAGCTTATAGTGTTAATGGAGTTCTTCTACCTCCGTGAATGGTGATGCAGAGGTTAGCTCTTGCTTCTTTGCTTCACCACTCCAACAGATCCGATTTAGGGCCAAAAGAAAAGGCTCCGAGACCTTCTTATTCGTTCAGAGAGTTTGAATGTAACCTCATAAACTCTGATTTACGGAATTTAATGGGAGATTTTGATTTAAAAAGTTGTCATTTCATGTTAACGAAACTTTTCAATTTGGAATTCTTTTTCGAGTTTCATTTAAGTAGAAAAGAGTTTGCAAATGTTAAACATCATAAACCAACAAAAGTTACAAACTTCAAACACAAGTTTGCATATATATTATTATTATTATTAGTTTTAAAGAAGCTTTTAGAAGCCCCATTCAATTAGATACAGCCTCTTCTTTCACTGAAGGACAACACTGTGCTCTTATGAAGCCACCATCCATGGAACTCTGCTCTTCAAGCTCTTCTTCTTCACCACTAAAACCCATTGCTTCAAAGATCATAGTGTTAACTTCTTTGAACCTCTCCTCTGATAAAGATACTTCAGCGAGAAGACTCCATGCTTTCTCCTCTGAAGCTCCTTGGTAATCTTCTTTCCTCTTCAACACCATGTGACCACTCATCTCCCAAACCGCTGGATTCACTTGCGTATCCAACAGCTTCGAGCTCACTTCCCCTAAAGCCTGTTTCTCTGCGTAACACTGCAATTCAACACAACAACAAAAACATAATCGTTAAAAGGGATCAAAATCAATTGAGTATTTTCTTTGTTTTTTGTTTTGAAGTTTTAACCTGAGGAAGAAGGAAGATTTGTTTCCCAGAATCTGAGATGAGAATGTTGAAAGGAATGTTGTTGTTCTGAAGACAAACGGATGCGTTTGCTACAGTATCAGACAGATCTTTAATGGAGCTTCCACCTTCAAAGAGAAGACCTCTCACAGGATACTTCAAGAGTTTCGAGATTTTGACGCAGTCATTTGTGGTAGTGATCTTCAAGGAAGGAGCTTTCTCGATTGGGAATGGCATTGCCAAGTAGTAAGCCTGTTCCAAGAAAGACACAAAATCTCCATTAGAATCAAAATCACATACAAGGGTAACCATTAAGATTTCAGAATTCATAACCAAACTAGTTTTCTTTACCTGAAAGTGAAGATGGTTGATGGTAGCAAATGCACCTAAACTATTGTATCCAAGTCGGAAATACGAATTAGCGGCTACAGTCGCCATTTGAATAGCAAGCAAAAGGCTTTTGTGATCAATCCTTTGAGGCAAGCAATCAAGAACACAAGGAATCAGCAACACATGTCCATACTCAATTGGACTCACCTATTCATAAAAGAATTTTGAGTTCAATGTTTAGCTAACTAATTAGCAAAAAAAAGAAAGACACTCTCCTAATAGCAAAAAAATTCCTTACATTGATTGCAACGACGCTTGGAGAATTGTCCGCGTCTAGAGGCATGTTGGGGAAGAACTGGATTTCTCTATCGTCGTCATCATCGGTAGCTTCAAACTGGAAAAGCAACTCTTCTTGACCAACTTTAGTGAAATTGAATTTGTTTCCATCAAATGGTTGAAGAACTTTATCAACACGGAACTCGGTTGGTCTCTTCTTGAGATGACGACCTTCGTTTAGCTGCGCGATAAAACCGTACTTCCCCGGTATAACCTATTAGTACCAAATTTACCAGTAAAACCATCAAACATCAACAATGTGAACACAGAAACTTGATTCCTCAGAGCTCAAGTAAACGTCAACAATGTGAAAACAGAAACTTGATTCTTCAGAGCTCAAGTAAACGTCAACAATGTGAAAACAAAAACTTGATTCTTCAGAGCTCAAGTAAACAACAACAATGTGAAACAGAAACTTGATTCTTCAGAGCTCAAGTAAACGTCAACAATGTGAAAACAGAAACTTGATTCTTCAGAGCTCAAGTAAACAAGTGAAACTGAAACTTGATTCTCCAGCTTAAGCAAACATATCAAAAGACTTGAGCTTCAAAGTAAATCAATGAACCATAAAGTAAAGAGATGATTTACCTTGGTTTCACAGGCGGTAACATCATAACGAAAGAGTCCTCTTTGAAACCGATCTTCCCACTAGAAAACATCAAGAATTTGATACAATACTAAGACTTGTAATCAAGCAACAGGAATCAATTACCAAATTTGAAGTTTTTAGTTACACTACCTCTCCAAGAACTAGAGAATCTAGGAATGCCACCGGAGATTCCGCTTTTTCTCCGACGGATTTATCCACATTGTTGCATGTATACAAAGGAAGTCTTGCCCCTGAAACAAAAACAAAGGTCAGAGATTCGTTAAACAAACGATGAACTCAAATCCAAATTCAAACAAAAGAAGAATTTTTTCAGCTCTAAACAAAATATACCATTGATGCAACACTTGCTCAGGCAATTCCGACCACACCCGCCGCCTTCTTCCGCCGTCTCGTCTTTCTGGTAATTAGACACGACGGTGGGAACCCTTTTGATCTTCAACAACATTTTTTTCGAAAAGAGCAAAAAACAAAACCCCTCCCGAGATGATATACAGATTAAGAAACTAAAAAGACCTAATTAAAAAATGGAAAAGAGATCAATGGTGATAAAGGAACCGCCTCCGGCGAGGAAGAGGAGATCGGAAGGACTGCCGCCTTCAGACGGCAGAGCTCCACGTCCTCCGTGCGGCGAAGTGTTAGTTACGATTAAGCAACCCTTGCGTTGGACATGAGAGCTCAAAGGCCGTGAGTATATCCCGTGTATAGCCGTGGTTACCCCCGGAATTCACACAGATTTCGCCGGAGAAGAAGAGAAAAAACAAAATCGAGGAATTTCACTGTAAGGATAGGTTTTTCGATGTGGGTTTCATCATTCTTTGAGATTCGAAATAGATGGTAGATAGATGAGTGATCCAGAAAAGAGAGCGAGATTCACGTGTTATGTGTGTTAGAAAGAGATTTGAGGTCGAGATTCGAACGTGTGGGTTTTGTGAGGAAGATAGATGATAAAACACTTACTTACCGGGTTTTATCTTCTGGGGTTTTTGACCCGATTGTTACTTTCCGGATTGACCCGCTGACTCTCATCCACCGGGAGCCGCCGTTTAAGGAGTCGGTTTCAAATTTATTGACTTTTACCGTGACGTCATCTATTTGGATTTGGCCTAATAAATTTCTTCTCACGTGTATATTTATTTCTTCACCTAATACTAATAAAATTTGTATTTTTATATACCTTTTGACTTTCTTCGGTGTGTCAAAATTTTCAATTATATTTAGAGATCAGTTTTTACATTTTCATATTTCGCCTATCAGTTCTTACATTTTACCCCATATCATATCTAATTTTATGTACTTTTTAATGTATATATCGATATATCTCGAAAGTGGCTAAGGGAAAAGAGATTTTATTTTATTTTATATATTTATACGTATAAAAACATTATTTTGGAGTGTCACACTCTTATATAAAACTTATCAAACACAGCAGTATAGTACTGGAAACGAGGATGTTCCAGTTTATTCGTAGACATTAAAAATAGAAAAATAATCTCTTTATATATACCCCTCAAAACATTATGGGAATCCAAAAATACACACAACACCTTCATTAATTATCAAGTAAATAATTAATTGGACCGACCTTTTTTTAATTAGCGTCCATGTAAATAAATCATCCGTATATAATTTAAATAAGTTTTTTTTGTTTTTTTTTTTTTAGAAAACGTTGGCGTGAATGAAATGATTGATTCATCACGCGTAGTTACAGAGACCGTAGACGCAGAACTCGCCAAGATCGCAACGATGGTTACACTCACCGCAATGGCGTTTATCGTAAGCCACGTAAACGCACTGACCACGACAACACGTTTGCCCGAACTTGCATTTGTTCTTACACGCACCGCAGTTTTTGTCGTCGGTTGATAAATCCATACATTTGTTGTTGCAACAAGCCATTGTAGCGTTTGCTCCGGTGCTGTAGTAGCTGCTGCTGCAGATCTCTGGGTCCTTGTGGCAATGGTCAGCTGCGTTTGGGTTACGAGCCTTTGGCCCTTGACCCTGGTCGACTTTTTCTGCCAAGAATCGACTCGGTCTTATCTTAACCGCTCCTGGAGGTGTAACATCTTTGAAAGGATCTTCGAGAGCGAATGTTGCGGTTGTGGTGGTGGTTTTGGTGGTTGTGGTTGTGATGATGGCGATTGTGATTGCGGTTGTTAATGCAATTGTCACGAGTAGCTTAATCATGAATTGAGCCATTTTGCTCTTGATCTTTGTAGAAGTGTGTTTTTGTGAGTCAATACACTAGAGCTCGAGAGATAGCTAGATAGCTAGAGAGATAGTTCTTTCTTTATCTCCTCCTTCTTCTTCTTCTTCTTCTTCTTCTTCTTCTTCTTTGTTTATGTGAATGTAGAGAGGGGAAGAGATTTGGAGGGAGAGAGAGAGAGAATGTGTTGTGAGAAAGGAGAGGGTGGACTTAGGGTTTATAGTTGTGATCGAGACGAGTTGACGCGTGAGATGTGGTGAAAAGGTAAATCAAGGTTTCAAGCGATCGCTCTTTTTCTTTTTCCGGAAGGGGCGTTTTATTATTTTATTTTCATTTCAGTTGTATACTATTTTTATGGGCATGTACATGCACATGTTTATTTGCTTACGTTGAGGTACACATACGCGTTTATAATAGAAATTAGAAGGGCTTACTTCTTGGAGCAACAACTTGTATGTAATATATGAAATCAAAACATACAGAGTATAATGTAGCCCTGTAATATACTGGTATAAAACGATAATTGAAATATTGTTGATTTGATTTGTGGTGAAGTATTTGAATTCATTGTAAAATCATCGGTTTGCAACGTTACATTTTTATAATTCGTGGTATTGATATACCAATACCATGTTGATCAGTGTTTTTACTTCTATTCTATAATGGTTCTCCGAATTAATCAAGTCAGAAATACAACTTTTTGATTGGTCAAATAAAGAAACAAAAACAATTAAACTTTTGAAATATATAATGCGAACATATACAAAATAAGAAGAAAAGGTATTATATCGATAGCTCTACAAAAATAGAAAGTGATGCGTGACGAACCATGACTGAATCCATCGCCTCGCCTCATGGGCCGGTCTGAGACGATTAAGGCGAGATGCGTGGAGAAGCAAAGGCGTCCATTTTTTCATACTTTTTTTATTTTTATTTGTAAAGTTACTTCTTGATTTATATTTCTAAATAAATGAAGGAAATTGAAGCTATACATAGACACTTGCTTTAACTTGAATTCTAAATTTCGACCCGCATACGCCCAATCAACCACGAATATATATTTCTAGAATAATGAAAGGCCATTTTTGACATTGTAAATTGGAACAATAAAATATTTAACGAAGATTACGTAAGCCAAAATCTTAGAAAATACAAAAGTTTTTATCTTGAGAAGTATGAGCGAGCTTGGTAAGGTTAAGTTTTCATCAATCATCACTACCAGCCTTCTGTATAGATCAGTCAAATAGATTTGATGAGTAAAAAAATGATCTAATGTGTGACAACTTAGAGTAATTATTGTAACATATATATGAGACAAGTTAAGTACATATCATTAAAACTATATTTTTCTTATATATAAATGATCTTAAATCAAATTAAATCCAGATTAGTCTTTGGAGTGGATTATGTTACTAAGTTAAAACTGAACACTTAGGAAGCATCCAATCGATGCAATGATCAAATGTATGCAGAGTGGAATCTCATTCGTGATGTCCGTTAATATGATAATGGCCATTAAAGTAGTATAACTTGGTTTAAATATTATAATCAAATGTATGCAGAGTGGAATCTCATGTGTGATGTCCGTCAATATGATAATTACTAGATATTCTTGAAACAATTATTTTAAATATTAATTATCATATTGAAAGTTGAATAACAACATAGTAATTATACTAGTAATATAAATGCGAACCGAGATCAACTGGTAAACCTAACTAGTGAATCGTGAATACATCGAACTATATGGAAGAAAAATCTTGACTAATTAACTGGTCAAAGACGTCCACAAAATTAGATTCAGTGTTTGTTTATAGTTCAAGAAAGCTGTGGAGAGAGGTCAACGCTTTGCTCCAATTTGTGAAACAATGTACGAACTTTACGTCACAAAAGTCAATACCATTCCCTTGTTGCGTATTGGTCATTTTCCTGGCCATACGATAATCTACTGTTTCTCTACGATATCTTTCTGTTGCATTAACTATTAAGCCACGCGCAAACTTCCTTTTACATTAAATAAACTACTATCAATTGATTGATGCACACTAATTTGGAATGATTAGTTGTATATTATCTGTTATTGAAACTTGTGAAAACAATGTGTGATGTAGGCTGTTCAAACAATAGATTTCATTTTACTACTTGCCTTATCAATTCACATAAAGGCCTAAAGGGAATATTTTTTAATAGAGAATTCCCTTTCTGTTATTCATTTTTTACCCTTCAAAATATGATACAAATTTTATTGCAAATTTGCAAGTGACCACAAGTTCGTGTCCATTGGTCAGGCTTCAACCGGATTAAGCCGGTCGGGTTCTATGCTTTGCTTCAGTTACACACTTAAAATATTCTTTCTTCTTCCTCATCAACTAAAGCTAATAAGCTATGTTATGTACATGCTAGATCAACATACCATATTCTAAATATAAACGGATCGTTTAAATGGTGACATTTCTCCAGGTTTTGAAATTTTCATCCAAAATAGTTAGCGAATCATTCTTTTGGAACTCAAACAACTTAAACACAAATTAGTTATTAGTCTATGGTAGAATCATAGACATAGTCTCACATATTCAAAGAACAAATAAAAGACCAGATAAATATGATATATCGAAACTAACTTTTTTCAGTCATAGTCGCCGGGTGGCTTACTAAGTTAATGCATTGGAGAGACCTGAAATTAAGATTCCGGGCAAAATATATAAACTTTATTTAGGATGGGGCAAAACACAAAGAAAAAATCTAAGCTTATCTTTAGTTTATTTAGTTTGGTCTTCTTAACTAAGTGGACATGTTAGTTCTTTGCCTGTGTATCTAAGTCCTAATTAACTTTCCTTTTTTTGGTTTTAAAGTCTTATTTAAGTTGCGGTTAATGTTTGTTGTATCTTCTAATTATCACAACAATCAAGTTGCTGCATGGAGTTAAGTTTATTGGAATTGAAATAACCAGATATTTGAAGAAGAAGAGAATGACCAGATAGATTTTTACTGGGGTATATAACTAATATAATATTTTCACTCTGGGTGGTTATGCAATAGAGATAAGATTATGGGGCAGAAATATAAAGCTTTGGTTAGTACGGGGTCGAAAACACAAAAAGCAAAGTTTATGGTTCCGCTCTGAGAAAGAATGCACACCGTTTTGGGTTTTCCTTTTCCCAGACTGCACGTCGGTCTATAATTGAAACAAAAACGTTTTCTTTCCTCGGAAACGGCAATAAAAATAAAAAGTCGATAAAACGACGTCATTTCAATGAGCAGATCTCTTTCGAAGTTACCACGAATCCATCTATTGGCTCAATAGTCTGAAACATCCGATTCCAATTTCACAGACCCTAAGCTCTTCCCAAATCCCAAACTTTCGCTTTTAGCAAATCTCAGAATCATCAATGGATCTGGAGATTTTTGGTCGTCACGCTCTCTCGTTCGACGACGATTCGATGGCAACCTTTGTCAACTCCCCGACGGCGCTCGTTGACTGGAACAGCCTTCTGATTGACCGGTATGATGTTCGTCACCTCCTCTCTTCTATTCCTCCTCCGCGTCCCAAGCGCCGCCGTACGATTTCAGACGATCCTGACTTGGAATCGGACCTCAATCACGAGCGTTATCTTGATTTGCCGACGGAATCTCCATCTCCGTCGCACGATGAGAGCGGTAAGAATTAGGAACTTCTTAGAACTATTCGTTCCTATTTAGTTTATTAAATTGGCAGAAAAACCCGAACTTAGATATGTTAGAGGCATTAAACGTGCTAGAGGATGATAACGATTAATATCAGCTCGATACTTGATTGGTTGACCTTTCGAGATTAAATTTTTTTTAGCCTGTCTATTGAGAAGCTTGAGTAACCATTCGTGTTGAGTATGTGCATGTGTGTGGGTATAAAAGCTAAAATGAAGAATTGGCAGAATCTAGCTTCAAACTTTACTATGAACTCCACATTCTCTTCTACGTTTCTATATTTTTTTCTTGATATGCTCAATGCCTTTGATCTCATTGAGTTTCAATTCCTTCAACTACCGATCCAGCTAAGATAGAATTTACTTTTTTGTGGGTATTATTGAAAAACGTGTAACTTTTCATGTGATATGCATCAGCATTTTGTTTTCTATTAAGTAATTGCGTTTAAACCTTTTTGTGCGCGAGTTGGATTATGTATCTCTGATATAATACGAGTTCTGAAGCTACTGTTTTCATATCCTTGTAATTATGTCAGATAAGTATTTGGACATCATTTTGTATGCGTATCTATTTACTTCATCGCTGATTTCAAGCACATTGATTTTTTTTTTTAATTTCCTAGTCGTCAGTATTTTTCTTGGTCTCTCTGACTAAGTGGGCATCTTTGTTCAATGCTTGTGTAACTAAGTCCTAGGTTTCACATTGATGTTTGCTGGTTCTTTTGATTATCACAATCAATTGCTGCATTGAGTTCAGTTTTTGAAAAGAAATAACATCAATCTAAAAGAACTTTGGTTTACGGAATAATTTTCTCCCAGAGTATTTTAAGTTATCTTTGTGTTCCCTTTTTTTTCTCTCTTTACTTCTTTACTCTCCAGTTGGTACTCAGAAAATTAATCCGTTTTTTTTTTTCAACTCTTGCACCCCAGATATCAATGATGTTTCAGCAAGTACAAATGCCGATGGTTTTCGTGCTGTCCCCTATTCATACGGAAGCTCCAGTGATTTCAATGACCAGAAAATTGCTGATATGGACTCTGGGTTTCACCCGTCTTTCCCCGTGCCTGATTATTTACTTCAACACCTGGTAAGTTACTGTTTTGGTAGATTGTTCCCTTTAGAGATATGCGGGTTTTAGTCACTTATCTGGTACTAAACTGATATGGCCATGTAAACATCTGAAAGGTGCATATGTTATTCTAAGGACTACCATGTCTAAGTTTCAGATGCTCGGAGAAGAGATGGAGTTGTCTAAAGTTGTCATTCACAGTCACCTTGTTTCCTTTTGCTGCCATGACAAGGGGCGGTGCAGGTGGGATTAAGATGATAGAAATTCATGACTTACCAATAACCTAAAAATGAGTGCACATCCGATGATGCATTTCTATACAGATCTGATATTTGCAATTTGTGATTCTCCATACTTATGTGAGGTTTCATTATGTATATATGTACCTGTGTGTTGCCAAAGGTTCGTTCCGTTAGAACCAGGCATCATGAGATTTCACATTACTAATTGATTTTCCTTTACATTTTTCTCTCCCTTCTTTTCAGCCCCCAACTGAGAAATTACATCAGATCATGGCAAAAACTTCGAGTTTTGTAAGCAAACATGGTGGGCAATCTGAAATTGTCTTGAGAGTCAAACAAGGAGGCAACCCAACATTTGGGTTCTTGATGCCAGACCATCATCTTCATCCTTACTTTAGGTTTCTTGTTGAACATCAAGAGCTTTTGACAGGAAAGTCTTCTGTAGAAGATACAAAAAGTGAAGGTGGGAAGGATGGTGGAGCTTTGTCCTTGCTTGGTTCGGTTTATGGGACAGTAGAAGATGAAGATACTAAAGAAGAGCCACCAATGGACTGTAAAACAAACGAGTCTGCTGAAGGTGATGGTGGTGCTAAGGTTGCTGATTCCAATGGACCAGAAGGGTCAAAAGAAGCTGCAAAGATTGCCACTGAGAGAAGTGCAGCCTCTAAGCATTCTCTTCCGTCAAATGATCAAGCAACTTTCGCAAAAAGAAATCCTTCTGTCAGCGCAGTAAATGTTGTAGGGAGGAAGCAGATCAATACAGAAGATAGTGCTACAGAAAAAACATTTTCTGAAAAGTTGCAATCTTCTTCAATGCCGGCACAATCCAAGCTTGAACTGCAGATTGTGGAGCCGCCTATTGAGATGAAAAGAGTGATCAATAAGATAGTTGACTTCATCCAAAAGAACGGGATAGAACTTGAGGCTACTCTTGCTGCGCAGGATGTTAAATACGGGATGTTTCCATTCTTACGTCCAGCTAGCTTATACCATGGATATTATCGGAAGGTTCTCCAAGAAGCTGAAGAGGTACTTCTATTTCAAAATTTTGTGTGTTTAATGTGCTTGAAATCTTACGATTTAACTTTCGCTAACAATATACACGTCGGCTGATTTCATATGCAGTTAAAATCATGTGGCAAAGGCGATATTACCAAAAAGGAAGACATGAAGCAAGAGAAGATGGGCAATGATGTAAAAGATGACAAACCTGTTGTCTTAACGGTTGATTCGGCCAAGAGAGAGAAACTAAAAATGGTTAGTGACAAACCAAAGGCTGAGTCACACAAGGAACCATTCAAGCCCGTCGAACCGCAGACGAGGATCACAGTAGATGCGAATACTGCTGCTGCTATTCTTCAAGCTGCCAGAAGAGGCATAAGGAACCCACAGTTAGGGATTCTATCAGGCAAACCCTTGGATGAGACTTCTCAGAGCCTCGGAAATGATGGAAGTAGTAATACTTCATCTAAGTCCCTTGATTTGGCCAAATCTACGACGGGTCAAGCTGCTGCTAGTGAAGCTGATACTTGTGAAGCAGGCTTGTCTAAAGAGCAGAAGTTGAAGGCAGAAAGATTGAAACGTGCAAAGATGTTTGTGGCCATGTTAAAACCCGGTGCCCAGCCAGCGCAACAAGCTGAATCATCGCGGAGCGTATCGGTCGAACCGTTGGACTGTGGGATCTCTGGATTAGGTTCTAATGCTGCCAAAGAAAGAGAAGGTGGCTCACTTCCATCTGAAGCTGAGCCGAAACAAGCAGATGATAGTGGTATCAGTAGAAAAAGATCAAAGAGGAATTACCGTTCCAGATCACAGAGAGATGAAGATTATGAAATGGGAGAAGAAGAAGAAGACGATGAAGAGAGAAGTATGGATGAAGTTACAGAAGAAACCAAGACTGAGAAAAATCATTCAAGTAGAAAACGGCATTATAGGCATAAGCATAAGACCAGACCCGAGCCTGGGCAGAAGCTTATGAAACGGAGCCGATAAGTTCAGTTCGAGTCTATGTTTTGTGGCTTTTTTTTTCCTTTTAACATTTTGCTTTAATTAAACAGGTGTCAATTGTTCCTTTTTCTTATACTTCTTTTCTCCTTATTCTTTTGAGTTTTTGAGGCTACATTTTGTATTTTTGACATTTTTATTATACTCAAATATTTTTATATAAATGATTTAGGGGCCAAATATCAAATTATTTGATAACAAGATTATATAAATCACATGATATGATTCACATTTTGTCAAATAAATATATTGTATATTTTGACTAACTATTTTAAGTTGCTTTGACGTTTGATGAAACTAAAACGCAACATTTTATTTTTATTTTCTGGTCAACATCATTCAAAAATTAAGTTATTCAAGCATTATGTGCTACTCTACCGTAGCATTTGATATGATGATATGAGACTAGAAAAGGGTCAAAAGTCAAGACGACGTTTGTAAATAATCGTTTTAAAAAAATAATAAATCTCTACCAGTTACCACCCTTTCTCCCAAAATTCTAACTTGCTTCCATTAGATTAACAAAAAAGAATTGAAAACTCTTGTTGTTCTTTTTTATTATTATTTGTTAAACCTTTTACGTTTCCACAAAAATTGCAACGGAAAAAAAGCATGCACCAAACTAATAATAGGAGTGAAATTAGCAGAATATGTAACTATGTAAGAGCACAAAAGACTCTTCAAGAAACCTTACTAATAACGTTAATAAAAAACATAGCGTGATTTTACTTCTCACTTTTCACTTCACGCTTTCAAAACCTTTTTTTTAGATCCCAATCACATGTTTGGAGCCGCGTTTGTTTTAGCCGTCCATTCCCCAAAAGCCAAAAAAACGCCCAACTATTATTATTATTAAAAAGGGAAAAGAAATTATCAAGCCAGATTCAAATACTATTTAATTTCAATCTAGAAAATTATATAAAAAAATTATCTTAATCCAACTGTATTCTCTAAGCAAAGTAGAGATGCGAATAAATTTTCCCAACACCTTCTTCTTCCCTTTTAAAACTTTGTTTTTTTTTTCTCTATAGAATCTTCTTACATAACCCCAGCTTGCATTCCAATTAAAGACATTTCACATAATGAAGCTCCACATTCACATTTCAGTGTTTTCACATTATTATTACCACCATTTGACTTTACCATTACAGCAGCAATTAAATATTTATAAAAATTTTAAAATGGATTACGAGTTACGACGGAAAAAAATTACGGTATTAATTGAGAACATGGACAAATTACGAAGCAATAACCGTTTAACTAAAAAGCTTTTTAACGATAGATTTAATTAGGATCCCACGCTAATCCCGCACTTAGCTTTTGCTTCCGCCACGTGGCAGCATCTTTAGCTTCCTTTCAAGAAAAAAAATTTTGTTGTGCTTTTGCTTGAGCCCTATTGGTGGATTCGAAGTTACGGCGCCGTCCAATCTGGCGTCATGCCGTCAAAGCTGTCATCATCCAATCCTGTTCTGCCACGTATTTTGATTCGCACAAGACGCATCCCCAGTTGCTCTGCCACACAAAGTGTTTGAGACATAAATAAAAAGGCCACAAAAGGTAAAGAGCTTCCACCAAATTTTTTATGTTTTTGTCATGTATGTACGTATACATTGATGATATCAAAACTTATAGAACACATTATAATCAACGTTCTTGGTTTTGTTAGATGTTAAAAACCTAGAAAGAACATAATACTACTAGTGATTTGGTAAAATTAGTAATTTGGTATATGATGCATTAAGAGAATTAACATGTATATAATGACATCGTATAATCAAATGCTTTGACAAATTAAAAAATAAATTTTCAAATATGGTTCGATCTAACAGTTAGAGCATGCTTTTTTTCTTCTGTTTTACTAAATCCAAACTTAAATATGATGTAACGGAAAGAGATAGTCTATTAAGCAAAAATGTCGTAAATGACTTGAACTTGCATCACATATCTCAAATAAGACTCTTGTTCTTTTCTCGTTACTTTTCACATTACCATATTTATCAAACTTACCAATCATAAGTTCTTATTACAAACTTTACATAACTAGAACATTTTGTCTATACTTTTATTGTGGCTAACTGATTGAAACTTTGATAGGCAATTATCCAATTTTTTTCTTTTCATTTTGTACTTTTGTGCTTGCATTATTTGTCATTCTACCAACCAAAAAAAAAACAGTTATAACATTTCTACATGACTTTTCTTTGACGTGAATGTAAATAGCTAATGTTTTAAAAAATTTAGAATATCGCTTGTACGATATTAGTTTCTTATAGGTATTTGTTGTTTTGATCTTTCTTAGATAATTCATGCTAATGTTTTTCCAAGAACATGATTGAGTCATGGTTCTTTAATATTTTTTATGTACTAGAAACTTACCAATGATCAAGTCATATTATATTCCTTTTTTAACGACTCGCATTTTGAATTCGAACATAAACGGCTGTATTAGATCTAAGAAAACAATAATCTAAAATTAAATTTAAAGTGGAAGATAAGGTAAAGTTTTGGTGCTTAATAATTGGAGGAGAAGAATAAAGATTAAAAGAATGTCATCTCTGTTCAGACTTTGAATTAAGACACCAAAACCCCATGCCAAAGTCATATATATATATACACTCATACACAATTGTGAGTTGTGTTATGTGTGCAGTATATATAAATAATCACATCACAAATCTTTACTTAAACATTTGAAACCTCTGAGATCTCTCTCTCTGTCTCTCTCTCTCTCTTTACAAGTTATTTCTCTTATCTACCTCCTCTGTTTTTTCTTGCTCTGCTCCAATGGGGGAACAAAAATGGATAAGAGGACCAATCATAGGTCGAGGCTCAACCGCCACTGTCTCACTAGCAATCACAAATTCCGGTGAATTCTTTGCCGTCAAATCCGCTGAGCTTTCTTCATCGGCGTTTTTGCAGAGAGAAGAATCGATTTTATCGAAGTTGAGCTCTCCTTACATAGTCAAGTACATTGGGTCTGATTTAACGACAGAGAACGACAAATTGGTGTATAATCTCATGATGGAATATATTTCCGGCGGGAGTATTCACGATTTGATCAAGAATTCCGGCGGGAAGTTGCCGGAGCCGGCGATTAGATCCTACACGCGTCACATACTGAAAGGTTTGATTTATCTTCACGATCGAGGAATTGCTCATTGCGATTTGAAGAGCCAGAATGTTATGATCGGAGGAGAAACTGCGAAGATCGCCGATTTTGGTTGCGCTAAAACGGTGACGAAAAACGGGAATTTGGAATTTTCCGGTACACCGGCGTTTATGTCGCCGGAGGTAGCGCGTGGTGAAGAACAGAGTTTTCCGGCTGATGTATGGGCTTTGGGATGTACAGTGATAGAGATGGCTACTGGGTTAAGTCCTTGGCCGGAGCTAAACGACGTCGTAGCTGCGATTTACAAGATTGGTTTCACCGGCGAGTCGCCGGAGATTCCAGAGTGGTTATCGGAGAAATGTAAAGACTTTTTGAGGAATTGTCTGAGAAAATGTCCGAAACAGAGATGGGCTGTTGAAGAATTGCTTCAACACCCGTTTCTCGACGAAGAAGAAGACGAGGAATCTCAAACTCAATCTCGTGACTGTCTGAATTCATCTTCTCCTAGTACTGTGTTGGATCAAGGTTTCTGGGATTTATGCGAAACCTCGAGAAGTCGATTAATTCAGGCGGATCACGAAGACCCATTTGCAAATTCTTCGACTTTCTTGTGGGATTCTTCACCTGCTGATCGGATCAAGAAACTCACCGGAGATGAGAATTCCGGCGAACCGGAGTGGATTACGGCGGAGGATGATTGGTTTGAAGTAAGAGGCCGCAACGAAATCGGAGAGATGGAGAAGCGTAACGAAGACGAAGACGCGAATTGCGTTGAAGCTACGTCACCGGAGGAAGACGAAGTGGGAGGATTTGAGTATTGGATCTGGGATCAAGAAGACAGCTTGTTCTTGGAATATTCCACTGAGAACAACATTTTTTATAATAATTACTCTAATAACCTCTTTGAAGAGGATATAATTCTATATTATGATCATCTTGAAGATGGTTTTGTACCACGAGACGATAATTTTCGTGATAATAATAAGAAAATTCATTTATTTAGCCACATTATGAGTTATGTTTTAGATTCCTTAACAGATTCGATTCATAGCTTTGACAACTACGCCGAGATTCATAACGCGGCGATTAAAGAGCAAACATGTGACTTAGTGCAATTTTTTAGACATTAAGAACAAAAAATGTTCTGTATACCTTTTTTTGGTTAAATGTAAATAAACTGTTAATGAAAATAAATTACTAAGGTGATCTAAGGTTTGACGATAGTAATTTGTTGATGAAAAGAAAAGGCAAATTCTTTATGTTTAACCAGCACGACATTGATGCATTTACATAAGAGAAGACGCGATTCTGGTGCGTGCGTTTCTAATAGGAATTTCCGTCTGTTCATTACTAATTTTTAGTTTCTTTTTTTGTTTTTGTTTACAATACTAACTTTTAGTTCAAAAACCACTTTGACATCTTAAAAAGAGTCATATACGTCTTCAAATTTGCTGAACTTTTGGTTTTGAAACCATGTGTACTAAATTTTGAGAGACGGTAACAAAATGGTTACATTAACAAATCGATTTGAAAGCTTTTACTAATAATATATTTGTTGGCATCAGCAGACTCATATTAGACTATGAAGTTCGAGATGGTCATGTGAAATCTCCCTACAACTTTCTTGAAGGTCTAGAAAATCTGTAGTTCTATCTTGAAGTTGCATAATCTAGTCCTCGCCACTTGTAGGATTAGCTCATTTTCAAAATCTATCTACATTTGACAGGTGGAACTGATAAATCTATATTACGGAAAATATTAATTTTTGGTAGAAGCTCACTAGAATTCGTATCTTGGTTGGCTAGGAACCATGCTTTGCTTTCCTGAACCACAAGTTCAACGGTTTTTATTTATTCGCTTTACCTACTCATTTGTTGCATAATAATAGTTCACCTTAGACCATGTTTATTAGAGAGATTTGTGGGTCTCTAAAGCATTATTTAAATAATTGATATCTAAGAGACGTTTCTTCCATATGTCAAATAAGAGACGTTTTAAGAAATTTCTCTTGAAACAAACCATTTTTGATTTATTTTGTGGGCCCAATAATATTAAGAGACTCAATTAAAAATGACCGATAAACATACTCTTACAATCTTACATAGTCAAGTTCACAATGTGACAATGCATGTCAACTAGATGATCATTTCATACTACTACTAAAATTATGATTTATGTTTAAGAAATTAACATGTATGGTGGTCCTAAAGTTTTGTTTTTTCAGACACCTACAAAATGTTTCACAAAACTTATGTGATAAAATGATCAAATTATTAGTTAACAAAATGAACGACAAGACGATGAATACAACCTATTAAAAATTATAATATATCGTAAATTAAAAAGTTAACATCTACGACCATGGACTGTACTTTGATTAACATTTAGACATACCAAAAGTGTTTTTATTTTCTAAATAAGTTGGTGATGATAGATGATAAATTCAGACTACTGGATTTATTGCTGGATCCTTGTTGAGTTTCTTAGGACTTTAATTCTCAAAATTAAATAGAAAAGGCTCAAAAGGAGAGAGATTGATCTCTATTTAAACATCACAATGATCGATTCTACTTATCAGGTGGTATCACAGTATTGGTTATCTTTATTTTAATTAAAAAAATTATTAATTCTTTTTGTTAAAAATAAAACCCAAAACGGTAGTTAGCAATAATTATGCAATAATTATGAGTTTCTTACAAGTGTTATTTAACTCAAAACAAATTGTATTAAAATAATGCTAAGAAACCCAAAAGGGTAGTTAGCAATAATCATGCTCTTATTAGGTACTAGACAATTTGTAAGCTCCCACTAATTAGTATAACTTCTATGGTTTATAAAAATTATTATATGATAATTTACTTGTAATCTTGTGGTAGTTAAACTTTGAAAGGTGGTAACATAAAGGAGAAAGTCGTCGTCGGTTGATATGTGTTTCTGGTAAGGAAGTTAAGTACGGAAACCACTCTATATCGTGAGGTTGACTTTATACGAAGTCCAATTATTTTAGTTTGGTCTAACATCTATCTATTATTTTCCTTTTGTTTTAAATATTCTTTTTGTGTTTACCAAAACCACAAAGGAGTTTCATTCAAATGTGAAAGCACAAGACTTTTTTGGGGTCTCTAACCAAAGTTGGCGTTTACTTTCTACACACTAAGCAAAGTTTGGTATTTCTTGACCAAGTTCATTCATGTTGACTTTTATCTCAATTCTCTATGTCGATGCTTTTCATTAGTTTAGAATAAATACATAATCGAAGTCGTCCCAACTTCGATTTTCTTATCTGATGTATTCGTTTGGAAAAAAGTAGTTTGTTGTTTTATAACTAGTCTTTTAGTTAAACAAGGTATAGTTCTAGAATCAATTTGTAAATTTACAATTATAATAATGTTCTTGAACAACCAAAAGCTTTCAAATCGACTTGTTAATCTGATGTAAAAGATCGATACCTAGAGGGAGGTCAATTTTGAAAAATCAGCATATTTTTTAATTGAAAACATTTTGGCATCTTGATTTTGAATTCAAAAGACATAAATCACACATTTGATGCCTTACTATCTTTATCAACAACCGTACAAGCAAATAAACCATCTAAAGAAAAGTAGGTTTAAGTGTCCCACTTAATGTCCAAAAGGTTGATGGTGAATCGGTGATGAAGTGTGATGAGTGATGACTCTACGTCGATGTCAAAATGACCTCACGCATCTAAGTCAAAACATTTTATTTATATATAAGAGAAAAAGTCAAAACATATCAAAAAATTTCATGATAAAATAGGTTTGGTGACAGCCATTAATTATCAGTGTTAAGTTACGTGCATATATTGCCGTAATTCGACCAACTGACTCATTTATGTACAACAAATAAAACAGTTACTAGCTAATAGTATCGCAATTGGTCAATTTCCATTTGGTTATTTGCATCTATTTTTTTTCAACTACGATATATTCACATCACCTTTGTACGATTAATGATTAGTTTAGATTTTTGACAATAAATCTGATAAATAACAATATCACACAATTGCTTTGAAGTTTTTGAAACACTTATAATTTTCACCATTTCTTTGAAGTTTTGGGCAATATGGGATTACAATTACAAACAAAATTTAACGAAGAGATATCCCCTAATTTTCAAAGACTTTTCTTTTAATTTTCTCAAATTAATAAAACAAAACGACTATCACACGAGACACCAAAAAATTTTTCAGACCAATTTAGAGCCATTGTTAATAACTAATATAGATCTAAAAGGTTGACTTTAGAAAAGGTGGAAGTGTTGTCGTTGGCACACACACACTCACTACACCTTAAATCCTCTTTAGTCACCTTTTTTCATATATATATATATATATATATATATATTTTGCTCATCTTTCATGTATTCCACTTGGATTGCATGAGTGAGTCAGAGTGTGTATATAGAACCTGAACACTTATCCATTTCAACTTCTTTTTTTTTTTTTTTTTTTTCTTCCATTTCAACTTCGAATCCCTTTCTTTTGCAAATTTTATATGAAAAATGTTAATACTTCCAAAGAGAATGCAAATTTTCTTTCTAACGAACCTATATATTTGTTGATTCTTTTCTTATGGTTGTCATGCTTAACTTATTATAATTATATGTATGTATGTAATTGGCTTACACGCAAGACTCCAAAAGAGCCGTTATCAGTATAAGTGTGTTTGGTTTAACGAAATATCATTATAAAGTAATGTTGTTATTTTGGATCAATTTAATACAGTAATGTTGATCGCTTATGTTTTATGTCTATATTGTTTTTCGTGTAAAGACGACACGAGTACTATCCAATAGAGTAGATACGTGATCAGCTATCTTTAGATTACAAATATTATAGTTTATAGATTTGATATATACAAAAAATCGCTGAGAAATAAAACTTCACACTCTGTGAACTGAATCTAAATAAGTGAGTTATGTTGGAGGTTGGATTTGGTATTTTGGTTTATAACTTTATACTGTTATATCGTTTTTCTTTTAATGAACCGGTTACAATTCAGCTTAATGTTAAATATGGATGTAAGTAGACTGTAGACAAATGTATATCGAAACGGTTCTCAAGAAAAGAAAAAAAAAAAAAACTAGACTAGTATTCATCTAATTAATGTTCATAGAAGCATCTAATATTAGAATATAGTTTACAAATCAAGGCTCTTTGTCAGAGAGATTATTCTTCCAACAATCAATTACCAAAAATATTGCGCAGGCAGCACATCCCATCCACCACCACCACCAGTTTTCTTACCTAAAAACCTTTTAATCATTTAAAAGAAAAACTATTAAGAAACATTGGGCTAACCCTAAGGATAGGCCTATTTACAGGTCGTATCAGTAAATACATTTCCCCATTCAAGAGGTAAAACAACTGCATTTAGTGAAATGATAAAGCTATCGTTTTCATTTCGTGTCTTCTTGAATTTTTTTTTTTTTTTCCTTCAATCGATTCAACGTAACTATGTAGCAGTTGTATGTATGTTTATCTCAATGTACATGGTACATGTACACAGTACATACATCCTATATATTCCAGACGTTTACCGGGTTTAACTGTGCTATTATCTTATGTATTATCCTTTGAATCATATCATGAACAATCTCTACGGAAATGAAAATCTTTTACCAAATAATAATCAGTGGCATTATTTAAAGTCAAAATTGTAAACATTTTGTTCATACTGTGTATGAAAAATAAAAATTCAATACACCGACGCTTCCCCCGCCCGGCAAAAACTCTTTTGAAACTATTAAGAAACCCCAAGAAAAGTGTTTTCTTTTTTCTTTCTTCAAAGTATCATTTGCAGATTGCAATATTTGTAATGGTCACCTGAACGGAAACTGGTAAAAAAAAGAAGAAGACAATAAAGAGAAGTATGATCTCTTTCTGTCTCGAATCTTTTCTTTCATATGTCGAGAAGAAGCCTCTGAGGATCTTCCACAACATCCTTAATACGGCGCAAGAAATACACAGCCTCTCTTCCATCAATCAGCCTATGATCGTAAGTCAGTGCGACATACATCATTGGCCTTGGTACCACGTTTCCTCCAACAACCATTGGACGTTGCACAATCGAATGCATTCCAAGAATCGCAGACTACACAATGAGAGATTTGTTTTGCGTTATTAAGGAAAGAAAAATAAATAAAAGTTCCTTTGTTTCAGTTGATAGTATTGTGAGGATTTGAACGGAACCTGAGGAGGGTTGATGATAGGAGTGCTTATGAGACTTCCATAGACACCACCATTAGATACTGTGAATGATCCTCCAGCCATCTCATCGATTGATATCGTTCCTTCATTAGCCTTCTTAGCAAGAGAGTTTATCGTTTTCTCTATGTCAGCAAAGTTCATCTTGTCAGCATCTCTTATGACTGGAACCACAAGACCCTGGAAAGTGAAAGAAAAGAATCAATCACTACTACCTCAAAAGCCTAAGATGATATTATAAGTCAATGTTTGGATCTCTCTATCAAGAGAATTGCGGAAACAAACCTTAGAGGTACCAACGGCAATACTGATATCTACGTAGTCTCTGTAAATGATATCGTCTCCATCGATAACTGCATTTACTACAGGTTGGTGCTGAAGGGCACTGACAGCAGCCTGAAACAAACAGTTAAAGAATATTGATTTATCGGTAGAGTTCTGATATGTTAATTAGCTCAGGAAACTTTTCTAAGTTTTTTCAAGCGTACTTTAATGAAACCAGACATAAGCCCCAACTTCACTCCGTGCTTTTCAAAAAATGCATCCTTGTATTGTGATCGGAGCTTCATCAGATTAGTCCTACGAGAGAAATGAAAATTATGTTGGTGAACTAACACGTGGGTAATAACTAGTGCACAAAGAGAATTTTATATTGATAAAAGACATCAACATGGGGCTTTTAGCTGTAACTCACATATCAACTTCATTGAAAGTTGTAAGCAACGCAAAAGTGTTTTGAGAGTCTTTCAATCTGGTTGCCACACGTTTGCGAAGTCTTGTCATTGGAACCTGCAATGTTGTTTAAGATGACATATGATCAAATCATATTAAATCATGTGAACGTAATTAGCTCTTCTCTCACAGGAGAAACAAACATACATATAATATATAAGTAGAAACTAACTGACAAAGTTTGCATACCCGTCTTTCCCTATCCTTAGGAGGAAGCTGCGGTTCTTTAGCCGACTGTCTAGGCGGCGGTGGCGGTGATGATGCCTTGGGTTTCTCCGCAACTTTAGTAGTTTCAACTTTGGGCTTCTCAGCAGGAGGAGAAGGCTTGGCAGCAGGTTTCTCTGGTGTCTTTTCTGAGGGTGCAACATGAGACACAGCATCTGCAGACTTTGAAATAATAGCTATCTTGTTTCCTGGTTCTACAGTGTCTCCTTCCTTGACTAGATACTGCATAAAGAAAACCAATACTTAGGCATAGGTATACAGGAGAAGAACAATAACAACAATAAACAACACAAATATTTTACCTCTTGGATCACACCACTTGCTGGGCTAGCAATATCAATTGTCACCTGAAGCGCAGAGATTAATCAAAAACTAGTATTAGAAAAGCTACACTAGAAACCTGCCAAAGATTTATTGGAAAAAATAAGAAAAAGAGAAATATGGAGATAGTAGATCATTGAATTATTTACTACCTTGTCAGTTTCAATTTGTGCAATAGCCTCATCAGCCTCTACTCTGTCACCAGGTTCTACAAGAACAAAATTAGAAGTTTAATATAGAACATTAGATACAGACATGCACGGGGAAGAAACGGACAAGAAGCTAATGCAAAGGTAAACATACTCTTCAGAAAGTTGGCTAGGGTTCCATCGGTGATTGATTCACCCATGTGAGGCACAACAGCTTCCACGACATCCCCTTTAATCACATATAAAGGAAAGTGTGTCAAAAAGGCCTAGAAAAGTTACGGTAACAGTAGAGAGCAAAGCGCATTTGAGCCACACGTTTCATTAAAGACTAAATCAGAAATGATATGAATATTGATGATTAGCTGAGATGCATCATCTATCCAAATATTGGTGGGTTCCAAAACACGGGAGAGAATCGTAATAACTTGAAGTAAGAGAGTATTTTCAGCCAGAGCAATCATACCACTATCAGATGAAAAAGGCCTGACCCATCTCTGCAGGGCTGTGCCTTGGTAACTGCTGAAAACAGACCTACACACATGGAAATAATTTGTTTCAACGAAAACTATGGGAGATATGAGTCTTATAGTCTATAAATGAACAAAAAAGCACTGAGCTTCCTAACCTCGAGCACTCTGAACACCCTGCAAATGATACAACAATTGTCAAATAAAAGAGTCTAAACGAGCATAAACAAAAAAAAAATACACAACAACAAGGTTCGTAAGATTATACCTGGACAAGAACGACGATGGAAGCTACGAGCATGGCTTCCACGAGGCACCAGCGACTGCACAATTCAAATGAAACTTAAATAGCTTGTTCACGGGAGAAACACTAACGGATCACAAATCTACAACAGGCTAAAAATATCCTAAGAGGATGAGTTCATGAATAAATATGAATCGAATCAACTGAAATGCTATTCCCTGAATCAATGAAGAAAATCGAAAACATAGATTACCGACTGAATCATGAATAAACGTACCTCGGTAGCTGAAACAGAGTGAAAGCTTTGGGAAGACGCTGCAACACGAGAAGATTGCAGTGATTTTCCCAATCCCTGAAAGAGAGATCGATCAAAACAATCAAATTGGGAAAATCTGATCAAAAGAGCTACGAATCTAAACGAAAAAGAACACCAACCGAAGCAGAAGAGCCTCTACTGGAAGCTCTCCTTATAACAGCACGCAACATCATCGCACCAAATCTCTGTATTGTAAAAAAAAAAAAAAGCAATCAATAGATGTCGGTGAGATTCAACACTCGTAATCGTAACGCACGAACAAACAAAAAAACAAATAATCAGCCAAATGGAGAAATGAAAAACGAAATGGGAGATTTGTTCATCCTAGAAAAAAATTCCTCAACATCAGAAACCCCAAATCATGTCAAAGCCATTTGTCGAATTTGCAAACCAAAAAATTGCTCAGATTCGTTATTTTCCGTTCACGATTTTCAAGCAAAAACCCGAAAAACAAAAATGAATCAAGAACAAGGGATCGATTGAAATCGAACCAAAGAGCTAGAGAGAACCTTAAGCGCCGAATGAGAAAGTTAGGGTTTGGAGGATTGAAGGAGGAGAGAGAGAGAGGACCGGGAAAAGCATATGACTTTTCTGAGCTTTGAGCAAGTCACAAGAATATGGCAAATTCAGAGGATTGTCCACGTGTTCATTTTCCTTTTTCTGATTAATCGAATATTTGAACATAAATTGAATATTTTCGTTTCAGTAATACGCGAATACGATCAGAGAGAGAGAGCTCGAAAACGCACCGTTTCATTAAAAGCAAACGGCCCATAGGCCTAGTAACCCATATTAGTCAAACGAACTGTTCATTACTCATTAGTCAGTCATTTTAGAAGCCAGAGATGTTGTTTTACAGAAGACATTCACATCTCATTCATTTTCATTTCTTCAAATATAGTTTCCCAATGACAAATGTTTAAATTTACAGTTACCAAACAATTGATCAAATTAACAGCCTAAAACCCAGAAAAACAAAAAACTATTGAGAAATGACTCAAAAACCAAATAAAAAATCAATAAGAAGGATTCAGACAAGAGTCGCATTATCAGGTCTAGGAGGTCGCTTGGCAAACAGAGAAGACTTGCCATCAAAAAGCATAGAGAACGATTGTCGCGGGCTCGGTTCGGTACTTTTCTGTTCAGTATCTGATGGAACTCTTTTCTGGTTTCGTTCTTTACCACGGAAGATGAAACCGAGCCGCTTGAACCGGCGTTTTGTTTCGTTGCCGTTTGATGGTGAGTCCTCTGTTTGCTTCATTGATCTCAAGACTTCTTCTGGACGTAATAACATTGTTTCCACGGTTTCATAGACCTATCAGATGAAAGAAAACCAATCCAAATCTTTAGTGTCTCTCTTGATTTTATACAAATCAAATGGAATTAGAATCTATGATTAGTGGTCATGATGTTCATATCCACATGCCCTTACTTTGTCATCTCTTAAAACATTCTCAACTCTATTAAAGTGATAGCTACATTAATATTTTGAGATTTCCAAGCAATTGTTCAAGTTTTTGAATCTATGCGCAGCTATAGTTAGTACCTGGCAGAGATCATCAAGCTTATCACTGCATGCACCTCCCTGACAAATCGCGACTACATAATCCTTGCACTCGAAGAAAAGCTTTGACAAGTCATCATTTGAGGCTAACATCGGCTCCAGCATCACAAACCCCAGGGAAAGCTGATAATTTAAGAACCACCAACTCAATTGTCAAGAGGCGTTTATAGCGAATAACTTAATTGTATGATCAACGACATCTGTTTAACACAGAGCAAGTTTAAAGCATTTGAGACTATGGTTTCTTCATTAGCCTGAAGATCAAGGAACCTAGTTCTAAGAAAATACTACAACATGAATTTAGGGATTCGAGTGTTCACAAACTGCAGTTTGTAATTAGTACCTAAAATTGATAGATATGCATAGTAATTGAAGACTGTTCTTGAATAAAAGGGCTGCATAGGGACCTTACAAATACAGAAAAAAAAAAATACAAGAAAGGAGAATATTCGATCTGATGGGGAAGAAAAAAACTTACAAGAGAAACAAATAGCTGCTCAAAAAGTTCAGCAGCTGGAATGTCTTCCAAAGAATTCAAGATTCCTTCCCTGTTATGAGTTTAACGAGCAACGGAAAAGATTCTGATGAGTGATCAAATCAGATTTCACTACGTTTAAGATGACATGCTATTGAAACTTACACAGCCAAATCTTCATCAAAGAGAGGTGCTTGTTTAACGGCAGGCAATGGTTTAGCTGTTTCCCACAGCTCGCGCCATAAATTACCTAATAATATATCAAAGTCGGGAAGACAGTTGAGAACACGACTCAAAAGATTCCAGCTATGGCTTAACCACAGAAAGAAACTGAGGAAAAAAATGAGCAAAGGTCGCACCTTCTTTCTGCATCCGAATACTTAATTGCCCTCGTGGGGGCGAAGAGTCATCTCCAGAAGAGGTATCATTTTCAGTCCAGTCTGGAGGAGAATGCCATCTCACAAAATCTTCCAATATACAGCCAGGATTTGCTGCCTAATATAATCAATTTTCAGATCAGATACAAGTTTTCTTATATAAGCAATTATATTCCAACATGGCAACATCATTAAGATTTTTCACTTTTGAAATAATCACCTTGAAAGCCTGCATGTCAGACAAGAGTTGAGAACATCCAGCCCCCATGCTGAACCATAAGAAAGACAACAATCCAATAATCTATCAAGATAATTGGATATCTGAAAAATGTCTGAAATAATAAATGAATGAATGGATGATATTAAGCCAGATAACATGTCTAGAATTTTCCAGTTAGCACATAGTATCTGATCTTTATAACATCAACTCATGATGTAGAAGCAGATTGATTAAGTTTCACAATTCACATTCAAAACATGATCCATCCCAAACATGTACCGAATACATCATTTACACAACCTTTGGAAAACATATTTCCCTGGCATGTGAGTTTTGATATACTTTAAATACACGATTGCACTCACCTCCCTGTCCGAAGTACTAATTCCTCTGTTTCTCTAATAAGATCTTCTGTCAACAGCGGACCTTCCTACATGGATATAAACACTAGGACTTGAGAGATAGAGAAGGTAGCTACAGTTTTATCAACTATGACGGAATTACGAACCTGCGTTATTGGGGCATATACAGGTTCACCAGTTTCCAACATTGCTAAGTTCTCAACTTGGTGATTAACGCCTAGGCGAAGTATGAGCTCTCCGGTGTTACTTTTAGCATACAAAAGAGAAATCGGAGAAGCCATTGCTTCTGAAACGTCTGACTCTTCATCGGCTGAACTGGCTTGCCTCATCACAGCATCTAATGCTTCAGAAGCAGCTACGCAGCGCGCTTTCCTGGCAAGACAGCAGTTTATAACCTGTAACCACTGGTGAAGTAGGCAACTTTTTAAATCTGGATTCTCGCCCACAGGTATACATGGTATTTGTTTCTCTTCACTCCAAAATCTCCGCAACTGTATACATGTAGATCATTTGAGAGAGGTTATCAACTAGAAGTGTGAAGAAAGAACCAAAGTGTCAAAGATTATTTTTTTAAGGCAAAGATTTGCAGCACAATAACTTACTTCATCAACAACCCTGCACCAGAACAACGCCATTCTCCTTGGTGTTGTAAAACTTCCAATTACTTCAGCTAGCTTAACAACAAAGCTACCAGGGGGAGCAGCATGAAGATCTTTAGCGAAAGATGCTTTGCTAGGAGACTCCAAATCAGAGACAATCATTCTGATGAGGAAGTTACTATCTGTATATAATTTGCCAAATTAAAAACAGTGTGAAAATAAGTAGCAGTAACTGGAATATAGTTTGATGAAGAAAACTTTCCAGTGTAAGGCAAACCTACCAACATTAAACAAGGCATTTATTAGAGAAACAAGCTTTTCCTCATCCCCTGAATCAAAACCAAGTTTATCCTCTTTTTCACCAAGAACCAGGGATTTCACGGCAAAGAGGCTCAAGCCCCCCCTCTCCCTCACTGGTGATGAACTTCCCGACGACGTAACAAAGTCTTTCACAGTCTTAGCCCTTTTTCCCGCTCTGGAAAAAGAAACGAAGCCATAAGGACATAATGAGAAAGAAGAGCGAAACATCGCAAAATGCTTAAGCCAGAGAGTACAGAAAAGTTTGTTGATGTACTTTAGACTCATGTATTATTACAAATTAAAATCTCAGTGAGTATAACTGAACCTTTTGAAAACTTTATAGCCAGGAACTCCATGAAAAAGACAAAAGGAAAAATTTAAACAGTGTTAGAACTTTTGTATCAAGACTCACTCGATGGCTAGAGCCAGCTGCTTCACAATGGATGCCCGAGGAATACTGTTCACATCAACGGCATTTAGAGATTCTACCAAGTAGCCGACATCAGATGCCTATACATTGGCATTTGAAGAAAATATAATCATGTAACCGCGGAGAAGCAAACAAAATCTTGACTACAGGCAAACAGCATGCTTTGGCAGTGCCCGTAGCAGCAAAAGTTATCTGAAAAGTTGGACCATTAATACCTTGGCTTCTTGGTCTTGCTTTGCTTTAAGAATGAATAAATTTTCGTCATAGAAAGGGGCAGCCATGGCTGAATCCTCAACCTTTTCTTGATCTTCGACTCCTTTCTTCCCAATTCGTAAGTTTTTCAGTTTATTTTGCCACTCTTGCTTTTTCCTAATATGTGCAGTTCTCCATCCCTGAGGCTTCACTTCATTCTCCTCCTGTACCCAACAGTTCCAATTAACAGAAACTAAAAAATGTACCTATGGACAATACTCACATAGCATTCCACTTCATCATGAAAATCGAAAGCGCAAAGAAATGCTGAATATTATCCAAATGGCTAAAGTAAACTGTTTTTTTTCTTTCTCTCATCATCCAAAACAAACATATATCTATGTTCTGCAATTTTCTTACCGAGATGAGCAAGAAATAAAGTAGCTAACTTTCAATTCCAAAATTCAAATTCAGACTAAATCCTTCAAAATGCATAATCTTCACATCAATGATAATCTATGAATTTTCCCAAGCTTTTTTTTCTCTGAAATCGAATCTATTATTCCATATCCCAAGATGATTCCAAAATTGTTTTCTGTGCAATGAATGTACCTTAGGGTCACTCTCAGTCCTCGCCGATTGCTTCTCCTCCTCTTCAACGATTCCAATAAGAGATACACTCAAGTAAATCAAATGAACATCACCAAAAAACAAGAAGAATACCGAAATAGATTTGAATTTGACTGGATAAAGAAAGAAAAAAAAAACAATAGAAATAGAATTGAATTTGACACGAGAGAGAACCCAAAATAGAACTTGATTTCATCAAAACGAGAAAAGGGATTTAAACAGGAGAAAAAGGGATTAAAATCAGAGGTCGAGCGATAAGCGTCTATGCATCAGTCAAATTTTAGTAAATGGAAATTAAGGAAAACAAAAATAAGTAAAATTGAAGCGGAAGCTACGGGAAGAGAGAGAGAGAGAGAGAGAGAGAGAGAGAGAGAGAGAGAGAGAGAGTGATAGAGAAAATACCTCGATCGGATTTGAGATCAGTGAAGACACGCTCAGCTTTAGCCGCGGCGGAATTGAAGGCGGTTCTAGCTTTGGAGACGAAGGACGGCGGCGCCGCCTCCATTATCGTGCGCACCTGTATGTACGTGCGCAAGTTAAGAAGCTGCGCCTTGTCAAAGAGACGGCATTGAAAGCTTGAGGAAAAAGAGAAGACGAAGAAGAAGAAGAAGGTGAGATCAACGAGAGGGGGGGAAGAGATTTTTAGGAAAGTCGCGTGTAGAGAAGAAGCAGACGAATTTACGAAGACACTTGTAAATATTTAAATGTTTTTATTTTCTTCTTCTAGATTTACTATTCAATAAAATATGAGATAGATTAATGTTTTTGCAATATACAATTTATGGTATGGAATTTATTAATATGGAGTGATTGTCCAGTCCAGATCGTCGCCTAGGGTAAAGCCATTTTGATAAATCTTATCTTAATAACCAAAAATAAAAATATTCTCTTCTATGATTTCAATCCGAATTCAAAAATTTTGGATGAATCATATGATTTACTACTTCATAGTTACTTTTCTTAATGAAGCAGATGATTTCTCTCCTGTTTTGTCCCTAGCTTGCATGATTTATAGACTTTTTGTTTTTTGTTGTGTTCTTGTCAAAATACTCATTTTCTAATGTTGAAATGTGCCAAACTTTATTTTGTAGAAATTCAACAATTCGGGTAAAGTTGTATGTTCGTTTTTTTTGGGGGTCAAGTCAACGGGTAACGTTGAATATTTATCTTAGTCCCTTACGGTGTTTCTGTGACTTTTTTTGGTAGGTCCAATTCGATCTTTATATGTATAAGGAAGTTTATATTTGCATTTTTGATGAGTAACACAACGTTGCTATCAACTAAGGATGCTGTGTTGGCAGGCTGATAGACCGATCTAATCCAAATCAAACCGGTTTTATTTTTTTATCAATTATATCTTGTATATTACTTTTTGTGATGTTGATTTTCAAAGTTTAAACGAATTAGATTAAACGAATTTCTCTCTATAACCACGATGAATAATAGATATATGAATATGTAGTTCTGAGCTTATGATGGTCCAAGTTGATTAAAGAGCTAACTAATGGTTGTGAATAATAATTGTGATAAAGAAATTGACTGCTTTAGGTAATAATTAAAATATAAACTATCGTTTAGCAAGTTGCGGGGATAGCTCAGTTGGGAGAGCGTCAGACTGAAGATCTGAAGGTCGCGTGTTCGATCCACGCTCACCGCATTATTTGTTTTTTTTATTCTCTTTATTTAATTATTAGTTTCTTACCTACATAAATTATTCTTAGCTGATAGTCAAGAAAACCATTTCCCAAAAGACGCTCAAAGTCTCGTTACTCTCGCGAAAGAAATTCAAAATCTCAAAGCTAGGGTAACATATTTAATGAAAAGAAGCTAGTAGATTGCATACATATAATTGTTTAATGACATTTAATTGACATCTGAAATCTTATTACACAGTATCAAGTAACTGTTTTCTATGATCAGTGAATTTACATATTCTAATGGCTTGCAAGTCACGATATTTTAATAGCATGATTCATGACCCATCGTGGTCTAACATCCCACACACTACCAATTTCAATTGAAAAAGAAAAAGACAATAAATCATGACGGATTAAAAGATAGTTTTTCGGCGTTGAAGAATCTTTCGGTGGGGCTTTGTTAATATATACTATAGTTTTGGAGACGTACATTCTCTAAATCCGGAACAATTTTCCGGTCTCTACCGCTAAATCAGGAAATAAATTGAATAAGAGTAATTAGAAGTAAGATTCGGTGACTGGTCAGGAACGGTGTGTTGTAATGAAGTTTTTATGTTTGCACTTGTGATTTGTCTAATACTGATAGAATCAGTTATGAAAGTTTGGTTAAGTCATGATTTTCAAACTTTAGGTTTGGTCCGACCTGATCATGTTGTTATACGAGTCGATTCACTGCGACTCGTAGGGCACCATCATGGCAGCTCACCGTGTATTTTGTGCTAAATTAATGGGGTTTGCTGAGTCTTTGCAATATATATAGCTCAATAGCCAAGTTTAATTTGGTGGTTGCGTGGATTAAAAGTAATTGGAATGAATTAAAACATTGGACCAAACAGAGGATTGCGGCAAGTAGGGTTTACAGGTAGTAGATAAATGAAGAACCAGGTGGTCCAGGTCTGCTTCTACACCAAAGCTTTGTGCATCGTAAAGTTGCTCCGTATCAGTGAACACGCAACTATTTTTTTTTTGGTTTGATGGTCTCGAATCTCATAATTTAATTTCTATTGCCTTTTCAGCTTCTATAGCTTTATCATCTATAGCTTTATCATCAAGAAAGCGGTGCTATTTGAGATTACGTCCTCATCAATTAAGTTACTGTTTAAAATGCTTCTTCAATCTTCATCATCAAGAGAACCCTTCAATTAAGTTACTCTGGATAGGGTACTACTAATGTGATGATCCGTGTATATTGGAGAGTGTAACACAAATCCTCTTGTTCTTATTCCTTTAGAAAATGAATTACTTAATGTGAAAAGAGGAACATATAGAAAACGAAGAAGACTTCTTTTGGTGTCATTGTCTGACGGTTCATGTCATTCCTTCATGGTATATTCTACGGAAATTTCATTTTACTACATTGAACTGCACATGAAATATTAAAGATCTGAATGGTGACAATAAAATTAGTGATGCAAAATTAGCAGATGGAAAAGGATAAATAAAGTGTGGTTTGTGTGAAGAAATTGCCATTTTTTGAAGCTCATCTCACGAGCACCCTTGGGAAGTGGCGTATCGACTTGATCAGGAAGATTATCTCCCTCACATTATTGCAAACTTTAGATATATATATATATATATATTTGGGGATTTTAGCATGTTATTACTATTTGAAGAATAATGAACTTACATACGTATTGTGGAATGAGTCTCTCAACGCCTGTCTGGGTCTTACGCGCTTGAGATCTTTAAAGTAACAAGGATTCAAGGAAGTTGTACTTATCTCTCCTTGGCTTATTAGGAATATATTGTTAGATATTAGCGTATCTCTCCGTATCGTAACTGTTTATCACAGCAGCATTTTTCTGTTCCTATCAGAAAGTCAATGGCCCAATAATGTTACACTCAACTATAGATCAAACATGCAATGGGAACCATAGATAATTGGATATGCTAAATAAACTTTGGAACATTGACCAATTAACTTCTTTAATAAATAATAAAAAAAAAACTGAGAGACAAACTAGTAAATTAATAAATAAATATTTCATTGCATGGTAACAAATTAGTACGTATACTATTTTCTTCTTTTTTTGAATTACGTTATACTTGATTACAAATCAAGACTCCAAAATCCATTTTTTTCTGTTTGATGATCTAATCTTTCGATAACGAAGCCGTAATTTGTTTTTTCTGTTAAGGTGCAAAACGAAGCTGTATATAGATCTCAGGATCTCAAGAAGAGACCAATTGAGTGAGAGTTAAAGGAGAGGAGTATTGAGAATCAGCATCAGATAACATAAGATCGACGATGGTCCGAGCCGCAGCTTCCGTGGGATGACCGTAGAGATCCCAGAAGAGATATTTGCTTCTGTCTGAACATAACCTTGACAAGGGAAGACATGGAGACTCCGCGTTTAAATCCCCATTTCCACAACACGCTGATGTCACTTCTTCAAAACCTGAAATCAAAAAACGACAATGCATTCATGTGTGTCCCCTCTATTAATTTTAATATTAGTGATCCCACTTTGGAATAAACTTTAACAGCCGAAATATAAAAGTTAATCGACGTACCGTAACGGGCAGGGTTGGTGATAATGTTATGGACGGACTTGAAGTTGTCAAAGTAAGAGTAAGTCATTGAGCTTTGCAACTCTTGTTTGAGTTCTTGCAGCATCTTTACTAGAGCTTCGTTGTACAAAGCACACCATGTGTTTGCCTCTTCGTCGCATTCATAAATCGTCGAGTTCTTTACTCTTTTTCCCGGTGTGCAACCTATCTGTGCTACCCCGATCATTAGGAATCTACGTGCTCCAGTATCGTGAACTCTCTGTCCATTACAATTTCTTATAATTAAATAAATTTTATCATTTTGTATGAATTCATATATGTACATAACAAATAACACGAGTTGTTTACCTTCAATTGCTCTTTGAGTTTATCAGCCATTGATTGTGCATATTCTTGAGGATTGGTCATTTGTCGAAGTTTGAACGATCCAAAATAGTCGAAAAGATCGTTGCTGCCTACGACCACGACGAAAGAGATTTGGAGAGGTGAACTTGTGCTTCTGATGGTCCAAGCTGATTCGTGAGTTCTTCATGAATGGACATGAAATGGTTCACTTGGTATGATAAAGGAATAGCTTGTCCCTGATTATTAATAAATCATAAGTAAAATATATAACACAAAGCGGGGATAGCTCAGTTGGGAGAGCGTCAGACTGAAGATCTGAAGGTCGCGTGTTCGATCCCACGCTCACCGCATTTTTATTATGAATTTGTTATGTTTTCTTTCATTTATTTCCTAATTAATTAAATAAGTGAATAGTGGGTAAATAATAAATGAAAGAATTATGTGTGCTGGAAATCTACCGCCAAACTTTCGGTTCGAAATTAAAGCTGACCATCGAATCAATACTTTGCTTTTTTGTTTGGGAAACCCATTGAATCAATACTGTGTTTCAACCTTTCCATAAATAAATTTGAAATAATTTTACTATATTCTATGACTTACATGTTTCTTGTCGGAACTGTTGAAGATGCCGGCTCCGCCGGAAGCAAAATTAACACCGGTCACGGCGGCGGATTCTCTCTTTTTCTCCTTAAATAGGCCTTTCAGTGAGAGATACGGCGGTGGTAACGGTAAACCAAATTTCTCGGCTAACCCAACAAATAAAAATGTAAATTAATTCCCCAAAAAAATATAATCAAGTCAATGCTCCTGTACTATAGAGATTCATATCAACATTTTCGAATTATATACATATTAACAAATGATTGTTACAACTACATGTAATTAAAAAGAAAAAAAGTTCCACGTCTAACTATTTGTTTTATAATTATGAGTAAATATATTTAATATTTTATGGCCAGCACGTCACGTTATCTAACGAATCGTGGCTTGACATAACATAAACATGCCAAACACTATTAACTTCATTCAAATATCCATAAAAAGAAAAACTCACCGATAGCATCGGCGGCGTTTTTGCCGTTACAGAATCTTCCGGTGGCTTTCTTGCTAGGAAAATCGACGCCGTTGTGTGGATAATTAGCTTTGGATATTGAAATTGCTAAGTAATTATTGTTTCCGGCATCAACCAACGAGTCTCCGAACACGTATAATCCCGGAATCGAAGCTAATTTTCCGGTCGCTCCTTCTAAACCGGGAAATGAATCGAACCGAAGTAGACCGAGTAAGATTAGAAAAATGGTGAGGGAAGGTGTGTTGTTCGTCGGCATGTTCTTTTTTCTTTTCCCGACGAACTCTTTAATTTGGTTTTGTTGTGGTGAGACTCTTGAAGTTGTTAGAGAGATGTAAACTTAGTGTGGTTTATATAGAGAGAAGAGAAAAATCTACAAAATATAGAAAAAATATAATTAATATAAAGATCGAGAATGTGAAAAGAGGAACATATAAAAATACAGCTTCGTTTGTTATCCTTGTCAGACACATCATGTCACTCTATGGTAATTTCATGTTGCTACAGTATATTGCACCGAAAACATTGATTTTGAAGCATTTTATATCTCTATATTGTTTGCATATTTAATTTTCTACATATATTGCTCTAATTTTATCATCTTTTTTTTTAAGATAGTCATTTTGAGGTGAATAGACAACCGTGAACGTGATAACATAATTTACGTTACTCTTTAATTAGGTAAATTAAATATAGAAAATAATGAGTTCTACTAGTTATAAAATAATACTCCTTTTTTTCAAATTGTTACAAGTTTTACAATTTTAGTTTATATATATTATATAAAACCTAAAAAAAAATGATTTGAAACGCGTAGGGTATCTTACAATGCGAAACTATTATTTACTCGTAAAGTGTAATTTACTATCTTCCTAGATAAGTAGTTTTTAACATGCGAAATTATCATCATATGGTCATGCAATAATTAAAAGTAGGGCTTTTCAACGAAATGTTGGGAAAAAGGATTGTGATTGATCCGACTTGTAATCATCGTGAGATACATGATCATTTTCTTTTGCTAACTAGTCAAACTTCCAGATTCTTTATCATTCCAAGCCATATAATAATAATAATAATATCTTTATGGATGTTCTTTCTTGCACCAAAGCTGTGATGTGCACCACCAAAACTTCCACCGTACGTATGAATTTTGGCCCATACAATCCTCACGTCTCCATTATCTGATATATATAAATAATGAATTATATACTTTTTTGGTAACTTATTATTGGTGTGTAATGATAGTAGTGATTCGAGTCAAACAAAATCGATGAGGGACGCGTCTAACGCGCAATTACATAAAAGTATAAGTTATGAGACAGATAAAAACCTACTCGTATCCGATTAAGTTTGGTCGGTTAAAAGGATTCTAGGTGACTAGGTTATAAAATTTAGAGTAAGGTTCATATCATACTCATATTTTCAGATCAGTAAAGGGAGAAAAAAAACTATTGATGTCTCACTTTGTGAACCGATATTTTTTTTTTGGTCAAAGAATCGATATTTAGAAAGTCATTTTAACTTAAATGCTCGTTGGTTCTATGAATAATTATCGTAGTATTTGTTTTTTGTAACAATTTTTTTGTTTTTTGCGTTGAGTATTGATAAGTAATTTTAGAAATTGACGTAGTATTTTTAGTCAATTTACAACTGATGTTTCTTAGAGTTGAAAAGAGGATATTAAAATTCCATCTATGAAGAATATTTTTTGAAAAAAAAAAATGTAGTAACACGCAAAAACCATGAATCGGTTATTCAGCAGTTGACCATATGATTAAATACTTTTGTACCATAAAAAAAAATATAAATGCAAACTCTACAATAAACAAGTTATATATATATGTATATATGCTACTGTCTTTATAATAAACAATACATTTTGTATATTATAAGGCCCATATCTTCAAGTTATTACTTTGACTAAAACATTATAAAGTATAATTTTCTTGTTTCAACAACTCACACACGTATCCTATCGGATTTAGATTCATATAGTAATAGTGATAATATAGTACAAACCGCTACTATATATATATATATATATATATATATGAAACAAATAGTATTTTGGAACTGTAAAAGAATTGATAATATATAAGAATTTATATAGTTGTGTGATTAGTGCAATTTTTTTTTAAAAAAGAAAATGGTTCAATTTATAGAATCGAAGATAATTTGTATCCTGTCATCCCATGAGTTGGTACTTACCATCATACCCTAAATCGTATGTCATGGTTTCATATTTAAAAAACAATTTTGAATAATTAAAATTGTTTACTATACAATATTATTTCAAAAAACTAAAATATAATACAATAGATTATTTCTAACGGCAAATATATTACAAAATATTACATAATATATTATATATATATATACTATTGTATAATATGATAAATAGATAAATGGAACTAGTAGTGGGAATGTGGGATCGTTAAAAACGAGTTAGTTCCATGATTTGAGGTGTAGAGGGAATGTGGGCTCGTTATTGACGTGTAATTACTAGCTTACTAGCTACTATATACGCGTAAAAAATTTACTACTTTTACATCATTGTTAACTGAGTACTGAATGCCTTAGCTTTCAGCTTTTCACATCGGAGTATTCAAAAGAATCCATTATTACCAGAATTAAAGGCTTAAGAGCTACCACAATCTGAGGACAAGTATTTTCATAAATAACGAACGACACTTCATTTATTGCAAATTCAGATTCGATTAATTGACTTGAATTGCCATTGACTTGCTAGTCCTTCCCAAGACCGACCGACCAAAAAATAAAATCGAGCTTTTGCCGAAAACACAGGTCCATTTGAATCGAGCTTTTGCCGAAACCGACCAAAAAATCCTCCATCACTCTAATAATGAAAACTGAAACACAGGTCCATCTTTCTGATGTAAGTAATAAAAAAAAAATGTTCATACGTTACATTCATTTGTCTAGTTTTTATTTTATTTCGAACACTGATGGCTTAAATAGATGAGACTTTGGGGAAGAAAGAAAATATAACTATGAACTGAAATTGAATGAAATAAAAGTCTCTGTGCTTGTTGTAGGTGGTCACTGTCAGTCAGTCTGTCACTAGCACCGTGTCAACTAAGCTAATCCCCACTCTGCAGAGATTGCGAGAAAAGACCACAAATAGCCTAAATATATTGATTGCATTCACATAAGTAAAAAACAACAGAAAACAGAAATCGTTCACACATACCGCATATGGAAGAGATTATAATATTATCTTATTTTTACTTAAACAAACAAACAAACAAAAATATATTATTTTTAGTATCATGATTTAAGATATTTTTTCTAGTTATTCCAAGACTGTTTTTTTCCATGAAGTATCTATCTTACTTTTCCATTTATATATCCGATCTTAAAAATACTTTCTTACCTGAAAATTCGGTAAATACGCATGACACAATGTTTGTCCGTTGATTGACATCACACGAGTATTTGTTGATCGTATGAATTGTCTCTAATAGTCGATAATGACTTGCGAATATATTTGTATATTTAGTATTTACCACCAAAATTTGAATACAGTTTCACCATCTAATTAGCACGATCTTAAACAGATCTACGTGCTCTTCGTCGTCTGCTTTTTTGTTTGTAAGCATATTGGATTTTAAGTTATCATATACACAATGAAAACGATTGCAACCAGATTATGCATATCCGGTATTTAATAAGTCTCACATGGTTTGGAATTCAATTTGATATCGATATATTCTGTCAACGCATATCATTCTTCTCGAAGATTTTCAAATTAACTACAATTTTTATTTGTTTTTTCGAATTAATTTAATTGTTGTTACTGTAAAACCGAACTGGACATTCTAACTTAAACTAACTCCAATATCTCTTATAGAACACGGCACGTTTCTGGCATTATCTAGATGAACTATTAATTAACAAAACTACCAATTATTACGTCTATACATGTACGTAACACACAAATCTGCAAACATCTGCGATGGTTAATTTTAGCGGATCTCGGCAAGAATTGATACTACTAAGGAAAACCGTATGGAAATATATCGTCTTGCATAAAATTCATAGAGATTCGACCGACTTGCATAAAGTCTGCATATTCTAGCATATTTGATAATGCAAGTTTACTGATCAATATCCGTAAATCAAACGTAAGTCTGCTGTACAACCTATTAAGAATCTATAAATTTTGAGAAAATTTATCGAAAATTCGCACTTGTTAGATAAGGTTTTTAAATCTACCACAATCATACATGTGTGTCGATCGAATGTCCGTAGCAAGATATAAGAGTAATAAGGGGTAACAAATTTAGCTAGAGTTGCTTGCTTGGAGTCCAATCAATTACTCAAAAGAAGAGGGAGGCCTGAATATAATCATATAAGAGATCTTACCTCCTGAAATTGAGCTTGCATCTTTAAGATGATATGGTTCTATTTTTCCATTCTGCAGGTTCAGTGTAGACGTAGCCTAGGTATAAGCAAGAAAATTTCCAAGGAACAACACTAAACAAACTGTGGAGGCATTGAGGCAAGGTCAGTGAAAACTCCCACCTGCAAGAAAATAACATGGACATTGGACCCGACTCAGCGTCATCCCATAGTCAATCGATTTCACCTCTTTCGATCAGTAACTGGTTCTCTTTAACTTCCTTATGAACTTTTACTTTGTTGGTTATAATTGGGCTACGTCCCAAAAGAATACAGTCCTGGGTTGGGCTTGTAATATTTGTCTTCCTCACATGGTTCTAACCGAAGATTTTAAATTAAAAAAAAAAACACGGGAAAATATTTTTGAAAATCTTACAGCATTTAGATATGTTATTTTAGCTATTATTAGGTCACTATCGCAAATTTCTCCATATTAACTTTTGTTTGTTAACCGGGGAAATACTATGGCAAAGTCCCAACTAATTGCCTGAAGCTTATAGAAATTCATGTTTTATTGGTATTTAAAAAGTATGACCAAAGACGATTAAAGTTGCAATATGAGAACTTAAGCCAACTTAATATTAGTATATCAAACACACCATTCTTTTCTACAAATTCGAGTATTACATAAGTGCTAATAATCTAAAACTTTTACATATTTAAATTATAAATTCAAATACTTTAGAACCAAGAAAAACTTTTATAATAACATTTTGGTGAATAAAATTATAGTCAAATCTAAAATATATTTTTAACATTATTCAGAAAATAATGATATGACATTTTAAGAAGAGCTTCGAATGTGGTTGTTTTTGGGTTGTTGTGCTTCATAGACTGAGGTGTGGATGTGTATCCCAAATTACCACCAAATTACCAGTGGGAGTAAAGAAACATGGTGCGATATTGACAAAATGCATGTCTACTATATATTGCCGACTAACTACCGAGTTATATACGTTTTGCGATATACTTATGATATTTTACACAATAGTTAAAATATTTATGCCTAAATGTATGATATGTAGGGTATTTCTCATTCAAAGATAACTAATGTTCATTTTTTGTACATTTGAAATGTGTTGGATTCTAAGTAAGTATATTTGGGCATTAGAGTTGATTATCATGCATTTCAAACTGAATAATCAAATATTATAAGAAGTGGCAAAACTGATCTCAAAAAAATTAGAAGACAAGTGAAAAGTTTTAATGTTGCTTATCCTTACAACCAGATACGTAACATCACCCAAATCCTCTAAATCATCACTATCACTATCATCACCATCCTCTGAATCATCACCATCCTCTGAATCATCATCATCAACCTCTGAATGAAAAAAAAACAAAAACGTTTAATACCTTAGGAGACATAAAGTTCCCTTATTAAAATTAGTGGATCAGGTCTCCATAATTATAATAGTTAACTATAGTTTATACTATTTTAGCAATTGTCCTAAGATCTTGTCATAGAGAATATTTCTAGTAAAAGTGGTAAGGCTGTACGATTTATCGAAAAGGATGAGAAAAAAAAAAAAAGCTAGATGACCTTTGAAACTGGCGTCGTATCAAATTCGTATAACTCTTAATTAAGTTGCACATTATCTTAAGCCAATCACAAAAATTAATGACAATTCAACTTTTGTGCTTCAACATAATGTTTCATTTAAAACATGTTTATACATGCTAATTTTCGAAGCCATAATATAAATGATCCTTCTCGTTCTATCAATTTCAGAAGTTCACTCAGTAGATAGACAATTAGAGCTTAATGTATAGCGCATGATTAACGTGTATGTCTGGCTCGCAGCGGAGGAGTTCATCGCGGAGCAAATCGAAATACGAGGTACAAAGGAGTTCATAGAAAATCTTATAATGTTGGTCAACTATGCCAATCCATTCAAAATGACAGTTATTTCATGAAAATTTTGAAGTTGAAACTTTTGACCGATCCTGTAAAACTAAGTTGTTTTTTTTTTACTCTAGAAATCTATTTAAAAAACAAGTTGTATGATCCAATCCTGTAAAACTAAGTTGTTTCGTACAGTAGAAAGCTAATTATGTAAAAAGGCAAGTCGTATATGATCCAATCCTGATTTTTTTTCTAGACATGTATTAGAAAGAAAGACAGTTCACGTAAAATGTCATTTGCTTAAAATAGAAAGACAGAAGTGAAAAAACAACCAATCTTATGAGTTGTCTTAGAAATACTTGTGTTGTGTCCAGAGAAACAAACACTGTCAATTTCTTTCTCTCTCCTCTTTTTATATATCTTTTTATTTCTTGTTTTTTCCGTTGTAATTTTACACCGTAAATTACCAAACTTAACTTCTTCTCTTCTTCTTTGTTGCTTTTCCCTCTTTGTCATCATTTTGTCACAGAAGAAACAATAAATAAAAAGAGAGAACAGATTTTTTTTTTTTTTTCGATGGCCAAACTTGGGGGGTGAAAATCACTTTGTGGGTCTCATCTTTCTCAAATCCCCCCCATTAAGCCATCAATCAAATCACAAACAAATTCTGTTTTTTTTCTTGTCTTTCTCTCAAGACGAATCTGAAATAAAGAAACACAAGAGTGAAAAACTATGATCTTGTACGGAGGAGGAGCAGGGAAGGATGGTGGATCCACCAATCACATATCAGACGGAGGAGGAGGAGTGGTACTGAAGAAAGGGCCATGGACGGCGGCGGAAGATGAGATACTTGCAGCGTACGTTAGAGAGAACGGCGAAGGAAACTGGAACGCCGTTCAGAAAAACACAGGCTTGGCTCGTTGCGGCAAAAGCTGCCGTCTCCGTTGGGCCAATCACCTCCGCCCAAACCTCAAAAAAGGCTCTTTCACCGGCGACGAAGAACGTCTCATTATCCAACTTCATGCTCAGCTTGGTAACAAATGGGCTCGCATGGCCGCTCAGGTACACAACCATCTTATCTCTCTCTCTCTCTCAGATGTTTGTAAGAAAAAACCTAATCTTGTTTTGTTATAATTAGTTGCCGGGAAGAACAGACAACGAGATCAAGAACTATTGGAACACAAGGTTGAAACGTCTTCAACGCCAAGGACTTCCTCTTTACCCTCCAGATATTATCCCTAACCATCAACTCCATCCACATCCACATCATCATCAACACCATCATCATCAACATAACCATCATCAACATCAACAACATCATCAACACCAGCATCAGCATCAACATCATCAACATCAGCAAATGTATTTCCAACCACAATCTTCACAACCAAACACACCTTCATCTTCTCCTCTTCCATCTCCAACACCAGTAAACGCAAACCCCTCTTCATCTTTCACTTTCCATACCACAAACGCATCAACCGCTAATCTCCTCCATCCTCTTAGCCCTCACACTCCAAACACACCTCAAACTCCTTCACAACTCTCTTCCACGCCGCCTCCACCGCCACTTTCCTCTCCTTTATCTTCACCTCGCAACAACCAATACCCTACTCTTCCTCTCTTTGCCCTCCCGCGTTCCCAAATCAACAACAATAACAATAACGCGAATTTCACTTTCCCTAGACCTCCACCTCTCCTCCAACAGCCTTCAACGCTACTCGCCAAACGCTACAACAATGCTAACGCTCCTCCTTTCAATTGCATCAACCGTGTTTCAACCGCACCATTTTCCCCTGTTTCAAGAGACTCTTACACTTCTTTTCTAACATTACCTTTCTCTTCCCCTACCGCTCAAACCGCTCAAACCGCTACTTACCATAACTCTAACAACAATTACTCTTCCTCTCCTTCTTTCTCTTTAAACCCTTCTCCTTCTTCTTACCCTACAGCAACTTCTTCCCCAAGCTTTCTGCACTCCCATTACACTCCTCCTTCTTCCACCTCTTTTCAAACCAACCCGGTTTACTCCAATATGAAACAAGAGCTCCCTTCAAACCAAGTTTCCCAAGTTAATTCATTTAATGTCAACAACTTCACAAACGACAATGAGAAGCAGAACAGTGTCAGTATTCACAGAAGAAGTATTAGCTGCAGCCTCTTAGAGGATGTCCTCGAAGAAGCCGAAGCTCTAGCTGGTGGAGGCGGAGACCGACCTCCAAAACGTAGACAACTCACAGCTTCCCCTCCTAACCACCACAACAGTAACAACAACAACAATAATGACAACTTCTTCTCGGTTAGTTTCGGACAATATGATTCTTCTGAAAACTTATGTTCCTTACAAGGTAAACTAAAACCGCTCAAAATACGCTTCAAATCTAAACTACACTTCTCTCTCTCTGTGTAATATTCTAAATGTCTTTGTCTGAAAACGCAGATTTGAAATCAAAGGAAGAAGAGTATCTTCAGATGAACACAATGCAAGAGGACATAGCTAAGCTTCTTGATTGGGGAAGTGATAGTGGAGAAATCTCTAATGGACAATCATCTGTTGTCACTGACGACAATCTTGTTCTTGATGTTCATCAATTCGCCTCACTATTTCCAGCTAATTCTACAGCGCCAGCAACCGCAACAAACGACGAACACAACAACAACAATAATAACAATAACTGCTCATGGGACGACTTGCATGGAATCAGCTAGAAAAAGTCCGAAAAATAATCTACGGACCAAGATCAAGAACTAACTAAGGACAGAGTTCTTGATCTTTTATATTGTATTGTATCATTAATTTTTATTTTTTTTACTTATATATTTGTTGCAAATCTTTTGTTTACTATTTAATGCTATTTGATTCCTTGCTTAATTTTGTGATTATTGATATGTTCATGTATTTGTTTCATCAAACCTCTACACACTCTTCACTACTTTCCTTAAGAGAGACTCGAACTAAACATAACGAGTCTAATGATTACAAACCATAAGCTAATAGACAGAAACAGTTTTGCCAACAACATTGGCTCGGCAGATAGGGCAAGAAGGGTTTCTCATCATCAGCCAATTCATCACACACTCTGTATGGAAAACATGGGAACAGTGTAACTCCAGGCGACTCAACCCACTAGATAATTCCGTTAAGCATATCGGACAATCCGTCGCCGCCAGTTTTGTCTTCAGTTGTCTTGCCTGGACCTCACAAGAAGTATCTTTGTCCTTGTTGCAACACTCAATCCTCACCCAATGATCAACGTGGACTTTAACGTTGACTTCGATCCTGAAACCTCCTCCTCCTCCTCCTTCACCGCGGTGGCGGCTGCTAAAATTAAGGGATTCAGTTGATATATAACTGACAAGACGTTCTTGAGTAGCAGGCGGGAGATACATCTCCGACAAAACGATCATGACGTGATTAAGACATGTTTCTTGGGAGACAAGAAACTGTTCCGGGATGTTATGTTCAAGTCCAAGGACAGGGTGGGGGCGTTCAAGGGGGATCTTGATCATGTGTCCATGGAGATTTTCGTGGCGAATATCATGGTTTGTCTCATAAGTTACGGAGAAGGAAATCGAATCTGATTCGACCTGAAAAGCTTTGAGATAAATACATTCTGTTGTGGTTTCTTTTTTGAGGTAACAACCATTGATGACTTGATCATTTACGATCGTTGAAACTGAGACATGTTCGTGATTGCAGCTGCTCGTCATGGTCGATATGAACCAAAGGAAGAAACCCTAAATCTCGCTCGAACGATTCTTAGATCATATGATCTTTAATTACTTTTCTCTCTAGTGATGTGTTTAGAACTGAAGATATATACATATATGCATATCGACATATCGTAAAGGTTAAATCATGTAGGATTAGGATTTAGGAGGCTTACATCTTTCCTTTTTTCCCAACAAAATTATTGTGTTTGTTTACGATACAATTTGAATTTTCCTTTTTTTTTCTTTCTTTTTTTTTTTTGCTACAACCTTATCAATCTAATCTCTAAAAATTAATCCATATTTGCAAAGTCATCACTATTTCTGAAACCTTTATTTGTTTCTTACTAATTTTTAAATAAAAGATCACATCAAATGACGACAGTCTTGTTCTTGATGTTCATCAATTATAGAGCCGCGCGCATAAACAAACGAACAACAATTTGCATGGAATCAGCTAGAAAATATCGAAAAAGAATCCACAAATAACGAAGAACCGAGTCTTTGATTAGTTTGATTCCTTACTTAATTTTGTGATTATGGAGACGTTTATGAATTGTTCATCATATATACAACCTTTCTTAGTGTCTCGACAAACATAAGTCGTGCAAAGAAAGAGAGAACAAAGTGATGCCTTAATTTGATCTCTTAATTGAAGGTAAAAAGATCGTATACAATAATAAATAAACAAAGTGCACTAACACAGGTTTACTGTTTTTTTACAGAGCTAAAAGATAGAAGCTATCGCGCCAATAGCCTCGGCACGACAAATAGGGCAAGAAGTGTTCTGCTTCAGCCACTTCATCACACAAGATTTGTGGAAAACGTGTGAACACCGTAACTCCATGCGACACACCGCACCGGATACTCCGTCAGGCATTTCGGACAATCCGTACCGGTAACTCGCTCTCGCCACGGACAAGCTTCTAAACCATTGCAGCCACTTCCAATGCTCACCAGATTATCCACTTTCAACTTTGATCTCGACTTCGATCATGAAACCTCTTCGATAGCTCCTATTTTTAGTGGCTTCTAATCTGGAGATATATATAAGCCACAAGACGTTTCTGAATAGAACTTGAGAGACACGTCTCCGACAAGACCATTGTGATGTGATCACAGAAGATTTCTTCGCTGACAAGAAACTGTTTGGGGATTTCGCGGTCGAGCACATGAACCTTAGGCTCGGATTGTCGAAGTGGTGGTAGAGGTAATATGTGTCCAGCGAGATCTCCGTTGCGTAAAGTTTCGATCTTTCTGATAGGTCACCGACAAGGAAGAACACAATGATTTGACCGGAAAAGTTTTGAGTTTAATGCGTTCTGTGGTTGTCACTGTCTCGAGGAAACAAGTCCGGTTTCGCTCTTTGGTGGTAACATAGTCCGGTACCACGAAGCTGGTCATCACCTTGGCTAAGTCCTTGTTACGAAAACAACCTAGGATTAGATTTAGTTTGTATTTTACAAAAAAAAAAAAAGAATTATACCGATAGAAACAGTTTCTTTTCTACAAAGAAACATGCCTTGATCAAGTCATGATCGTCTTGTCGGAGATGCATCTCCCGCCTTCTATTTAAAAACGTCTTGTCCAATATATCTCATCCTTATAATGTTGACCCCTAGTTGTTCGACCTGAATAGCTATGTGATGAATGACTCTTTTGGTCTTTTCCTGTTCCTGGACGAAACAACCATTGACTCGATCATTTACGGTCGTTGAGGTTGAGACATCTTCCTGACTGAATCTTCTCTTCACTGTTGATATGAACCAAAAGAACAAATCCTAACTCTCTCTTGAACGACGATGATTATATCTTATGATCGATCTTTAATCAGTTTTTCGTATTCCAACAATCTATTTAGGGACTAAGTAATGTGTAAAGTAGTTCACTTTTAGACATTTTCCTTCATTTTTTAGCACTTTCCTTCTTCATCACTACAGTATTTCTAAATGAAATCTTGATTTGTTACTTATTTTGGTTAACTACAACAATTTGTTTATTCTACACATTCTCTATTACGTACTTTCTAAGGGTCTCACAAGATATCATTCACAAATACCAGTCAGAGAAAAGAAAACATTATTGGACAGAATGCTTTTATATAAATCTTTACGAAAGAATATATTCAACAACAAAGAAGCTTTGAGATCCAAGATTCATGTTTACTTCCATATAAACTCAAACCATTTGCCAAAAGCAGTTACAAATAAATATTTAAGACAAGAGACTTACAATCTGTCTGAACAAAGGGGAATATTTATCGGATAGCACCGGTCATATTAGCACCACCGAGATTTGCCCCTTCCAAGTGCTGTTACATAAGCATATCGCAAGGATTAACCATTTAAGCTCAAAAGCTTGACGAAGAGCTATTTATTTTTGGACCTACCGCTTCTCGCAGATTCACATGCCTCAAGTATGCTCGTTGAAGGTTTGCTCCTTTGAGGTTGGCATTACTCAACTTTGCACCCTATATACCAAACACATATACGCCTGATCCAGTTAAACCAACACATTTACGAGCCACGTATCACTTATCTTGTCTAATCACAACTCAATCCAGATCGTTAGCAACAAACTGAATTAAGGCTGAATATATGGTCTAATCTAATCCGGCTTGAATTATCAGTTAAAGAATTTGCTTACCTTCAAGTTTGCACCTTCTAGATTTGCTCCTTCTAAGTTGGCATTTGTAAGGTCTGCATTCTGATAGGCAAGAAAGAGAATCAAACATTAAATAACGCTATGCTCATAAGCAACTTCTGGATACGCAATTGAAAACGTTTATCGTGGTGAAAAGTCTAAGCTAAATTCCTATATAGACCACTTAACGCACCTGCAAGTGTGCAGAGCGGAGATCTGCACCACAGAAGCTACAGTCCACTAAGCAGGCATCTACAGTACAAAAATCGGAGCTTTTGAGTCAAATTACGTTTATAATGTAAAATTTCATATCGTGGCAGTCTGAGTGATCATTAACAAGCAAATTAAGCTTATATATGCACCTTGTAAATTAGCACTTTGAAGATTTGTGCCAGCTAACAACGCTCCTCTAAGATTTGCGCTAGTAAACTCACACCTTTTATAGGAAGGAAAGAATTCAAATCTTTCAAGAAGTGTTATCAAGTACAAATAATTTAATACGCGATGGGATCTCGACAAACTCCTTACTCGCGCAAAATAGCATTGTGAAAGATGGAGTTCTCAGCATCAGCATCCTGTTTTTTACAGATTCAGCAGATATGATTAGGCAGATCTTCAAGCAAACTGCCATGATATTATGATAACTTCTTCTCACGAAGCAGAAACAAACAAAGTTGATACAGCATATTTACCCGAAATTTGGCACATTGAAGATTTGTACGAGAGAAAAACACATTCCTGAGACAAGCATAGCTGAAGTCCACAAGAGATAGATCCTGCATTATCCAAAGAGGAACATGCAGACAGTAAATACGGAACTGACTAAGAAGAAGCCTACCAATCCCAATTGATGTTCTTAATATAAGATAACATGTTGACCAAAAAAGACACTCAGTAAGACAGCAGATGTGTATTCCAATTGATAGAATCAAATATATATGTGCTTAGAAATGTAACTACAAATTCTTTCTAAATTCCAGGCTAAAACAACGAGGATCAGTTAGTGCTATTCTATTACTTTGTCTCCACAGAAACACAATTTATCTCTGAAACAACTGATTGGGGGATCAGAACTTCAGTGAGTTCAAGTCAGCCGATAGCATGGTTACCTACAAGCATCTGAGATTAAGAAATATTACCAGTTTAGAAAGATCAATTCCAGAAAGATTAACCCCTCGGAACCTGACTCTTTCAGATTGTATACATTTGATGATATCCACACGAGTTAATTCTGCTTCTTCAACAACTTCTCTTCTTGAATCTTTTATTCTTTCTTTCAGCCCCTGAAACAGGAAGTGAATGCAAGAGTTTTTCAATCTCCATCAAAAATTAGTCCTGTACTCCGAAAAAAGAAGAAGTAAAACTCTAGTTATGAGAATAGTAAGATAAAAGAGAAGTTAAGCATACTAGAAGCTGATAGTAGTCTGCTTCACGCAAAAGTTCGGAACAATCAGGATCTGACAGAGTGGGATCAGTGCCATCACGCAACCAATTCAAAATATGACGGAAGTGCTTTCCATCCCTGTCTATGAATACATATCCCTGCAACAATTAAATCAGATCCTTTAGTGGATATACTTTGTCACACACTCATATACACACATTTCACTGGTACATGGCTTCAAATATACTATTGAATCAAGAGAGCATATGTCGTAGCTCACTCCACTACTTTTTTTTTTTTAACACATCTTAAAAAGTGGGTGGCTAAAATCAGAGTCTCTCTACGTAACTAAAATTTTGGTTTATCATCGTTAAATGAAGGCTACTCGATCCAAGGACCAACTATTACACTCAGCGAAGCCTATTGCAGGTTATGAAATGGCATCATCCTAAAACATATATTGAGTTGGAATTAAGGTGACACAGAATGCAAATAATACCGTTTTGGATTCCTGGCACATTGCATGTCGACCACTAAACATGGCTGCGAGCATTGAGTCAGGCTCACGGTTAGTCAAAGTATCAATGGTAGTACAAAATTTCTTTCCACCTGCATAAACACGAACATGTCTTATATGTTTTGAAGAAGAGCTAGACCTCGTGAGAGAGAGAAAAAATATAAAAGGTTTTCACTTTGAAGATAGTTGAGGAAGCACATCAATATCTAAAAAGGAGAAAACAACACAGATCTGGCCTTATCACAGTTTTAACTATGATCAACCCAGAGAAGCATTGAGGTTTACAACTCAAACTAAAGAGGAAAATGAATTCTTAACACCAAAGTTTTACTTACATAGGAAGAAAAAAAAAGGGGGGTTTTCTCCAGAGAAAATTTAATGAATTTGAACATGCAACATCTCAAATCTCAATTACAGAACTTGAAAAAAAAAAACACATGACCAAGTAGAACAATTTTCACAAGATATGCAACATTTAGCAATCCGTCTTCCAAACAAAACAATCGCTCTAATAAAGTGATTGCAAGAGAAAAATGGATGAAAGTGTACCAATGTTAAGTCGAACCATGGAAGACAATTCAGAAGTCGTGCCCATGAGAGAGAGGGAAAGAAGTTCCTTAACTCGATATCTTTGAAATCAGAGTAATCTAGTTTGGTAAAGCTTGCTACAAAAAGAAGAGGACTTTGAGAATCGACAGAAAAGGGGGAAGATGATGATACGATTAGAAATGAAATCAATGTTGGTCAAAACTCAAAAGAGTGAAATCGAAGAAATTTAACTTTGATGATCAAAAGTCAAAACTAAACAGAAGTAGATCCCACCAGAATCAAACGCTTCCAAACTCCTTCGTCTTTGATTTGGCTCGAGATGTCGACTTTTTTTCTGCTTCTCCGATTAGGCAGATAAATGGACTTAGTTGATAGAATGAAAGCCCAAATTTAAGGCCCAACATAAGGGATTTGTTCTAAACAAAAAAAAAATTGAACGACAATTTCGGTTTTAATGTTGTTGATATATATACTTTTCAAGTAGTCTTAATTTTTTTTTTTGTCGTCAGTATATTTATTTTTCAAAGTAATGTAACATATAATTTAATGATACTGATATATAGACTAATAATTTGTTTTTTTCAAAATAATACTTTACTATTTTGAAATTTTACTTTTGTCGAAACGGATAAGCAGGAAACAAAATTTGTATTGTTTTCCCATTGAAATTTGGTTTTTGGTTTGCACCATAAGATGTACTAATCACTGTAAATGATGTTCAGTTTTTCTTTTTCGTTTTTTGGGTCCACTAACGAGATTTAGTTTTTAGTTTTTTGGTTTGTTTTTAACGAGATTTAGTTATATGCAAACATTTGAATAAGAAAACTTTCAAAACAATTGGGAGAGCAAAAAAGAAATATACAAAATCATATACTAATATTTTGAAGAACACTAGATCACCGAAAATTCCGCAACAATTTTCGAAAATTGACTCCGAAGTTGCAAACACAATTAACCCTACCCAATCAAGCATTAATATTGGTTTGAGAGTCGTCACAAGGAGGATCAAAGACACTAAAAGCTCGATAAGCAGAAATGACAGATAGAAATAAGAAAGAGAAGAGAACAAAGACATGAAGCCCCAAAGCAATTGTGAGTTTTGAACAAAAGTGTGGATAAGAAGAACAAACTTCGCTCCATGTCACCATTTTGTCTCCTTTGTTAAGTAAATACACTATCTCTGTTGCTCCTGCTACTGATGTTGTCATCAAATAAGCTAAGACCTTCAAAGACACAAATACACTTATATAAGAAATTTATACTAGATTGGATTAGATATTGAGAAAAAAAAGAGAACCGAGAGATGAGATTTAAGAGAAAAACCTGGTCAGGGACAAAGAAGAGCCAAGCTTTGGAGACTAAACATGTGACCCATGAAGAAATAGAAGAGAGCAGAGCATAAATAGCACATATGGCACTAACACCAACCATATATCTGCAAATAGCAAATCAATAGGTAAACAACTAAATAACAATAAAAATGCTCATTCCATAACAGAGAGAAATATAAGAGTATACTTGAGACCCATGATGGAGTTGTAGTCTAAACTGCCATAGTCAGGGTTGGATTGTTGGTTAGTGACAGTTAACCAGATGGTTGCAACACTGAGAGGAACCACACTTAGCCTGAGACATGAGTCTATGAGCCTCAAAGACTTAGGAGCTTGTGTTTGCTGTTTTGAAGAATAGCTTCTCTCTCCCTCTCTTGTGTTGTTGTCTCTCATCTCTGGTTGGATCTCAAAATCAAATGTTTCTTTTTTTTTGGGGGAGGAAGAAAGCTAAAAACAATATGTTGAATCCAACTGGGTTTTCTCACTTAGATTATCATATCTTTTATATATAGATATAGATATAGATATAATATAGATGTGTTTGTTTGTGGTCACAGGACATATACAAACAAATTATAAAAAGATACAAAAAAGGTTCCTCTAACTTCTCTCCTTTGCTGTCCCAAAAAAAGTTCATCTCCTTTTCATGATTAAGCTTTGGAAACCGCGTGGGAAACAAATATATGTAATTTTCATTTATAACTGAGAAGACAAGAAAAACATACAAATGTGAATATGGAGTAAAGCATCCTACAATCATTCACATTAAATCAAAGTATTCTCATCATCTTCGGCTTGTATAAATAACAGTTTGATTTTAGAGGTAAAATGTGGATCGACTTTCCTCCAAAAATAAAAAAAAAGGATGGGCATCGACAAAATTTTTTGAAGAATGGAAAGATTATCTAAAATTATTTTCTAAGAATTTTAACAAACCAAAATAAAAAGAGAGAGAGAGAAGAAATTTTGTCTCTACGCTCTAGACACTAGACAGTGCACCGAAAATCTGGTAGTGGAAGTAACAGAGACTAGGCAAGTGCGGTGGTTGTTGGGAGCGCGAGAGAGTGCCATTTGGCTTCGCCTTGGCTACATTAATCATTGTTTTGGATTAATAATTTGAATACTTGATAGGTTGATGTCTTATAATATTAAGTGTTGTGGTGTTACATACTTGCATTTTTTTAATAATGTGGAGGCCGTTGTTTTTATACAACCACATTTTCAATCAAAACTATGATCAGCCCATAGCTTCTTACTTGAACTGGATCGATACTAAACATTGTTTTCGGGTCATAAAGTGATGACACTAGTATTAGTCAAGGTGATGTCACACCATATATTTCGAAGACCTTTAAAATACGTCACACATTAAACCAACCAATGATCAACCCTTGTGGGTCCGCATTTCACTTTAAGTTTCATTTTGTTCTTAAAAATTCGGTTTAAGTTCGGTCTGACCTTCAGAGACAGAAATTTCAAAATTAATCAAATCCTCCTTGTTCTTATTTCGGTTTGAGTTTGTAAATAGAAAAATCGCAAGAACACAATCCGGAGAAAGTCACCGGACAGTGAGGGGTTTAGGTATGGACACGCCGGAGAAGATGGAGAGCAACCCCCATGCTTGCTCTGCGGCATGCGGGGCGATATCTTGGTGTTAATAGGGACGAAACTGATAGGCTGAGAAGTTACGGTCACAATGTGGAAAAAAACCAAAGAGGGGGAAAAGTCGAAAAGAGAATGGGGGCCATAATGAAAAAAGCTGAAGAGATGAAGGATTTAGCAATGAGAGAGTTGGAAAGCTTCCAAGGAGAAAAAGCAGAAGAGAGAAGGATTCATTGATGTGTTCTTGGGGATGTAACAATGTGTATCAACCTTAATCAATTTCACTTTTGTTGATTTCATACCTTTTGCCAAATGAGAATTCACTTGTTAGATTAGATTATATCAAATACATCAACATTCACTAGAATACTCAAGGCAGGATACCTATACATCAACATTCAGTTTTCTTCAGCATCATGTTCCTTACTTTGAGCTTTCTACTAACTGCGAACTATTATGATCGGTTCTAAAGCATAAAATACGCCTAGGACACTTTCTCATTCTCATTATCACCATGATTTCTCCCTCATCATCATCAGCTTTTGTGTGATTTAGTTCTTCAATCTGTTGACCAGTCAAGAATTGAACCAAGTTTTGGATCCTTTAAACTTAATAACCAATTACATAAACTAATCAGAGGGTAAAGAGCTGTAGCTGAATCTGGATTCAAGTTCAACAATATAGGCGAAGACATTGAACAAAGGCAACATAAAGAGAAGCATTGTTCCCCCATTAGAACAAACCAAGAAACCATGTAGTCAAACTTTAAGCATTGATATGATGAGACTAAGTAATAGCATGAAGCAGATGAGATCCAACTTTTACACCTTTCAATTAGCATGATAACCAACCATATGGAATGAGATAAAAGCAAAAGGAAAACACATAGATAAGCATTACTATCCATATAACAAACAGAGGATAGAGACGAACATCAAAACCTATTGAGATGCTGACTGAGAGACTAAGGAAAGCAGAGAAATGAGTAAGGTGAATATAGCCTTTGACGGTTTCAATCTAACAAGAGACAGTAAGCTTGAGATAAATATGTGCAGTCTCTATAGGAAGATCATTAAAACTTGGATCATTAAACTATGGAGCATTGATTAATCTTCCAAAACAGCTAGAACATCTAGGGTTTGATACAAATCAATAAATCATTAAGAACTTCCACTTAGTTCCCCAAAATGATTCCTTCTCAAGAGTTGAACTGAATAATGAACAAACAACAATATAGCGAGCGGAATCTATGATCAATCCATATCGGAAACCAACGAAAAGGTAAAATCTTCAATTGTATAATGGAAGACGCACAATTTATTGGAAATTCAATAATTTAATACATAGTTTACGAGTATTGAACATATTCCCCCAATTGTATCAGTTCACAGAATAGGAAAACAATCTACATGTAAAATAGAGAAGAAACAGTTTAACTCAATGAGCAATTACATCACTACTCAACACACTGCTGTTTCCACCAGTGGATTCAATAACTGAATTGATAGGATTCACCATCATCAACGACGAGACGGATCTAGCGGCGGCCAACTTCTTCCTCTGGTAACTATAAGGACCATAGATCTTTCTCAGAAGATGTGGTACCTGTTCTATCGTCAGATTCCGCGCCGCCGCCGCTTCAGCGGCAGAGTTCTGAGAAGGAGACGATGGATCGAGTGGTTGCGAGAGGGAGCGAGATACGAGAGAGGTAGTAGATCTAGCGTTGATTCTCGAGTTTCGGATCTGGGCGAGCGCGCCTGGCTTCAAGTAGCGGTGGAATCCGTCGTTTCTTCTCACCGGAGATCTAGAGATATCCTTCATTGATTCGATTTGGGCTAAGCTTGGTTAACTTCGAAGAGATTGAATCTGAGAGAGATAGAGATAGAGAGAGAGATTGTTGAAGAATGTGTGATCGAAGATTGAGGGATCTAATGATGATTTTGTAGAGGAAAAAGAGGGGCGGGAAAAACGGCGTGAAGATTAGAGGTGTGAGATAGAATGAGAGGGAAGATGAGTCTCTTTAGGGTTTTGAAAAGTCATCAAGAGCGGGAGTTTTTTTGGAAAGTCACGTGCTATTGACACGTTTCTCTTCCTCGTCTTCTTTTAATTTTTTTTTTTAATTTTAGATATTTTTCTTCACTTCACTATATTCCAAAATTCGGGTCGGATCCTGACCGGCGAGATATTTCTCTCTGATGGGGCCCATCCATCGGTGGGGACTTTCGCATGATAGTAGTTATTCTCTGCTTCTCATACCAACTATTCTACACGTGAACCTTCTAACTTGTTCTCCAAATTCAATTATATCTCAACACGTGTCCTTTTTTGCAGCTCAAGATATATATGCGGCTGAGATTTAACCGCCTATCAGTATACAAATTTATTCCACCGTTGTTTGATCACTTTTTGCCACCGTGGTTTTACGTCTCTAATGGCGGTTTCACTCTCCTTTATATTCCACTCATTTTTCTCGAGAAAATTAACAGTCTCTATCTATCTCTCTGTTTTTTTGTCACATAGCTCTGATTAAAAAAAAATTGAAACGAGCAAGAAAACTACTATGGATTCTAGGATCGGATCCATCGACGCGTGTAACCCGACCATCGGAGATATCGGCGGTCCTCCAAATGGCGGCGTCTCCACCATTCAAAACTCGAGTCCTGCTCACTCCACCACCGTCAGCCCCTGCGACGCGACTCTTGGTCGTTACCTAGCGAGACGCCTCGTCGAGATCGGCGTCAACGACGTCTTTTCCGTTCCCGGAGATTTCAACCTAACGCTTCTCGACCACCTACTCGCCGAGCCAAACCTCAAGCTGGTCGGCTGCTGCAACGAGCTCAACGCTGGGTACGCGGCGGACGGTTACGCCAGATCGCGCGGCGTCGGTGCGTGCGTCGTTACGTTCACCGTCGGCGGATTGAGCGTCCTGAACGCGATCGCCGGTGCTTACAGCGAGAATCTGCCTCTGATTTGCATCGTCGGTGGTCCAAACTCAAACGATTACGGTACGAATAGGATTCTTCACCATACAATCGGTTTACCTGATTTCACTCAAGAGCTCAGGTGCTTCCAGGCCGTTACTTGTTATCAAGCTGTGATCAATAACTTGGAAGATGCACACGAACTCATCGACACAGCGATCTCGACTGCTTTGAAAGAGAGCAAACCTGTTTACATCAGCATAAGCTGCAATTTACCGGCGATTCCTCTTCCGACTTTCAGTCGCCATCCTGTTCCGTTCATGCTCGCACCGAAGGTGAGTAACCAGGTGGGTTTAGATGCGGCGGTGGAGGCAGCTGCTGAGTTCTTGAACAAAGCTGTGAAACCAGTTCTTGTTGGAGGGCCAAAAATGCGAGTTGCAAAGGCCACGGACGCTTTTGTTGAGCTTGCTGATGCTTCTGGGTATGGTGTTGCTGTGATGCCGTCTGCTAAGGGACAAGTACCTGAGCATCACAAGCACTTTATTGGGACGTACTGGGGAGCTGTGAGTACAGCTTTCTGTGCTGAGATTGTTGAATCTGCGGATGCTTACTTGTTTGCAGGTCCTATTTTCAACGATTACAGTTCCGTTGGGTACTCTCTGCTTCTCAAGAAGGAGAAATCAGTCATCGTGCAGCCTGATCGGGTTACCATCGGTAACGGACCTGCGTTTGGATGTGTGATGATGAAGGATTTCCTCAGCAAATTGGCTAAACGAATTAAGCATAACAATACTGTCTATGAGAATTACCACAGGATCTATGTACCAGAAGGAAAGCCTCTGAGAGATAACCCCAAGGAGCCTTTGAGGGTTAATGTGTTGTTCCAACACATTCAGAAGCTGCTCTCTTCCGAAACTGCTGTTGTTGCTGAGACCGGAGATTCCTGGTTCAATTGTCAGAAGCTGAAGCTCCCTGAAGGATGCGGTTACGAATTCCAGATGCAATACGGTTCGATTGGTTGGTCAGTGGGTGCTACTCTAGGCTATGCTCAGGCCGTACCAAACAAGCGTGTCATTGCTTGTATTGGAGACGGTAGCTTCCAGGTTACCGCACAGGATGTTTCGACGATGATACGGTGTGGGCAAAAGACCATAATCTTCCTCATCAACAATGGAGGCTACACCATTGAAGTCGAGATTCATGATGGTCCTTACAATGTCATAAAGAACTGGAATTACACGGCTTTTGTTGATGCTATTCACAATGGTGAAGGTAAATGCTGGACTGCCAAAGTGAGATGCGAGGAGGAGCTTGTGGAAGCGATTCACACGGCAACGAATGAGGAAAAAGAGAGCTTCTGTTTCATTGAAGTGGTAGTGCATAAAGATGATACAAGCAAGGAGCTTTTGGAGTGGGGATCTAGAGTCGCTGCTGCTAACGGTCGTCCCCCAAATCCTCAGTAGAGTTCCGACATGGCTTCATCTTATATATTTCCAATTTGGTAGTTCCTTTGTTGCTTTATGAAAAGTAGTTTGTGTATCCTTTTACATCTATATGGATGGAGAAAAACAGTGTGAGTCCCCTTAACGATAAAATCTTTCTGTGTAAAAATAAAATTTGGATGGGCATAGTTTACCCAGCTGCCTCTTTTTCTAACATTTGCCAGAGTAAGCAGAGGTTTGGTCTTTGTGTTATGATTTGATCTGTTTGTTATTGTATTGTATTGAGCAGGACATCTTGATCATAGTTGATATCGCCTTCAGAAATGCGCATTTCACATTTTAAAGGTATTGTTTATTCATGCCAACATTAGTTAACATCGATCTTGCTCCTATGAGGGATGCGTTGAAATGTTTTGGTAGAAGTTCATACACTAGTTTGTAAAATTACATAATCCCTATGGTTTTGTGCATACAGAAACTGGGATTGATGGCCTTGGAATCCAAAGCTGTTGCTTTCATTGGTTCACACTTCACATGTTGTTTTCTTTTGTTGTGTAGAAGGTAAAGCTGAGAGACCATGACTGAAAAGCTCAGGCTAGTTACATGGTTCTATATTAAGATAGCAATCTATCTTCAAATGAGAATTGTCGACTTTGTCAATTATCTATCACCATCTGTTAATTCATGGGTTTAATCAGTTGATATCACTCTTTTTATGTCAATGCTTTGAAGGTGTGAAATTAGTGAATCGAAATGATTCGATGTGTTATTGTTTCAATCTTACACGAGAGCTACTTAGTGTACCAAGGAATATGAACCTGAGAAACAATGGCGGTTGCTGAGGAGTGAAGACCCTAAAGTCACGTATTTGAAAATAGCTGTGAAAATTTTGTTTCCCTAACGAACAACAGTCATTAGTTAGTTTGAATGTTCCCTCGTATATTCACTGGTTCTGTGTTTTTTTTTTTTCCTTAGAATCGTTAATCCACTTTGAATTAATTTGTCAACAGTCAAAAAAGGAGTCACCAACCGTCCGTTCTGTCGCCGGAAGTCCATCAAACGGTTCACGAGTAAATCCCCGGACGTGGCCTCCTCAGTATGTGTATGTGTTTCTCCTTTCTTGGTAAAAAGATAACACAAGCGTGATGACTTTCTCTATTTCGCTTCCCTTCAACCATGTTTAAGAGGGTTTCCGTTGACCGTTTTATGGTTATCACTTATGTCTATTTATAGAGTCGTTTCTCTTAGCTTGCTTTACAACAATCCTTCTTCACTAGTCTGGTTGTGTCTACTTTATCAACTTTTGACAGGACATTACAATGCCAAATCTTTTGTCTGCACTTTGCGGTTAGACACACAGGTAATAACAATATTTGGTCTGACTTAGGTTTTCTAGGGAATGATCAGGTGGAACTGACATACTTTGATCATGGATTCATGGTGGTATGCTTCCCTACATCATCCGAGGGTTGAGAGCAGCAAGTGAGATTTGATTTAAAATCATCCAGAATCTGATTAATTAAGTTCCTCATCATTCTACTTTAGAGAAGATAAACTACTCGGCTTTAGAATTTTATTGTAAAGATTTTGTATACTTTGTTGTGTGCTCTTTCATTGTACAGTAAAGTTATTTGTTTGGCCATTAAACGACACTCACAGTTTGTTGTTTCATGGTCGCACAAGTTCAGTTTAGCTTCTGATGATTGGTTTAAAGTTATTTTACATGGCCTTTTTTATCAATACGTAAAATGATAAAATCCCAGAGTCATTCGATGATAAACATTTGTCGGTCTCACCATATATAAAAAACGTTTACTTTTTGTGGCAAAACGTTTAAAGAGAGAAAAACGTTTCATATTTGTAAAGAACCAAAGTATCGATCAATTTGCAATAAGACGGTTTCTTCTTTTCCAATTACATTTTTTCAATTTTGAAGTTAATGACGCCGCGAATCTTCTAGCAAATTGTTGACATAGGACCCACTTGTGGCTCTTCTTACACGCGACCATTGTTTTTTTTTTTTTTTTAATGAAAGCTGTAGTGGGCCCCAAGGATTTGAGAGTTGCGCGTTTATTGTAAGCGAGAGAGCAATTATTCTCTGCCTCTCAGACCAACTTATTCTAAACGTGGACCTTACAACTTGATCACCATATACAAATAAGACTTATCCATACACGTGTCTAAAGTGAATGATAGATCTGCGGCTAAGATTTAACCGCCTTAAAAGGAAGGTTTATTGGTAGAAGAAAAAAAAACACCTATAAGTAGACCCTCCCCTGATCTCTTCTTCGTCAATTGAAATAACAAAACCGGAAGAACTTGATCGTCTTCTTCCCACACCTTCAGGTACACGATTTCTTCTCTTAATATTTTCTCGTTTCTCTTCCTTTGATTAATAGGAGATTTGTTTTTTTTTCCTATTTGTGTCGTTTTTTGATTGATTGTCATGCGAAATTACAATCGATTTTAGGGCTTGACTCAATTTTAATCGATGACTGAATCTCTGCACAAAATAGCGATCATCTAATCTTAACGCGGATTGATTGTTAGGCTTTGAATCAATTTTGATCGAATTATTATTGGTCAATCTGGGTGCGATCGATGGAGATTGAATCCAAATTAGATCTATGATCCTGTAATTGATTTAGCTAGGATCCTATAATCCTGAAGTTGATCTATTTAAGGGCATCTTGTATTTGATTTTCTGAGCTTTTTCATATATTAGAATCCAGATAATGTTGATCGAGTCGAGAATTTGGTTCCTCGATTATGATATGTATTGTCAATCATGATCTGTTCCTGATCGTGTGTTGTTTGATCGGGAGTCTAAACTTGGTTTTGTCTAATTCTGAATTTTTTTTTCTTTTCTTTTGTAAAGAGAGTCGAACAACTTGCGAAGAGCCGTATTTTCGTTCCAAGAAACCAAGTTTACATGGTTGAGCTAGACATCCAGATTCCATCAGCATTCGATCCTTTCGCAGAAGCACAAGACACAGATGCACCGGGTACAAAAGAGTACGTCCACATCCGAATCCAGCAGAGGAATGGGAAGAAGAGCTTGACGACTGTTCAGGGTCTGAAGAAAGATTACAGCTACGAGAGGATCCTCAAGGACTTGAAGAAAGATTTCTGCTGCAACGGGAACGTTGTGCAGGACAAGGAGCTAGGCAAGATCATTCAGCTTCAAGGTGATCAGAGGAAGAAAGTGTCTCAGTTCTTGGTGCAGACTGGGATTGCTAATAAGGATCAGATCAAGATCCACGGGTTCTAAGCTGAGGATCGATCGTTTGATGTTTATCTATCTATTTATATGCGAATAAGTGGACGTGGTGTGGTGTGGTGTGATCATTAGGAGTTTTCAAGGGAAAGCTTTTTGGTTTTTTTTTTTTTTTTTTGGAAGCTTTGGGTTTTGTTGTTCTTGGTTTAATTGCTGTTGATTGAAGGTGTGGGATATTTGACTATTGCAATGAGAAATCTTTCGATTGTTCTATTTTTCATCTCTTCGTTTAGTTACTATCGGCAAAAGATACAGATTTTTTTATGAAAATGCGAAAACAGAGATACCACCAAATATTCAAGAAAATGAGTGTTTAAAAGAGCTTCGTCTTTGAAAATATCTAAAAGTAGATATTTGTTTATCGTATTTGTATGGTTGAAAATATAAGAGAGAACTAAATCTGTTTAAGGGTTGATCTGAATTTAAACAAAGTTTTATAGTACAAGTTGGAACATTTTTTTTCTAATTACCCAAATTTTTGCAAAAAAAAATTAAAGTAGCAGCGGCAAATGGTCTTACAATACTCTACTTTTTGATTATTTGTGAAAGACCCAATTTTACCAGATCAGTCAGCATACGCCGTACGCTAAAACGATACAATCTATGTTGGGTATTTAGTTTGGTTCGGTTCGGTTTGTTTTGTTTTGTCAGGTAAATTAATTTTTTGTTTTGGTTTGACAAAAAATTAAATAAAATGGTAAATTTTTTAATATACTTTTCTTTACATTTAATAAAAATATTAGTTATTTTAATGAATTTGATTAAATTGGGGTTGGTTCTAACATAGTTTAGCTCGGTTCAATTTAGATTGAATAATTCGGTATATAAATTTTAATTGTATAGCTTGGATTTGGTTCAACTTTGGTTTCGAAAATTTTTGGTTTGGGGCTCTGATTCGGAAATTTTGCCGACCCTACCGTATATGGTTCGAAGATGTTTGAATACACGTGTAAAACACGTGACCTCCCAAAAAGAAGTATGAAATTGTAAGCCAAATTGTAAAGAACACAGATGCATAAATAAAAGCAAATAATATCCTTAACAAAAATATTATCTAAAAGCCCAAACAGAAACAAGCCATTAATTTGTTCAGCAGAGAAGGGTTTGCACCAAATCCATAATCTTTTCCGTAATTAAACAAACGTTGAGGCCTTTTCTTCCTCTCAAATGTTTTCTTGTCTTTTCTCCATTTGCCCTTTTTGACTCGTTAATGCCACAGGAAGAAAGCTGAGGAAACGGAGAAGAAAAACCGCAGGTCTGTCTTTTTTTTTTTTTATTGTCTTCTATGTGTGTTTACACAGAAATTGACGGAAAAGTGTAAAGCTGTTTTTTCGTTGGTCGTTGTTTTTTTTGGTCATTTTTGGTAATAAAACTCTGCGATGTGTCTCTCTCTTCACTCGAATTCTTGAAATCCGAGATATTTTTTCTTTTGGGTTTATATTTGTTTCGATTCTAGGGCTACTGAGAAATTGCTAATTTTTTCGTTGCTTTGTGATGTGATTTTTAATGATAATTTGTAATTAGTTCCCGATTTAGGAGCTAAACATGGTTTGCATGTTCGTTCAGAGGATAGAAATTTGGAATTAATAGATCTTATCTTCAAAAATCCCAAATTTTGAGTAGAATGTGTATAGTGGTAGCACTTCATTTCCAGTTTTTAATTTTCTCGAATTGTGAAAGATATTTAAGAAACCCAAAATGGGGTTTAGTGCTGGTGTTTGCTATTCAATGGTACTTTGAAGTTTTGATTTTTGGTAAACATTTTGTGATGATCTCTGGTATTGTTCTGTGTCTACTGTTAGATTCTCACTTGCATTGTAGTATTTTTTGTTGTCTCAGAAGAATCCTTTTAACATTAGTTACTGCACTATCTAAAGAGTAGAGAGCATCAAGAAATGGAAAAGGAAAGCCATGAGGAGAACAACAACAACAACACCATCTCAGGAGATTTCATGGCAAAACGGAAACGAGGTCGGCCGAGAAAACACCTGAAACTCGACTCGAACGAGCAGTCTCTTGGTCCTCCTCCAGGGTTTAGCAGGAGTCAGCTGCAGCTTGATGAAGCCATGGTTGGACAACCGGTTAGTGGCGTAATCGAGGCGACATTTGAAGCCGGGTTCTTGCTTTCGGTTAAGGTTGGAAACTCAGATAGCATGCTTAGAGGTGTGGTGTTCAAGCCTGGTCGCTGCGACCCTGTATCGGTTGATAACGACGTTGCTCCTGATGTTCCAATGATTAGAAGAAACAGCGACGTGATGATGATGCATCATCATCATCATCATCATCATCAGGGATCAGCTAAAGGAGGTAGGAAATCAAGATTCCGTGAGAAGCGTGGTGGTGCTAGTGTTAAAAGCAGAGCTTTGGTTCCTGTCCCGATTCAGCCAGCTCCTCATCCAAAGCATCTTTTGGTTCCTGTCTTGCCTCAGCATGGCAATCTACAGAATGGCAGCGGGAGGGTTCAAATGCAGACCGAGATCGAGTCTCAAGTGAGTGGAGGTAGTAACGGCAAGCCATTTGAGACGCTGCTTACACAAGTTATGAAGAAAAGTGAAGTTCATCACACGACACAGTTCACTGAAGCTGAGTCAGAAGAGCAGGCTCTATCTATTGAGCCGCTGCAGGCGATACACCCAGTGCATCCTGTACATATGCATAAACCTATGGCGAGTTATGGACGAGGAAAGATGACAGAACTTCTTCAGGTAAAAATAACCAAATCATACTAGTGATTTTATCCGAATTTTACTTATATCTTTCTCTATAGAGATTTCATCTTTGATTTGTCTTAGGCCGTGCAGGAGAATGTGAGAGATGGCCAGTATTCTCAAGGACAGTGATTTCTCTAGAGGTTCTTGCTACAAAATCCTTGGGAGCTTTAAAGTCTGATTCAATCTCATTGTAATCAGAAATAGGAAAACAGAATCTAACTACTGTCTAGCTTAAAGATGTCAGAGAAATTACGATAATGATTCGTTATATAAAATGCTCATAACTACTTTTTCTTCTTTCGCTACTAGGTGTGTGTATTATATCAATAAGAAAAAAACACAGTCGAATATTTAAACTTTTACAAAGGATCAAACCTTTTAATAATAGCATTATTAAGGTGGGCAGCAAAGAATAAGGTAATAAAAACGAAAACAAGACTCTTTATAGGAACTTTGGGCCAAAGAACCCATTAGGAACCAGAATTGGCATGGGCTCGTTAGTGGGAAATGGTGACTGCATAACCGGAATATTGGTAGGCATGAGCTCATAAGGCCGATGTTCACTGGCTGCAAACGGTTGGGGAGCATATAGCTGCACTGGTGCATTTTGATGCTTTGAATACTGGAACTGTTGTTGTGGAGGAAAGAGAGGGCGAGAGGGTAAATGTGAATAATGTGGTGCTCCTTGAACCAAATCCTTGGAAGAACGTAAAAGTGAAGATGATTTCAGTTTCTTGTGAGTGAACCATGCTAATGTAAATTGTTTGTGTTCATAAAATAAGAGCCATTTTGAGTTCTTACCTGAGAAATTGGTTGCATGTACATAAGCTGTCCTGATCTCCCGACCATCAGCTGGAATATACAATTTGGAAAGGAAAAACAAATCAGAAACTCATGGTATTCTTGATGAAATACAACCTGAGGATTGGGATTTACAAAGATTGGTGGTGTGGCTTGAACAGAATGATACTGAGAGGTGAAAGGGTCTGTTGTTGCCTGCGTTGGTTGTAACTTATTAGTAGATGCTACGAAACCTTTATTCATTTCTGAGTTTTCATCAAGAGGTGATGACTTTTCAGTTAAAGAGGGCCTCTTAGCAGGCTTCGGGGGAACCGTTACTAGAATGTTCCGGCATATTTTTCTCCTGTTCTGTTGGTTGTACACGTTCAGACGTGCTGTCCACTGTTATAAATACATGCAGATGAAAGTTGAGGATACACATGTCAGAAAACATTTTATTGACAAGAGGAAGCAGAACAACCATGGTTACATAATTTACATTAAGGTGGAGCTTACAGCTAGAACTTGAGCTTTGTGAATCAACCTGCAACAGGTAATATAATAATAAGCAGCTCCTCAAAGAATCTTGGAAAACATAAGTAAAATATCTATGTGCAAGACTAACGTTATCCTCCTGATGAACGTCAGTGTTTTGTTTACTACACTTCAAGATGCGGGTTCCTGCCTGTCTGTCAGCACTAAATTAGAATCAGAGAGTTAACTAGGAAAACTCTAATAATTTCATATGTCAAAACATAGAAAGTAACTCGTGCGAGCACGGAACACAGAGAAGGTTATTGTAGCCAGCAAATTAGATTGCTAAGATTGAGACAGAAATAGAAGTTTGGTTAAATATTGCCAATATTGAGACAGAGATAAATATTTTGACAGGAAACTAATTATATACCAAATACAGTATACTCATATTTCATACCGTTGGTGGTTCATAAAGCTAGGATGATGTTTATTCTGCAAAAGAGGAAAATATAAAAAACATCGAGAGAGTGAAAACAAAGAAAGGGTCAGGGGCGTGACAAGAATCTTAACTAATGACTTCTATACAAGACATCTAACCAAACACCATGTGCAAAATTTTATGGCCGACCATATAAAGGCTGGTTGTTTTACTTCCATCTTGCATAGGTTCCAACCACACGAGGAGAAGATAAAAGATAAAACCTACCTGTGCAATACCGATCTCCTTTTTTGTCCCTGGGTCTTTTATGGCATCTTTGGTACAACTTGGTGAAAGACTCCTTGGTTCTTGATCCTTGCCAGATTTCAAGGCTTTTACTTTATTTTCCAATCGATTCTGTTTGAAAAAAGTTAAAGTGATTCACTTTCCTCTGCTGCTTTACAAAGCCATAGAGTAAAATCTAAACGAAACTAAAAGAGAAATGGTGCATGGAGAAAACAAGATTCATAAAGTAATAGATGCATCCAATAACCCTTGACCTTCAACTTTTTTTCCTGAATATGAACTTAAAGAAACTACATTAGTTTACCTTCTATGATTACTGCCTCTTCTGTCAATGCCAGATTTTACGAGCTTGTTTGCAATACATGAACGAGGCTCAGGCTCGGAAGCAAAGTCTGCAACGGCCGAGACAACATTTGCACCTCAATATTGCCTCCAAAATCGCACGGAAGCGAGACTCCCTATGAACAAAAACCATCAGAAAAGCCACATAGGCTGGCGTGAATGAATCTACAGAAGCAAATTATTATAGAGAAAGGGACCAACCTCCGCAACAATTCGAACAATATCGCAAGACATAATAACAAGTGTCTCTACAATCTTTCTACTTACTACATTCGCTTTATTTGTTCCCTTCTTGGTAAGTTTTGCACTTTTCAAAACAATGCCTAATCTAGAACAAACCAGAGAAGTCAGAAAAACAAACCAAATGTTAACATAATTTTACCAAGTCGAAAACACTTGCCTAAACTCTCTAACATACATAAGATTCACACCACCAATTAGCTAATGATCGAAAAATTTGGAATATCCAATTTCAAATCTCTGAGTTCGACTTCACTAAGAGAAGAAGCAAAATCTCTCGATGATGAATAAAACAAATCGCCCACACAGATTCCCATCAATTCAAACACCAAATATGTTAAAACAAATCACCAAGACATACCGAATTCATTTTCGACGGAGATGGTGTAGAAAATCCCAGAAAAAATCGATCCGTCCTTTAAATGCACATGGACTTGCAAGCCAATGATGCACATAGTAGAGATTAACAGAGCTTCGTTGAGCGACGATGATAATGATGAAGAAGGATAAGAGTGTGAGATCTCGACTTCCAATTTCTTTGCGATTGCCATCGTTCAAAATTTTACACAATTTGATCGGAAAAATAAATTCTCACGGTGTATATATATGTATCGTAATAAAAGAAGACGAAGACAAAATTGAGATTTGAGAGGATCAGAGATCTAGAGAGACGAGGAAAAATAAAAGAAAGGCCTTGTTATTGGGCCTAAATTACTATTTTGATAAATCAACAAAATTTTAGTAATAACATAAAAGTTTTTTTTTCCTACAAGGAATAGAAAAGGTTACATCGTCGTCTTCAAACACTCCTTTTTTTTTTTTTTCAAACACTTAAACCCTTCAATTGGCTGCTACAAGCTCTCTTTGAGATAATACTAAAACCCTAATTTTTCTTCCTTCCCGCAAATTCTACTCTCTTAATTCGTAAGCGTCTCTTGCTCTGGCTCTGCACTCGTGATTGCCAAAATGGGAAGACCTAAGACTAGGGGAATGAAGAAGCAGATGCGGCTGAACGAAGTCGAGGAAATCAGTCTTCTGAACAAGTGGATCGAATCTCAGAAACCGGATTCAGGATCCAATCCACTCTCTCTCGGTCCTCTCCCCAAGGACGCCAAGATCGGAAAGTTCGAAGACGGAAAAAACGGCACCGTTTTCTCTCGTTACGCCGGCGTAAGGAAGTTCGATCAATTACCCATATCGGATAAAACGAAAAGGGGTCTGAAATTGGCGAAATACGTAGACATGACCGATGTTCAGAGAGCGGCTTTGCCTCACGCTTTATGTGGAAGAGATATTCTCGGTGCGGCGAGAACTGGGTCAGGCAAAACTCTGGCTTTTGTTATTCCGGTGAGTTTCTAAGAATCTTTCTTTTTCTTCGGATTTGGGAAGTTTAGAGATGCTAATTTCGTATTCTTATTGGTTTCTGATTGATGTTAATGGATGGGTATGTGTTTGTTTTAGATCCTTGAGAAGCTGCACAGGGAAAGATGGAGTCCTGAAGATGGAGTGGGATGTATAATTATATCTCCAACAAGAGAATTGGCAGCTCAAACTTTCAGTGTGTTGAATAAAGTAGGAAAGTTTCACAAGTTCAGTGCTGGGCTCTTAATTGGTGGTCGTGAAGGAGTTGACGTTGAGAAGGAGCGAGTCAATGAAATGAACATTTTGGTGTGTGCTCCTGGTAGGCTTCTTCAGCACATGGACGAAACCCCAAACTTCGAGTGTTCACAGCTCCAGGTAATAACCATAATGTTATATTGCTTTATGTTTTCAGTTTGTGAAAGGTAGGAAATCGAATATTTGGGAATTTTACGTTCTCCTACAAGTTTATGAACAGTAGGATAGTTGGTATGAGGATATTGTAGAACCAGTAAATGAGATTTATGTTTTTGTCTGCTATACTATTGTTTCAAAATCCATAATAGATGTTTTCTTTCTCTGCAGATTCTGATTTTAGATGAGGCCGACCGTGTTCTTGATTCTGCATTCAAAGGGCAGTTGGATCCTATTATCTCACAGTTGCCTAAGCACAGGCAGACTTTGCTTTTCTCTGCGACCCAAACAAAGAAAGTCAAGGATCTAGCTAGGCTCAGTTTGAGAGATCCCGAGTACATCAGTGTCCATGAAGAGTCAGTTACAGCTACGCCAACTAGCTTAATGCAGACTGTGATGATTGTCCCAGTTGAAAAGAAATTAGACATGTTATGGAGCTTCATCAAAACTCATCTTAATTCCAGGATTCTTGTTTTTCTCTCCACCAAGAAACAGGTTACATGATTTTGCCTTTCTTCCTCTGTGAATAATAATAAACTTGAAGATAATCTTGTTCACTTTAATCTGCTACGTTTATCCTTTCTTGACATTGATGAAGATATCACTGTTTCGATAGGTCAAATTTGTTCATGAAGCTTTCAACAAGCTCCGGCCTGGAATACCTTTGAAGAGTCTTCATGGAAAAATGAGTCAGGAGAAAAGAATGGGAGTGTACTCTCAGTTCATTGAGAGACAATCAGTTCTCTTCTGTACTGATGTTCTTGCCAGAGGTCTTGATTTTGATAAGGCTGTGGACTGGGTTGTTCAGGTATGAATCCGCATTCAGAATTGCTTAACTATATGATATTTTGGGCTGAAGTGTGATGTCATCATATTTTATGTTATAGGTTGATTGTCCTGAAGATGTAGCTTCTTATATTCACCGAGTTGGCCGTACAGCTCGTTTCAATACTTCAGGGAAGTCGCTCCTCTTTCTGACTCCCTCGGAGGAAAAAATGATTGAGAGATTACAAGAAGCTAGAGTGCCTGTAAAACTCATCAAGGTAGTAGATCCCGTCCTCATTATTGTTGAGTTTCCTACTGTCTGTGGTAAAAAACCTAGCTCGGTTATTTGACTTGAAAGATTTTGTTCACACAGGCAAACAACGAAAAGTTGCAGGAGGTTTCTAGGCTCTTGGCGGCTTTGTTAGTCAAGTTTCCTGATCTTCAAGCTGTTGCTCAGAGAGCGTTCATCACATATCTGAGGTCCATTCATAAAAGAAAAGATAAGGAGATTTTTGACGTGACGAAGCTGTCGATCGATGACTTCTCTGCTTCTCTTGGTCTACCATTGACTCCTAGAATCCGTTTCACAAACCTGAAAACGAAGAAAAAAGGAGTCTTTGCGAGTTCAATCGCTCTGGAACCGGAGGAGCAGGATAATGAAGCACCTGCGGTTGTAAAACAAGATCTTCTTGGTGAAGATTTAGAAGAAGAGGATTTTGCTCTCAGGCCACATGAAGAGGGCAAGGACGTAGAAAAATCAACCAAGGACGAAAAAGTTTCAATGTAAGGTTTTCGAGTTTCATGTTCTATTTCTGCATTTGTTCAATCCAATCTTGCACTCTTTTTATGTGAATAAATTCCTGTTGAGTTTCAGGCCAGGAACTCGGGTTTCCAAAAAGAAGACGCTAAAGATCAATCTGCACAGACCAAGTGGGACAAGGGTTAAGTTTGATGAGGAAGGCAATCCAGCAGCTCCCTTAGCAATAGTAGCTGCCACAACAGGGACTGAAGTAGCCCTTGATGAAGGTAAAAGAACATAAACCTCGAGTTAGATCATATCCCATCCCTATCATTCTAATCCTACAAACTAGCAATTAATTAGTTTTTACGATGCATGTGGAATTGGTTCTTGATTTTTGCAGAGACAAGGAAGGATTACTATAAAAAAGTGGGAGAGCAACTGAGGAAAGTGGATCATGTAGACAAGAAAGTAGAGAGGGAAAAGAGGAGGGAAAAGAGAATGAAAGAGAAGATTAAGAGGAAGAAAGGAGCTATGGAGGAGGAAGAAGAAGAAGAAGGCCATGAAGACTCTGGATCATCAGAAGAAGAAACAGGAAGAAAACGCAAAAGAGCAAAGAAAGTCGACTTTGATGGTAATGGTGATGGAGATGAAGAAAGGGAAGGAGGAAAAATCAACACAGATTCTGTCTCTATAGCTGAGCTTGAAGAAATGGCTCTCAAATTGATAACGCAGTCATGAAATCTCATATAGAAAACGTTTTCCTCTCTATTCGCCTTTTTGCTGATTCCCCCAATGATGCATTCATTTTTTGAACAAGGTTGGAAGTTTCCAACAAGTTTTGTCTGTTTGCCTTTTGTCTATCAAATCCTGTTCAAACTAAAAACAAACAATCATTATATAAAGTTAATTTATAGTCAAATCATCTTTCAAACGTTGTAGATGGCTTAGCAGATGATTGCAGTATAAATGTTAGTCGCATACATAAAAAAGATTTGATGCTTTGTAGAATTTTGTGCTTTTTACTATTGAGGAAAAAGATTTTCATTTTAACTTGGGTTTCTTTGTGTATTAACGAATCTGTTACACTGTAAAAAGTCTAAGTTCTGTACTAGATTTTGATGATCGTTTCTGGATTTGTCCACTAGCATGTGGCATATCCCAATTGTATGTTTATTTTTTCTTTCGACAAAAATTTAAATGACAGATAAAAGTTTCAACATTCACTAAAACAATATGTTCATAGCAAATCCAACATAAACTCATTCGCAAACAAAACTCACACCAAATGAAAAGACAGAGCATTCTTAATCTAAAGTCCTAGCAAGACTCAGCGACTCATATTTTTGTCCATAGGCCAAGACGTTGGTTGAAAAAGCTGGTGTTGATCTTTCACTGCATTGGGATAAGAAAAATGGTAAGAAGAAAGAACGTACACATACAGCATCACATGTGATAAATCTTTAGTGTAAAGCTGAGTTACCTGGCGTTGCTGCTGATAGTTGCCATAGCCAGGGTAACCGCCATAGTAGGCATTAGGATCCTGAGGACGAGGAGGAGGTGCATAACCATATGGTTCATAGCCCTGTGGCTGTGGAGGGTATCCATAGTATCCACCACCGTTCCATTGGGGTTGATCAGGCTGTGACTATAAAGTTTGAAGTTATGGTTTAGCTATGAATTTATCAAAATTATCACTCCCAAGTTTTTTAAAGGTAACAAACAAACACACCTGCTTGTTTGGACTACGTCCCCATGAAAGACGGATGCTTTGTCCACCTAACTGTGTTCCATTCAACATCGAAAGTGCATGCTCTGCAGACGCCCTGAAATATGACAAAGATAAATAATGAAGTGTGTAAACACAAGAATGAAACAAGTTTGCGTTAATGGGGAATGGATCATATGATTATTGTACCTGTTGGAATACTGAACGAATCCACAACGCTTTCCTGGAGGTATTTTCACATGAATTAGTTCTCCAAATCTACCAAAAACTGACTTTAATTCATCGTCTGTAACGCTAGCATCCAGAGCTCCAACAAATATCTGAAAGTAGAACGCATCAGCCTTTCATTCGAGCCAAACAGTATAAAAACATCAAACTAAAGATTTCGAGGAACATAAAGCAAATTAACTACTCACAGTCGTGTTATTTGGATCGACTTCTCCAGGATTTCCTCCTTGAGTGTCCTGATACATACCTGCAGATAACAGATGGGAGATGGTTGAAGACACTATTATATATTGCATAGAACCACTCGGTAACTTTAACAACACTTGCAAAGATCATTCACATCAACACTTAAAAAGATACAAGCAGAGAAACCAAAGAAAATACAGTTCAAAGATCATGATCAAGAGAGTTAGTTGATTATTGAATCAGTGATACACAAACCGTTGACACATATATCAAATGGTACTAAACACCCAAGCAAGGAATAATTGGAGTACAACTCTTCACCTACACCCAAATTTCTTCCATGTTTGAGGTCCTAGTGATCAACTTGGGGAACTATGCTTTGGCAAGGTTTAACAGTTTAAATACAGAAAAGAAAAAACTATACTGAACAAAAAAAAGATACTGAGAGAAGAAGTATTAACTTGCAGGTAAGACTCAAAATAAAAGAAGGGGAAAGTAATGGGCGATGGAATATGAAACAAATTCACTTGAAGGTAAAAGGCTCCAAAATCAGATACTTTTAGTGGATAAAATAAGGAACTGTAGGCTCATATAGCCAACTGAAAACATAGCCAACTGACCTAAATGAGGCCACGCAATAAGGTGGAATCATTTTCAGCGGAAATCAGTTCCAGGCTCCCCCAGAGAGAGCCACTTGTTCTCCTGCTTTAAGACAACATGAGTTGATCTTTATAAGATTTTGGATGCTTTCCAATATCGAAATTCATTTTTAAGAGCAGAAAAGCGAAAAACCGGAAGGAACAAAGAGCAGAAAAATTCTCTAGTCTCTGAGCACCAACTGAAGAACAAGATTTAGCAAACAGAAAGATCGGAAAAAGCAATACATCCACACAGAAAAGGCAAACAACCTCAACCAAAAAAAACCCTGCTTAAACCACCAATATACACAATGCACACGATTCCCTAGATATAAAGCATACCTGGTTGCATCGTAAGAGGTTTCTTGTTGGCAGCCGGACCAATACGCATAGGCCTGGTCGAGCAAAACTGACCGTTCATTTCGGTCATGGCACGCATCTGCTCACTTTCATCCCCGAACCTGACAAAACCATATCCCTTGGACCGTCCAGTGGTCCTGTCAGTCACAACCTTTGCCCCCTTGACAGACGAATATACACTCGTGAATGTTTCCGTGAGCATGTAGTCAGTGACCTCAGGAGCCAGGTCGCCAACAAAGATTGTGTGGTCAGGCCCTTCAGCTTGGCGTCTCTCTCCAGCCCCAGCCTGAGCCCAGTTCAGCCTGAAGGTCTGCTCACAGTTCGGCATCTGAGCACCGTTGTAAGTCTGCAGAACCCGCTCGGCTGCAGCATGGTTGGCAAACTCAATGAATCCATAACCCTCACACTGCCCAGTCTGCTTGTTGCGAATGACTTTAGCTGATTGAGCCTGAAACCACAGATAAAAACACCAATCTTTCACTAACCATAGGTTCACAATACTAGGCTACTAGCTAAGGCATACGTGAATTCACAAATACGTATAAAACTGGGAAAAACAGCAAAAGAATGACTCTGAATCGATTAACGTTGTTGAAACGAAGAATTATTGTTATCAAGGGAATACTAATTTTAATCTTTAAAGAAGGGACAATACTTGTCAATCTTCTTCAACATGATAAGCAAAAGACTAATAATGTTCTCTTCCAAATTCGAAAGATTCGCAAGATTTTACACAAGTTAAAGATTATACCTCGCCAGTCTGAGCGAAGATGCTCATGATGTAGTTCTCGTCCATCCATGGCTGCAAGTCACCGATCCACAACGAACGGATCTCACCGTCGGATCCTGGATTCTGAGATCCAGCACCGTAGTGCTGCTGTTGACCCGGTGACGGCGCCGACTGCTGGTTCCATCCAGCCGGAGGCTGACCCTGTTGCTGCTGCTGCTGCTGCTGTTGCATCATCATCCACTGCTGCTGCTGCTGGTGATAAGCTTGCTGGTCTGATGGTGCTCCGGCGGCGGTAGGCGGTGGCTGTTGCATCATGAGGACGAGAGAAAAAAAAAACCTAAAAAAGAGGGATTTGTCGCAAATGCAAAAAGGAATTATCTCGGGGGAGAGATACGAGACTTAAAAGCACGTTATAAGTCTCGCTTGCTGTATATATATGGAATTAGTGATATTATAGGCTGTAAATCGTTGTATGGGCTTTTATATCGGCTCAATCTTGCTACACTCAGCCCAGCCCATTAGCTGTTATACTGAAATTGAAAAACCGGTTAGGTTCTGAACCGGCTACAAGATTAATTTCATTTTCGACCTTTATGCTCTCGAGTTTTAACATGGTTGATGTCAGAAGGTTCGAATTATTAATCCTTAGCTAAGAAGACAAAAAGAATAGTAAACTTGAACTTAAGAAGAAGGGATTTGTGTAGCTTAATCAATTACACAAAGAACAAATTTTTGGACTGGTCTCAAATGTGGTTATTTCAGTTTGGTTTAGTTGGCCCCATCCCTCTCTTGCATTGCAAACACACAAAATCATCCAAGATTTGTTGTATACTTGAATCTGTGACTCAGTTCTTGTCTTCATGATTCTGACATATAAAATTAGGTTAATATTTGTTTTATACAATGAGGAAGTTTTGGTTTACAAATGGATTTGTTCAGGTCACAGGATCATTGTTTCTGGATCAAAGTTTCACAGAGTAACAAAACAACCTCTTCTTCTCAATTCCTCTTCCCTCTCCAGAGTATGATCTGCTCATCTTTGAACAATATGGGAACACATGGAACCAAGTCCTGCAATTTTGATCACAGCATCAAAACCAACACTATCAGAATCTAACAGACAAGACAAAACAAAAACCCATTTAAAGTTTATACCTTTAGCTTCACACCGATTCGTTTGCAATCACTCATCCCAACATGAGTGCAATCTAGTCTGACAATCTCCTCTGTGTCAAATTCCTCTCTCACTCTTCCCACGACATTAACATAGACACCATTCCTAGCTGAACCAATACATAATATCTCAATGAAAAACGAGGAAAATGAGGAAAAATATGAGTCTGAGGTAAAACTATGTACATGTACAACTACTTACTAAGTTTCATTAGAGCAGGAGAAAGAAGCCCACGATTTCTCATCTCTTTGGTCTCTTCAAATGTTAACCCATCAGCGACATTCTTGACAAGCCTTGGGTATATAGGTGGATAAGGCTTCCATAACATTAGTGGTATGATAGGTCGATTCTTCGGATCATAATACCTTCCTCGGTACAAAACAAGGATGTTTATGTTTCTGTATACGATCTTTCCACCGGATTTTTCCTGTCAAAACACACACAAATACAGTAAGATCAGGAGAAGTATCGAAAATTAGAGACGTGTTCTTGAGCTCTAAGAATTGGACCTCAAGGTGGAAACATATGTTGTCCATGTCAAGAGTTGGTACTCCCAAGCATTTAATCCTCACTGCCTCTGCTTTCTTCCAATGGTTATGAATGTCATCTATCATATTGTGAGTGACTCCTCCTTTCCCTTATAAACATCGTAACAACAACAACAACAAAGGTTCTAACTCATTGATCACTTAGAAGAATCCAATTATCATCAATCTCTAATTTGATTATGAAAGACCTCGAGCCTTGAGAATGAAAGTATCACAAACGGAAGATTAAACAAGCATGTATAAAATCATACAAATCAATAGGATTAACATAGCCTGAGGTATTAAGACAAAGATGTAACAAAAAGCTTCTACCACAACATCCTAATAAACGACATTCAGAAAGCTCGAATAAAAGATATGAACACAAGTTCTTAATAATGAAGCTATCCGGTTCATTAAACAATTCATCATCTTCCATTGTTAAGCCTCTTAATTTGCAATGATTTGTAAACTATAGTCTTTACTAAATTCAAAGCTTAAAGCTTTAACAAAAAGATTCATTTTTTCCACTAAAACGAAAATGAATACGAGCTTTTAGTGGTTCGAGGAAGAGTTTAATACCAAGATTAATCTGCCGTGGACAATCACTATGACGATACCGTTCCACTAGTTCAGTCACTTCCTCCTCCGTCAAAGGCTCGCCGAGAATCTTCTCTCTCTCCTCCGCCCATTGGCTCTGGTCACTCTCCGGAGAAGCCGGAGCAGAAGTCCCAGTCCAATTCCGGTCTAATCGACCCGGTCCGAATGGAGAAAACCGTTTCGGTTCACGGAATCCAATTGGTTCAATTGCCGGGTTGGTTTCCGAATACGAATACCTAAAATCGAACGGGAGGTCTGAAGTCACCGGCACCGTCCGGTTAGTTACCGGCTCCGATGACTGATCCTGCTTTGTTTTCTTCTTCTGCTTCGTCTTCTTCTCTCTTAGAGGTTTAGTGGGTTTCGAGAGAGGCGAAAATGGTGGATCATCGTAATCTGTAGATAGAAGTCGAGCTCGGAGATTACACAAGAACAAAAACGAATCTTTTGCCTCTTTCGCTAGAGTTAAGCTTCTGCGAATTGAAAGCATTCGGAAAAGAAACAGTCTTTGCTAAGCGCTTCTTCTCTTCTCTATAGTGTTAATTTGGAAGTCGACAAAATGTTTTACTGAACAAGACATATAGTTTCCTAGTTTACATTTTGGCCCAGAATTATTGAAATTCACCATCATTACCCTACCATACACATACACTTACATTATTCTCTCAATGACTTTAATTCCATCATTATTTAGTAGTGGAGATTCTACATTCAGAGTCAGACAATGATTGATAAATTGTATAAAAGATCCAACTTTCGCATGATTATCAAAACTGAAAACAATTCACTAACAATCTTCTTCTTTTCCTTCAGCTTACATGTTGTTACAGTAGCAGCCAATGGCTTTCAGCTAATTGTTTCAAAGTTCTCATCTTTACATCTTCTTTGATCTTCAACCATGGATTTGAAAACATCCAACATATTATCCAAACCTTCAGGATCTTCACCGATATCCTTCATCGCGTATACAATACTCTCTATCGTCGACAAACATCCCTCCCTTGGCTGCCTCCTAACTTCTCTGTACAAACTTGTACCTTCAATTTCCAGCTTCACATGGCTGCACAAAAGCTTCAGCCATGGATTCTCAAGGTACATTCTTCTTGCCTTCGACCATGTCCCATCAAGAACAATCAGATTCCTTAGCTTGAGGTCTCTCTGTTTAAGATCAGTGATCTCCACCGATTCTTCGCTAGGGAACAACAGAGCTGATCCAGGAGGAACCTCCAGCTCGAATTCTCGCTTCCCTTTGGAGAACTTTGTAACCACAAACCCTTTTGCCAAGACATCCATGGCGGCAGGAGAAGCCAATATTTGATCAAAACTAAGATCTTCCTCTTCCACATGGCTTTCCAGCATCAAAGAATGTGAGACATTGCGGATAACACCTCGTTTGTTCATAGAGATTCTGATTAAATCCTCTAAAATACTTTCTTCACAAGAACCTATCTTTTCAGTAAGCCGACAAGAAATTTCACCTGAATGTTGAGAAAGATTCACACTTTCAGCGATTTTCAATCTTCCACGATCAACAAGCACAACCTTCTTCTCTGATTCTAAGTTATCCACATTACCACTACCTAACTTTGAGCTATCATCAAGTTCCAAAGCGGCTTCATCTTCTAGCCAATCATCAGAATCCGAACGATTGGTGCCAATCTTACTCGAACGAGTAGCCCTGATTATGAACTCTGCCTCGTCATGTACATCGAAAACGGTGGTGACACTAACATTCTTAAGCCCTAATCTAGCGATTCGAGTTGAATTAAGGGCGTGTTTTCTCTCGAGACTGTGCTGCAGGATAGTAACACTAACCTCATTATCGAGACACGGAGAACGCATCCGCTTGCAGAGACAGAGCTGTGTGGGTTTAGCGCAAGAAGGACAAGTGGGTCGCTTAGACTGCGACTCCATTTTTAGGGTTTTCGAAACCCTCAAGCCTTGACACCGTATACAATCGGCGAAGTTACTTCGAGACAAAATCAGCTGAGACCGGGCCACGACATGGCCCATCATCTGTCCTGATGTCACACACATTCTAATGAAGCAATCGAAAGTTCCAATCTTTGCTACTACAGTACTACTTTAAGTTGTTGTGTCCGAGGAAGATGAGATTCAAATCAGACCTGTTCAATCCATATTAACCAAACTAAACCGAATGGGAGATGACTAACCAGAACCAAATTGGTGTGGAAACAGTCAGATGGCGTGTATACACAATATACTTGGTCATCTAATTTTAAACCTAGAGAAATGTTGAAGTCTTTCTTTCAAAAGGATTATTTTCAGATTCCTATTTTGTGTATCACATTTAATCCAAACAATTACATAGTGTGTAGTTTCGGCTGGCTACAAACCTGACCAATATATTTACAAACCGATTAAGTAATTGTTGTTAAGAGTTTTCAAACGGAATTACAATAAACTTTTTCCTAACAAACAGACATCTGAGGAAGATAACAATTGGAATTATCATGGTACTAGCAGTTCTCTGGTCTGTTGTATTTTGGAGGCAGAGAAGGACATTGTTCATTCATATGCGAGTATGGTTCCATAGTGTTGTAACCAGGAAGTTCCATTCTGTATTTACCGAGAATCTGACAGTAAGGAAGCTTTACACTGTCATTGTCATTGCACCATTCAGGAAGACGACTTGCATTGGTCTCGAAAAAGTTGAGCATGTAAGCATCTTTGATCTGTATATTGAAAATTGACAGATTCAGAGAACATGGTAACACGAACTTGCGGGTAGGAAGGAAAACAGAGACGATGTATTAGTTCTTACAGTGAATTCTGTGACTTGGACAGAATTAGCCAATGAGCCAAATAGGCCAGCTTCTTTGTACATTTCAAGGATGAATGCGATGCATGAGGTTGATTTACCATCGCTGTATATCCAATTGTCTTGTTCGGGTATTGCCAGTAATTTGTCAAAAGAGGATCCCCGCTTCTCTACTTCGACCAGTACATCAGAAAGATCAAGACCCTGCAATTCAGAACATGTTAAAGGATAGAAAGAAGGACAAGGAAAAAAGTTCAAGTAAAGAAGCACAGAAAAATGCAGAATCGTATACACAACTCAAAGATTAAAGAGTACAGAGAAATCAAATATTAAGACCATTTCAAATAAAGTAAAAATTTTCATCTAAGGTTCATGTTTAGTAATTAGTGATTACAACAAACAGGAAAGGCCACACAAATATGATACCTCTGTTCCGAGTCGCTTGTTCAAGGCTTCATTCCACATATTAGCAGCATAATCAGGCTGCATTTTGCTCCAAACAGTCATGAAAGAGGCAACCTGAAAGATAAAAAGAGAGAAACTCAAATATAATTCAATTAGAAAGCGTATTCATTCCATCAAGGCCAAAGTTGAGAGAAATGAAAAGAAAACCTACAAGGTGAGCATCTAAAGGAGGCGGGTAGTTGTCACTAACGGTATCGATCCAGCTAAAAATCAAGTTGTGATAACCATATGGTTTACCCTCCATGCTGCGAGCATATTCCCATGCAGCAGTAACGTTGAATTTAGCCCGGACATCAGGATGCAAAGGTAGCAATGCGATCTGAGGATTCGAGTCGTCTTTCGTTTGTTCAAATTCCCACCACTCCTCCCATGGTAATATCGCTATTACATCTTCTCCCTGTGATACAAGAAAAAGACTTCAACAAAAGAATTCTTCTTGTATTTAAAACTTAAATATAAGGCAACACACTGAAGTATTGTTACCTTTTCGTTTTCATTGCCAGACTCACCAACCCATAGTTTTCCTTCAGAGTCTCTCAAGCAGACAGCAGAATGACCAGCATATGCTCCGCTCACCCACTTTTCAAGAGTCTCAAAACCTCCCCACCGTCCACGGATCTTGGAAATAGCTAGTAGATCACCGGATTGTATTTGATCAGTTGTAACGTTCGTAACCCATGGTTCAGGACGAGCTTCAAATTTAGCTCCCATATGTTTCTCAAGAAACGCAAGATTAGAGCTCTCCCCCCAACCGGTATTGGTAAAGAGAGGAAAAACATCCCACAGTGCTTGAAGTGTTCCTAACATCCCTGCGTGCATAAGGAATATCGAAATTCCCTTATTCTTAACCTGATACAACAAGTAACCAAAGCACATCAAACAAACTCATAAATATCAAATCCTATATGGAGAAGAAACCAAAAGATATAGCAACGGGATTTGAACAAAAGTTAACAACAGCTTACATATTCATACTCGGCTTTTCCATCCCATTCCGGGAATTCCACAGTGTGTGCCCGAGAAATGAAGTACCAAGTCCAGGTCACGCGATATGGAGTTGCAAAGACATAAAGATCCATGCAAGTCCAACTATGTGCCTTATCAGCCTTCACATACATATGATAACAACAACATCAAATTTAGATTTCATCAGTTAAAAGTAGATTCTAATCCCCTGAAAAAGAGAGAAACTACAGAAATGACGATTCTTGATAAGAACCAACAAAGAAACCATCTTTGAAAACGGACTCTTACTCCACTTGTATGCAAGTCTAACACATAAGATTCTCATGAAAAATCGATTAAACTCAAAAATTGAGTAAGAAGAGGGTCAGATAAAATCCTCTCAGTGTTCTCCTAATTCCCAGGATCCCAAAATTTCTAGCAAGTGAATTCAAATCACAGACTTCCAATAGTCAAAATTGAAGAGGACCCATATACAATTACTCCAATAAACACTCGAAAACGAAACACAAATAAGAAACAGAACAATAGTATTGAAAGGAACCAAAATCGAATGATTTCTTATTCAATTTTCAAATTCACCTTGATGTGAAGCGTGCCTCCACCAAACTCGCTACCGGACTTGTTATGAAACTCTAACCAAGCCTTGTTCTCGTAGAAACAAGCCCCTTTCCACTCGACTGCATCGTTTCCTTCACTCGCTGTTCCGATAAAAGTAGGGAGCAGATCGGCGGCGCCGTAAAGGGAGTTGAGAATCGGCCACGAGACTTGCCTGGGCAAATGCGGAAGCAAGTCGCGAGGGTGAAACGGTGATTTCGCCGATTCCGCGGTTGAAACGGTTAGAATCAGTACGGCGATGGAGAACAGAGAGGAGAGCGAAGAAGACGGTGAGGAAGATGAAGACGCCATGTCCGTTTTGGGTTCGACGTCTCTCCACGATATCAAAACCAAAACTATTTATAAAAATAATGGCTTTCACCGAAATATTTATATAATTTTTCCCGTTTCTTTGAATATATCATTTTCCCCGTATAAAAAGAAAGTTCTTATAGGATTTTTAGACCCCCAAAAATATCATTTTTATTTGTTTAACTATTTCATTTTCTTTTATAATGATAAAAATATATGTATGTTACAGTTTACAAACTAATCTAGTTGGAGTGCACAATAATGTGACAGATCTTACTTTGTGTAGCTGACAAATATTTTGTTTCTCTTTTCAAATCATTCACAATATATAAAAAATTCTACTAATTATTGCAAACTTAGAGAAACGAGTTTCATAAGATATAGCGTTTGCTGATAACTAGGATTTAAGCATATTAATCGGTGCAAATTGGTTCTATAATAGCTAGTCAAACTTGCCAATCGTAACATATTAATCGTTTTGTTGGTGCATGTTAGTTCATATACTTGGCAAAATAAAAGTTCTAATTACTTGCTTCAACGGATTAATCTTATATAAAAGTTTGGAAATTGAACAATGTAAGAACGGTTGAAACTCTCCTTTATTCTTAATTTGATCCAATAAGTACTTAGAACTCGTACAAATTCATAGGTTTTTTTTTTAAAAAAAAAACGCATACACATTAAATCCTAAGTATGAAAAAACAAAATAAATAAAAATAGAATTTGAACAAAAGATACTTACATAATCATACCTGGCTAGCTTGGCTTTTCTATAACATTTCCCGAATTCCACAGTATACTATCACGAAATAAAGTATTAAGTACATGTCACACGATATGGAGTTGCAATTACCTAAAACCGTAAAACGTAAAAACCCATGCAAATCTATCTTAAAATTACTATCATGACTAGAGTATGTGCTTTAACGTTGGAAGGATAATAGTTTGATTTTTGATGTCTCCACGTTTGGACACGAAATTTATTTTTATTGAAAAACATTTATCTAACGATATTGAAATTACTTTAGGTTTGATTACAAAAAAGATCATTACCGTTACTTTTTTAACTAAATCTGGATGGTTTTTTTTTTTTGTCTAAAGATTATCTCCAGATGGTGACACAAACAAGACTACATCAACCAAATAATTTTAATATAACGTATATATTTTCATATCGTATAAGTTCAACCATTAACAATTAACGACATGATCAACAGCGTACACCACAACAACAGCAACAAAATTCACGAGAAATTGCCATGTTCTTTTTGTATTTCCCATTCCTTACAATGTTATCATTTCATTACGCTACGCTACCAATGATCTAACGTGTACACTGTACATTCTTGAAGTATTTTCATCAATCGCGTATAAATTTCTAAGATACATCGCCTTTTCTTCCTCTATAAATATACTCCCAAAATTTTAAAATTACAAAAAAAGCAAAAGACGTATTTTCAAAGCAACAACAATCAAATCTGTTACGTAGGCGTTGAAGTGGTTTATGTCCAATCCAATCCGCGGTTCTACATCATGGCTAGATTAGATTATACACTCCTCTATCATTGAACCGAACCAAAATTTTGATATGACGATATATGATAAACCAAACCAAAATTTCAAATGCTCACCCAGCTCTAGTTTCAATTTCAAGTAACTAGAAAACTTTGCAGTTTCATCAGTCTGCAGAAGCATTATGTATAAGCAAATATTTCTATTAGGTGTAAAATGTGGACTATTGATTCTTGATAAATACACCACGTTTATTATCCGACAAGATTTGTGATAGGTCCATCCTCAGAACTAAGAGATTGTGAACACTAAGAACACAATATCAACACAGTTTCTTTGGCAAATTTTCAGTCTGTTCATTATCTTAACCATGAGGCCTTTAAATACACCAAGGAAAACAATTGATCAATCCTACAAATATGGAGATAAGAAAGTGGAAAGTGGAAAGTGGGAAGTGGGAAAGTGGAGATTAAGTCCTATGATTAAGCAGAAATTAAAAGAACTAGTTAATAATAAATTGTATCTCATCAATTTGTTTCTTCATGTATGTACATGCAAATCCTTTACTAGCCAGAAAATATGACAGACAATGAAACATAGGGATACAAAAAGATTGAATCAAATTAATTTTAAGTATCTGCTCCACTAGTTGCATAAACAGAAGAAACACACGGGAACCAATAGCGACGTTTACCATCTTTATGACCATCATCAATCATCGCAAGACCCTCCTGAAATAAGTATGGAAAAACAAGAGTTTCAGAACCATTAACAACACATGTTTCTCTAAACTAACTGAGGTAAATGAAGAGCAAAAGACGACATACTTCTAATAAAGTTTCGAGGGCATCTATAACTCGACCAGAAGTCCATGAGTGTCGTCTTTGTACCTCTTCTACAGTTACAAAGCCTTGGCCCTGAAAATCCTCAACCCATACATTTCAACTATATATATATATATATATATATATATATACTACTTTCAAGAGATGTTTTGGCTCTTATTCTTTATGTTTTGTTACCTGAGCCAACTCTAAGATTTGGTTATGGTCTTTGTTTAACTCAGTGGGGACTGAACGGACAAGCTTTTTCTTACCAACCGTGATGACCTCAAATCCGCTGCCCAAAACCTGAGAGATTATCAAGTCCAAGATATTAGCAAGAACAGTTTTAACTACTTTTTTTTTTGTTCTATTGGAAGATTACGAGAATTAGGATGACCTTTAGCTTGCTAATAGCTCGAAGACAATCATCTTCAGTCACAGCTTCACGGTCTTTTTTTCTTCTCTGACGAAGATGGTTGCATAGCTCCTGTAAACTGATCAAGCCTCCATTATGGGACCTTGTTAGCATGCAAACTTCAATTATCTGTACTCCTGTTTAATGGATTGATCACTAAACCTTCTAAGTTCTAATACCGCTTAAAACGTGAATGATAGAGAATAGTATAACAAAAGGAATCACATAAGATTCGAAACAAGAAGACAATCTACTGTTCGTACATATGTATCCAGAATTCAGGATGCTAGAACTTAACTAAGACAATAGATTATGGACTGAAGGATCAAACTTACGCATAATCTTACTAACTGATACAAGAAATCATAAAAAAACATACCCAATTCATAATAGAAGTCACCAATTCCGAGTAGCTCAGCCCAGAAACCCTTGTTTGAAGCCAGAGGATCTACTCCAACTTTAGCACACATTTCATGGAATTGAGCCCTAAAGGCAGGGTTTTTACGAATATCGTTCTGCAAACATACGCAGATCATTTCCTTTTCAGAACAATTTAGCCTATCGCACAAACAATCTGCCACATTATTCAACAACACAGTGCTCTTAATAAGCAAAACAAACCGTTGAAAGTGAATCAGATTAGTAACAATTAGATGATTTTAAGAACTACCCAACAGAGAAACTTATACATATAAACTCATCCAAGTAACGACCTTGTGTTTACGAGCGAATTCTTCAAGCTGAGATCGGAAAGTGGCGAGTTGTTCCTTCATGAGATCCGTGCGTAGCTTCGCAACATTTTCTCCCAGTAAACGGTATTGATCCTTAAAGATTGAAACCCAAAAAACAAACAAAGAAGAGAGAGAGAGTGGTATCAATCACTATTGAACAGAGATGCAAATGATAAAATACATCAAAGAAAGTGACATCGGACGATCAAATCAAAGTTGGATTTAGAAAGCAAACCCTAGCAGCCGCAGCTTTTTGCAATCCTCCGATTCCTGGTCGTCGTCTCATCTTTTTTCAAATGATATTGATCTTTTCGGATTTCTCCTTCACCGTCGATACTCGTCGGACAATCTCCCTTTGAACAGATTGTTCATTTCTGTGTAGTTAACAAAGACTGAATCAACTTTTCGGACCAAAAAATCAGAGTGGCGCAGCGGAAGCGTGGTGGGCCCATAACCCACAGGTCACAGGATCGAAACCTGTCTCTGATAGATTTTTTTCCCCATTGAAAGCCCACTTGATTTAACCAATTATTACGCCTAATTTCTGGACCCAGCTTGAAAGCCCACTTGATTTAACTAATTATTACGCCTAATTTCTGGACCCAGCTTGAAAGCCCACTTAATTTACCCAATTATATGGCCCAATTTGTTCGGGATCCATTATCTACATTTACAAATAAAAGTATTTCACTCAATTTTTCTTTTTCACTTATTTTTTTTTAAAAAAAAATTGACAACTGTTTGATTTCTTGATTAAACAGGAAAACTTTTATACTTATTTTTTTTTGTGAACTCTTTTGAGATTTTTGTAATTAGAATATGATGTGTATCATGATATAAAATTATATCATTAACTTATGTCTTTACATAATCAAGATAACCATAAAAACAATTATAAACTGACATAAACAATTTCTTCTCTATCTTTCAGGTTTGGAGGCTAGATCGGGGAAACAGGAGACGGAATTGGAGCCTAAGACTGGTTGGAAGAATTTTTATAACGAATTAATGAAGATATTGAGGACAAAAATAATAGAGTACCTTGTCGACCAAAAGTATTTTAGAGAAGAATCAGAGAAGAATCAGAGAAGAAGAAGGGGAAAATGGAATTAACCATCATGGAACAAACTAAGTATTTGAACAATTATGGTAAATGTATGCTTTTTGTGGTTAGAGATATGGAAAGGCTGAAGAAAAACATTGCTGAGAAGAAGGATTTAATGTTACTTTTCTTTCATTCTAGAATGACAGTTTTAATTCTAAATGTTGAGAATGGATCTTTGTAATAATTTTGGATGGCGCTTGTCTTTTTCTAGTTGAGTTAAGTTAGTGAAAAGGTTTTCTATTTTGGTTGGACTTAATTGATGAGAAAAATGTTCATGGCAACAAGACCAAGAGTTATGCTTGTTTTAATCATGTATAAATCATCTCTTTAGTTCAAATGCAGATGATGATGCTTGTTTGAATCATGTCGAAACCATCTCTTTAGTTCAAATGCAGATGATGAAAGGTGTTATGGAATAATGAATTGTTTTTCTTTCGTATTTTAATAATGACGTCTCTCCACGATATTTAAAATTGGTATTTTTGCACTATAAAAATCCAAATTGGATTAACTAAAATTAAGCAATTGTTCTAGTTTGTATAATTAAAAACGTTTTTTTTAAAAAAAATTATCTGAGAGAAATAAGATTTTTTGACTAATTATCAAAGACACCATATTATCATTTGAAGGATGATAGAATGGTTGAGAGGAGAGACAAAAGTGGTAATTTTATTGGTCCTCTCCGAGACTGATGAAAAACCAAACGTAGTTGAGAAAGATGGAGGTAACTTTTAGTCTAGTTATTTCTATTTGTTTTTGAGTTATTCAGAAAAATAAAAAAGATTAGGATAACTCAATTTGAAATTAAATTGTGTATGCACTTGTTTGATATAAAGTAGAATAGATAACGTGATTGTGATCGATCTTAAAAGTTAAGTTTAGTCTAAAGGTCGTTTTAAGTTTATCATACAAGTGAAGATTGCAAAAGAGAAAATGGAGCTGTATAATCTTAGTATATAATTGACAACTCTCTAACTCTGTCTGATGTGTGTGTCAATTCCAAAAGTTTTTAAGAATGTCAAAAACTGATGCCCCCAAAAAATGCGAAACCACTGATCTAAATCTTTTCTACGAGAAACTAAGCTTTTGTCTCTGTGACCTACAAAGCTGATACTCCTGTAGCTTCCTTGGGTATCAAGAAAAGAAACAAAACAGGTATATAAGTGCAAAACACTTGAATGGCTAAGCCAAGAAACATATTCTCAAAGGACCCTGAAGAGATTCCCAGAACTGAAGCTAATCCTGCTCCCATGAATGACCCAACTGTGTTCCCAAGGTTGTTTATAGACATAAACAGCGCAAAGAGTGTTCCTTCAATCCCAGGAGGACATAATCGACCAGACAAGATCAAGAACGGCATGAATCTGCGATTAAAACGCCTCAAGGTTAAAGTGAGCAATAAGCCAAAACATCCTTGTGAGTTTACAATTCTTCAAGAAAAGTTTCAAAGAGAAGTTAAAGAAGGATAAGCAGATACATACTTGAGTTGATTGATGGCATCAGCTAGAGCTGAACCGAAGAGCACCATTGTCTTGTCTGAAACTCTGTAAATCACATTTGCTCTAGATACTAGAACCATATCGAGGAGTATTGTTATAGACAGCCCGATGTGAGCAAACCTACGAATGATGTTTTTTTTGTTGATTACACCACTCAAAGAAGGACAATATTGAGATGCATGGAAGAATTGATGCGTGTGGGAAATATATAGGCTTACAAGAGAGACTTGCGTAGAGTCATATTTGTAAGATAGCGGTTGTAGATGAAGGTTCCAACCATGAGCCCAAACCAACCAACAACACGGGCTGTTCCTAGGAAAGAAGCGTCCAATTGCAAGACCTCGGTTTGGTAATAGAACATGACGGTAGAGAGATTTGGCACAGTGATATGCGCGATGAAAAACCATGCCATTGGTCTTGGAAAACCAGACAAAAAGTTAATGAGAAATCAATACTTCAAGAAATTTCGAAAGCGGACTATCAAGAAAGCGTGCAATACCTCAAAATAATCGGTTGCTTGAACGCACGGCATAACTCAAAAGTGGCTGCTTTCAGTGACTGGAACAACTGTGAAGCTAAAGACTTTGATTTCTTCTTCTGTGTCACAGACTTTACATTGTTAGTCCCTTTTCTACCTTTCTTTTTCCCTTTCCTTCTTCTTGTATTGGACTTAATCTTATCTCGATATTCATCATTGCTTTTCTCTTCGAACCCGTTCGAATCCAGCAGCTCGGGCAATGGCTCATTGCTAGCAGGAATTTCTTCAACCAGAGCACATGATAGTAGTTGAAGCGCCGGTAGTACCGTGAAAAGGAGGAATATTGTTTCTATCTTCAAGTTGGTTAATGCATAGCCTCCTAATAGACTACCGCATATTCCACCCACAGCCATAGCAAACCATGAGACAGACTGAAGATCTCCAGCAAACGAGGCCCTGATAAAACGATTAAAAGACAGTTCAACTAATGAATAAGAATCCCATTTTCCCGATAGATTCAGTCACTAAACTATGATCTTAATTGTGTATCCGAAACAGAAGAACACAGAATCTTACTTTTCAAGTCTTACTGCCTCAGCTATCATGGCATCTACCACAACATCAGCCATGGCTGATCCAAGATTCTGGACGGTTAAGAAAATCATCAGGTACAGACTGGAACTTCGTGAGGTTGAATCTAGACCAAGCAAGAGCCATGGCACAAGAGAGAGCACAGTCGAAATCACCAAATACGGCGTCCTCTTTTTCCCTCCGATTGGGATACAATCTGAGATGATCCTACAACAAGAAGCAAAGGAGAAACAACATGTCATTATTACTAAGCTCCTAATTCTCTGCAGTGTTTTAGCTTGATTTTTATGTTTTGATATATCGATCAAAACGTGTAGTGTAAGAATTTATAAACTCTTTTACATTATTATTGAAGATTCATACCCATATAATGGTTTTATGCTCCATGGAAAGAATGCTACAGAGAAGACAAACTGAGAAGCTGATGGTGATAACTGAAGCCTGTCTTTGAGCTGGTAAGAAACTGCTGTCCACACGAACGATCTAAATCCCTATATACAAAAAAAAAAAAACAGCAAATCAATTTGAGTATCACGCAATGAATTTTATATAGCTAATCCTAAGTTTCTACAGGATTAATTCACCAATAACATGTAATCAAGCGAAACTTTCTCAACACATGTACAATGATCGTCGAATTATCTAACCAAAGCGATAGGAACACACGAAGGTCTAAGAAAACAGAGGAAAATGCAACAATATTTGATCCAGTATAATGTCGAAGCTTCCAATTCAAAAACATCCACAAATCAGAAGCTTCTAATACCTAATTCGCATTTGATTCATGAGATTTCGATTTGGTGTAATCAGAACGACAACGAAATGATGGATACTCTGCTTAACAATAATCCGCAAACGAGAAATCAATCACCATTTCTGTTTTGGTTTAACGAGGATCGCCATTTCAGATGAATTACCGGAAAACAAAAGAAAAAAATCCAGAGATTGAAGCAGAGAAGGAAACCTGAGTAAAGTAAATGAGGCAAACGAGCCACAGAAACGCGACGCCAAACGCCGATCGCAGCTGCTTCAACCAATGTATCATCGTAAAGCAGGATTAGACAAAACAGCTCCTTCGGATCATCAAATCTCCTAAAAATCTCTTTCTCTTTCTGTTTCGTTCTTCTTTTCTCGGGAAAATCTGCTCTCTATTCCTTATAACGAATTTTCTTTCCCAGATTTATGGTTTCCTCGTCCCAACATTCAATTTTCCCGTTGACTGACCACTGACGCAAAGAATGACGATAGGGGTACTTTCGTATTTGCCATCAAACAAAAAGCTACTCGTGCTTGAAACACGTTGCCGAACCAATAACATTCAGACACGTCATATGTAGGACCCATTCAACAACAACTGTTATTTATCTTCCACGTCACCGCCTTGTGAGACTAGTCTATCTTTGACTTTAACAAAGACTTCATTTCTCAAGTTTCTAAAGGGCTTGTGCTACATATCAACATTATACAAATCCAAAATGTTCATATTATTATAATACAAGTTTACAACTTACAAAGGAGTTAAAAAGAGGTATGAAGGGGCTTTGAATCAGCAATAAGAAGGTGCATATTGGGGTCGATACACAAAAGGCTTCACGGAATGAAAGTAACCGGAAGGGCGGTTATAAGTGAATTTGATTCCGGTATTGCCTTGGTTTAGGCGGTTGCAAGGTGTGTGGAAGCTGCTAATGGGCCTTGCAAGGCAAGCGTCCCAACGTTCGCTCTCTGGCATTGTCTCTGCTACTGTGTAGACACCTTTTGAGTTTGTGAAAGCTTGATAGTTCACAACTTCTCCGGATTTGGTTATGCAGAGAACCGCAACCTCAGCTCCTGTATATATACACACACAACAGAAAAAGATTGAACAACAACAACACAAAAAATAAGTTGAAAATGTATGTGAATGATCACAGTTTACTAGGAGAAGGATGATATGTATTCAGTTTACTAGGAAGCCACCTTCTAAGAGACAAGAGATTATGTAATGCTTGATCCCTATCTACTTGATTTATGTAAGTAAGAAACAGAATATGAATAAGAAAACTTGACAAGATTTCACATAAAGCATACATAATCTGCAAAAACTGCAGGCATTAGACTCGCATAGATATGCACAATATGCTAAAAAAAGAAACAGTACCTATAAGATTTGGCTAATAGACTACTCTATAGAACTAAAAAAATGTTCTTCATGTCCAAAATTTACAATCGATGCTAGAGTAAATGTTAAAACCAATTTGATGTGTGAGAAACACTTGCTATTGAAATAAACAGTGATCAATCTGAAGAAATCCGTCAGAACAATAACAGTTTAGTCACAACTCACAACACACAAACAAAGCAACACTCTTTCTCAAAATTACTACTGAAAAGTGAAAACTGGATCCAGGATTCTACACAGTAAATTCCAAAGAACTCGACAAAATCAGACTTGGTTTTTTTTTCCCCGAGAATCGAAAAACTAAAACTTGTCTAAAGAGAAGACATATATATATATATATATATATGCAGAAAGAGAGACTAACCTTCAAGAACATGATCTTCTGGTCCGATAGAAGAATCGGCACATACATCGCATACAACTCTGCCGCGAATTTCGCCAGTCCACGCGTCGACACCAGAAGCTAAGATCGCAATCATCACGAACAAACCCATCACTAGTTTACTCATTCGCGAATCCATGAGCAAGAATTGCTCTAATCTTTACTTTTTTCTCTTAGCGCTTCTCTCTGAGACAAAATACACGACGGCTCAGAACAGAACTTGTTAACTGAAATGACCGGAGCCACCACAACACACCTACTTCTGCGTTTTGTCGGTTGTTTAAACCCTCTAACTGGCAAAGTGAGTTCCAACAATAACTAAAACGGCAGCGTTTGTATAATTTTCTTCATTATCTTCTCATACAATTGAGAGTATTAAGGTTGAATCTGTGATAACTAAAGAATATAAGCCTTCTTATATAATTTTTATAATAATGTTCTCATTGTTCCCGAAAAGTAAAACATTATTACTTCCTCAGTCCAATTAAAATCATTAGAGCAATATACTCTACACTGTAAATAAGGAACGTGTGCGTGTTGACTAGTCGCTGCCCTTTAATCCGTCACGCTTTACAAGAAAACTCAGATTTCAAAACCAATCAAAAGAACCAAAGATTTGATTTTTTATTTTTTTCCCCAATCGTATACCTAATGTTCAATGCGGGTCCTATATCCAGTTCGATCAATTACATCGCCGATTCCAAGTCCTGAAATTTAAAAAGAACTCAAAAAAGTTTGGCTTCTGCTCGCTTGATCGATTTTGAAGTGGTAAGTTTTTGTTTTTTGGTGATTTGTTGAGAGCATTGGTTAGGGTTCTTTTAAATTAGAGGAATTTGTGTCTGTTTCTATGAGATTTATTTGGAACACTTTTGATGAGGTTTTTGACCCATTTTCTGGGATTTGCTGCTTTGTAATGTCGAATATGATTAGTCAAAGCGTTAAAATCCAAGAATGTCGTTCTCATGATTCTTTTACTTCAAATCACTTGTCTCTATGGTTTCGTTTTCCTCTTTTTCCCTTTCTCTCTGTGTGATTCCCTCTTGGTTTACATTGATAGATATTTAATTTTGATAGTGTAAAGTTGATTGATTCTCTGTGATGGCATTACATTACTTCAAGTTTCAACCTTGTATCTCGATCAATCTGTAGAAATAAGTTAATCTGAACTATCTGATATTCTTGTGGACATAATCCAAGTTCTTATTCTGTTGTGTCTTGTCTTAGTATCAGTAAATAGTTTGAATGCTTTTCTTCCCATTTTATTAGTATAGCTAGATTACGATTTTTTCTGCTGGATTTAAAACCATTCTTTTGCAATCCTTTGATTACATCTTTCTTTCCTTTTAGATAAAAGCATTTGATATGGCTTGAAACTGGTATACATGTAACGTTCTTGAAAGTCAAGAGTAGTGCAGTACACAATTGGTTTCTTCCTCTAGATTGTGCTTTGCAAATAGCTTGTGGAAGAGCTTTGCAACATCGCTTGCTCATTTCACAATTGGTTCTGTCTATGGAATTTGCAGTTCCCTACCTCTGCTTCAAAGTTTGTTAAGCCAGAAACGTGAGCTACTAAATCCTTTCGGATATTCCCCGAGTTGAAATCCATGAATTCCTCATAAAAACTGCAAAAATTCTGGTGAAAAAATGGCTTATTTGTTTGGTTTTCTGCTTCTTTTTCTTTTCAAATATAATAAGGTTACTAAATCTTCTAGATTGATGCATTGTTTTGCTTATTCAGATTTGTTTTCAGACCCGTGAGGCCGAACAAAACTCAAGAAGTTATCCTCTAAGAGAGGAGCAGAGGCGAAAGAAAACGAACAAGTTTCATAATGGTTCAGAAGCTTGAACTGATCAGAGGTGGAGGAGGATCAATAAAAATAGGAGCAACAGGAACAGTCGCAACTCTAATGACTCGAGAGCTAGACTCCATGAAACAGCCTTCTCCTCAGACTCCCACATCGAGACCCATTAGAACAACAATCCCTGTCTCAGTAGACTGTGGCACATCTTCTTCCACTCCAAGAAGACAGAAAGCAAGAAAATCATCAGACGAAGCTAGCAGCAGCAGCAACAACAACAATGTTAGAACACCAAAGGGTCACAATGCCAGAAGCAGTCATCAGCTTCCAGTGATTGGCTCTGATAATCTTAGAACACCAAAGGGTCACAATAACAAAAGCACTCATCAGCTTCCAATGCTTGGCTCTGATAATGTATCGTTGCAAGGAACCCCGAGAAGAGAGAAGAGAATGAACATTGTGGATATTGTGGATGTGAAATGTGGGAATCCAGATCGAGCTTGGGCTAATCCGATAACCAGTAGACTCAAGAAGCTTGGCTTCTCTAAACTCAATGAGAGCATTGTTTAAAAGCTCTGCAAACTTTGCCTTATACTCTGGCACATGCGGTTTGAATATCGGGTATGAATTGTAATCTCTCTTTGTCATAATGTAATCTCTCTTTGTCAAACCAACAATGTAATTGCAAACGGGGCTTTTGGTCATTAGTTTTGGAATCTTTCTTCATCCCAATACATAAAGGCAGATGCTTTGCTCGGAAAATTCCTAAGAGACTAAACCATTAAAGTTTTTTTAAAATTCGATTCTCCTTTCACAAGCTAAAAGAAAGAAACAATTATGCCCTTCGAGAACGATTTTGTCAACCTTGGAATATCTTTTCCTTCACCAACACATAAAGGTAGAGTAGTAAATTGATTTAAAAACAAAACAAAAACAAGAACGGATAAATATGTTGCTACGCATTTCCACTTCCATTAAGTACTAATTGAATTTTTGTGACAATAAAAATAACTTTGATCTTCTTTTGGTTCTTATGCCATTTGATCTTGAAGAATTGGGATAGATGACCCTTTTTATTCCAAGCAATTTAAAATTTAGAAGATGCTGTCTAGCAAACTATCTCTTGCTTTTTACATTTAGTGGAGGAAGGAGGAAATAGTTTTCCATATTTTTCGATTTATTGGTTAAAGTAATGAAAAATATCTTTTTTCCATCTATTTTATCTTCTCTGTTGAGTATTTTTTTGAAAATCAGATCACTATGATAGATACGTAATAGACAAACTATATTTGAGTGGGTGATGTATATGTTTTAAACGAAGAGTAGATGAAACCGAGCTTTCGAAGACTATGTAGAGAATTAGTTTGAAAAGTCGAAGTCTAGCCACGTAAAAGACATTGGCATTCTCTTTGTCCTTTAACATTTCCGATTATGATGTAAGAAAAAAAAAGTTTTTACAAAAACACAATAAAATATAGTAGAAGAAATTAAATAGATTTGGTTAGTTAGGACCAGCCACATCATTGAACTTGAATGTTCGGTAACAAACACCTATCATCATCATGAGTTTCATAAGTTGTTCAAGTCTCTTTTGATGTGCATCCACGTGGTCCAACACATCAACTGGTTCTTTAATTTATTTTTATTTATTGAAGTACCTTTTAAAGTTATTATATTTTAAATTCCCTTCGTTAGTGAACAAACTTGCCAAAATGGTGATAATGCTGATGACAAAAAAACTTGCCAAAATGGTAACCAAAACATAACCTTTGTAATGCAGGTTTTTTTTCAGCTTTGTAGCCAGTTTAGAGAGGTTTTATACCGAGGTTTTGGTTTAAGAGGTTTTATACCGAACAGTGGATTGGAGTTTTTAGGGTTTAGGTTGTGATTTTATGTTTTTATAGGCTCGTATCTTATACAAATTAAGATATTATTTGTGTGGTATTGTGTTAATAAATCCTTTAGGGTTTAGGGTAAATATGTATCAGTCTAAGTGATATAAACGAAAACTTGTAAGGTCATGATTCAGTGGATATTATTTATTAGTTCAATTTGTCTCGTTCTATCAATAATTAATTTGTATTAAAAAAAACAATTGTTATCACTTTTTTAGATTCTATCATAAAATAGAGAATACTTAGTTATTGTGTGATGTTAAGACTCCACCAACAAAGAAATAACTAGCCTAATATCATCAACCAACTCCATTACAATAAACATATATATACTTCAAAAAATTCAAAATTGTAGGAAAATATATATTTTTGTCGTAAATGTGTGTTGTATTGTGATTTAGAATAAAAAATATAATAAATAGGCTGGTTCTAGTGATTAGTCCATTATCTGTATGTTTATAAAATATCATTACATCCGTATGGGACTCTTTGTAGACTACGCGTAATTGACTAAACAATTATAATATTTTACTTTTTTAACTATCATCTAGACGAAGTTTCTGATTGAAGATAAAGATTCCATGCCGACAACAACAAACATATATTTTTTTTAAACAGAGCTAACGTCTAAGAAAATCATCTAATGTCTATTTTCTTACGAAAAACGCCAAAAATACAAAAGCTTTAATTTATATTTTTTCGTCGACAAGCATTAATATATTATGGTTGAGAAATTACTACGCTCGAATTTTAGTTTTTTTTTTATAAAAAAAAACGAAAACTGTAATACTTTAATATGTACATTGACGTATAATAAACTTGAAAAATAAAATGTAGTTAAATGGAAATATTGTTGAAAGATAACTAAAGTCTAAAAGTGTTACAAAAGAAGAAACAAGAGGGACAAGCCAACGAGTTATTCCTTTGAGCGTGTGTTTTAAAATGCCTATAGGAACTGCATAGCTATGCCATTTATATTTATCTAATCATATTAATTTTGATTCTATTGATTTTTGATAGTCTAGTTTTTTCTTACATATTGATTGATGTGGCTGAATTCAACATTTGTTCATAAACGATATGCATCTAAACATAAATGTTAACACGATTCACAGTTGAAAGTAAAATTCATGAATACGTTCTCATTCCTTCATATTAAAACATAAAGTATTGGATATGCGTGACATAGATCCAACATAGATCCAACCAACGGGAACTACATTTACTTACATCATTTTTTTTCTTACTCAATGCTTATATCATTCTTTAAGAAACTACTTTTGAAAAAGACAATAAAAAGATGGACATTTTTTTTTTGTTTCCTTCAACAAAACGCTTCTCAAGATTCTCGTGCTTTGTGTTTCAAATGGATTTACTATTTAGATACGGTTTTCTCCTCTTCATTTCCAACAGTCAATTGCTATAGTTACTCCATTTATAATTGATAAGGTGTATACCATATTTGATTAATATGAATTATACCTTAGTTTTCGTATAATCGTATTATTCCCATATTTACTTAGGCATAATCGAATAAGAGAATTCCATAGGAAATTATTAAAATATAGATGATAATAATCAAATAAGTACAAACGATAGGAGCAGAATACTCTCAATAAATTTAGATGAATAATCAAATGTTGACAAAAAGGAAAGAAAAAAACAAGGATAATCAAATGATAACTAGTGCGCAGTGACACGTACACTTGGGGTTTACTCCATGGGAAGATAATAAGCTCATTAATTGACCATATTATCCTTCCATAGCAAAATGCCAAGAACTAGCCAAAGGCTTAACTAGGGACATTCTCGGTATTTCGTTAGACGACCGGTCAACCACCAATCCATATAACTGATAACTTCCATTTACACAGTATCAGCAAACGAAGAGACCAACATTTAGAAAAAGAAAGAAAAAAGTGATACAAACAGCAAAGTATGTGAGATTGTGAAACGCCAAAAGCTCATACTTCTTTCTGTTTTCTATGGCCGAGAAAATCAATGAGATCGCCGGAAAGATCACACCTCTCTGCCGGAAAATGGTTCACGTGGACGTTAAATGGAGAATCATCGATAAAGTATCCATATTTGGAGACTTTTTTAGGTTTCTATGGAGAAAAATCGTATCTTGCTCAAGTATCAATGAAAAACCTATTATTTACCGGCGAATCGTTCATCGGATTTCTTCTACCGCCGGCGAGATCTTCGACGGAGACGAAACCGAATACGAACCTACTGTTTCCAGTAGAGGGTTCGGTTCAAGTTCAGATTCAGATTTGGTTAGTCTCAAGATCAGCATATTAGGCGATTGTCAAACAGGGAAGACTACTTTTGTAGTAAGTATAATGAAACTTGTGTTTATAATAATTAACGTTTGATTATATTACCTTCTTATAGATTAATTATTCTTATATAGATCAAATATGTGGGAGATGAGAATCAAGGGTTCTTGGAGATGACGGGTTTAAATTTGATGGACAAAACGTTTTACGTTCAAGGAGTAACGATTACGTTTAGCATTTGGGATGTAGGAGGTGAGTCAAATTTATATTAATTAATCAAAGAAAGTTTTATATTAACCATGGTTGGTGATTAGAGTCTGTTGGCAATTACTTTGTTAATTTGGAGATTTTATAAATTATTATTGCAGGTGATGAAAAGAGGTCAAAAGATCATATACCGATTGCTTGTAAAGATTCAGTAGCTATCTTATTTATGTTTGATCTAACCAGCCGATCTACTCTTAACAGGTTTTGAAATTTCTTTCTTCTTTTTTGTCTTTTCTTGATATTTCTCATCGTTCAAAGGGAAAAAAGAAAATCTGATTTCTTTAACTCGTCAACTTTTTTTTTTTTTTTGGCAGTGTCTTTGGGTGGTATAGCCAGGCAAGAAAATGGAACACGGTACGTTAATCTAGGTTTTAAATAATAAAATAATACAATCACATCAATCAAACTTTTTTAGATGAGATTTTTGGTCTATCTATTTCTCTATTTCTGTTTTTGGATGATTTTTTTTTCCTTACATTAGTTGTTTAATTCAGAAAGTAAAGAAACCAAATTCAATTTGAGTTGTTCCATACATTTTCCAACTCAAGTTAGATTCGATTTAAAAACAAAATGTATAAGGGGTATCATTTCTTTTCCATTTCTAGGCGTTAAACTATTTTGGATGCATAAGAGCAGGTCCATTGGTGAACCCCTCTTAAAGGAGTTCATCAAAGTTCATCAGATATTAATTTTTTTTTCTTTTTTTTTTTAATTCAAAAATTAGAAAAAAACCTTCACCCAATAACATTTTATCACTTGGACGAATCGGGAATCTTCAGGGTTGCCGTGATGAACCGATCCTTCCCATATAAGCATTATTTCTTTTTTTTTAATCAAAATTGTCTATGAACTCGAGCCGAACTCTTACTCCAATCTCCAATGGACATGCTCTAAAATTTTGTTATACTGTTTCGGTTTAGTTTCGGTTAAACCATATACTAGGACAACCAATTTTTCTTAATTATTGAACGCTTAATACTTTAAAATACAGTTATAATTTATTAACAAAAAATGCATGTGTATTAACATATGTTTTGGAATCTGATTCCAACAAAATACTTTTCTCAAATCATTTGATAATATTTGTATTTTCTTTGATCAGACGGCAATTCCGATTCTAATAGGAACAAAATTCGATGATTTCGTTCGGCTCCCACCAAATCTACAGTGGACCATTGTCACTCAGGTATACCAATCATACAACTTACTCATAACTTCTTATCAATTGTTCATTATATTTTACGTTTCCATGATGAATTCAAGAATTAAAAGTTTGGTGATAATTTGGTTTAAATTTGGTAAATATGAAATAACTAGGCAAGAGCTTACGCGAAGGTGATGAAGGCGTCATTGTTCTTTTCAAGTGCGACACACAACATTAATGTGAACAAGATCTTCAAATTCATTTTGGCTAAACTTTTTAATTTGCCTTGGAAGATTGACAGAAATTTGACCTTAGGTGAACCCATTATCGACTACGATTCCTAATTTTACTTCTTTTGTTTTTGCTGCTTACTTATTTTAGTTATCCTATTTATCCCTTTTGTATAGTTGAGAGAAAATAGCGTTAGCTTTGCGTATTTTCATGTCGATTGTAAAATATATACGTAAATATATACGTATAGTTATAGTGGCAAGACTACAAAGACAAAACTGATGTGTAGTATAAAACTCAACATTTGCTCAAACGTATACAAATTCTAATGCATAGATACAATATATTGACCATTGCATTTATAAAGTATAAAAAAACCGTAAAAGACAAAACTCCTCCTCTCGTGTCTGTTTTGTTGTTCGGTAAGGGAAAAAATGAAAACAAAAAATAAAAATAAAGAAAAAATAATCTGAAGTAAAAACTATTATTTCAACGGCTCTAACTGAATTTCCATCCTCCCTCCTCCATTTCTATCTTCTTCATCATCTTTATCTCTGAAACCTCCTCTCGAGTCTATCAGATCAATCGAATCATCTTCTTCAACATTCCCTAAAACCCAATTTCCTCTGCTGAGACTCCTCGCTCTTCTTCTTCCTCGTTCCCTATACTCCAAATACGCAACAGTGACCACACCTAAAAAGACCCATAACCCGAGGGCAAGGTTAAGCCCGTCAACGTTCTCCGCTCCATTACGTTCTCCCAAATGTTTCATCCCCGTGAAAAGCGCGATAACTCCAATCACAACAGCTGACTGACCAACGATCGAATGAGAATACTCCCATATCAATCGCTTCGAAGAGATCACTTCTCCTTGAGCAGGTTTCGCAGGCCTTAGCCAAGCGTTCACAGGCTGAGCACAAGCCAAAACTATGGCTGTGAAACCAAACTTGACGTGCGATGAACCGAAGCTGAAACCATTAAGCTCAGCTACTGCAAAGAGAAGGCCAAGGAAGACAATGGCTAGTCCTGAACATTGAAGATACATATGAATCTTGAACCAGCCATCGCCTTTAATGTGTTTCAAGTATCTTGCCGATAATATCCCTCCGGGAAGCAAGATTCCCCAAGCGAGGAACATCATGAACCCATGAACACCCAAGACCGGTCTGAGATCTTGTTCCGCTTCTGCGGATCCACGTGTTAACATAACACGGACAGGTCTCTGACTTGTAACAGAGTGCATGTTTCTCTCAGTTAACTGACCATCTGTCCATTTAGCACCCATTGCCCAAATCACTTTAAGAGGAGTCGTGGGATCGATCATGTTCTTACACTCGGGTCTATCTCGATGACTACATGACGACGGTTTCAAGGGACGTGTAAACTCCAGCGTGATGATTCCTTCTTCGGATTTGCATCTCACGTATGTCATGTTTTCGTTTGTGGGATGCACAGAGGAAGCGGATTCTCCATCGATCCAGTAAGTATTTACATGCCCTGTTCCGTTTCTATCGAACCAACCAACGTAAGCAAAACTGTTTGCCATTTCGCTACCGAAACCAATCGCAAGATACCCGCTTTTCTTCTCGCCACGAGCTGCAATCGATATTGAATCACCTACTATGGTCCAAAAGAACTTAACTTGCTGATCATCTAGATTAACACTGTTGTTGTACATATCGGAAAGTCCACCGTCCACAACCTGCACTTTCCAACCCATTTTCTCTTGAAAAATCGAGTGGTAATAGAGTTGGTCAGGTGTGTTTCTATTAGGAGCCCAAACCAGCTCTAAAGGACTCGCCACTACTCCATGAGTTTCTTGCCCACCTGCATAGATCGTCTCAGTTCTGTTCCTTAGAGAAGCATTCCCACCGAGAAAATCCGAAGTTATGTAGAAAGAAACGTCGTGTCCTGCTTCTATTGAGAACTTCACAGGAACCCCTCTTTCAACTCTCAACACAGGAGCTTCTTTCTTGTTAATGTACAGCACCTTGGAAGGGTTTGGAGGGTTCGGATAATGCACAGATGGTCCAGCCGTGACAACGAGAGGCGCGTTTGCATCAGCGATGATCACACCTTGATCATACTTATTGTCTGCATCCAATGGTCCAAAACATTCATCCACATGATCCGAAAGATTAAGCGAGAAATGGCCGTAGTTTTCTGACTCCACACCACCGTGATTCTCTGGGAGATAGTAAGGATTTATAACATCTGGTGGCTTAATCACCCCAAGTGCCCAAATAACTGTTAGGCTTTCATTTGGATTCACAGGAAAATCAAACTTATTATCACTATCATTCAACGGTCTCCTATACCTAACAAACGAAACTCCATCTATCCTATGCCCGTAAACAAGTTTAGTGTTATTCACCGAAGTACCAACTGCATCTGGTCCTTCATAAACAGTGTCAGGACAAACCCCGGAAGCAAAACCGTCCTTCACAGAGCACACACTCGACTTCGTGATGTAGAAATCATCAGCAAAAGGGAAGCCATCCTCTCTAATCCCGGTGACCACAACATCAGCATTCAACATCAAGTTCGAGGTAGAGTTCGGTTTAGCCCAACCAAACGCCATGTAGTTCAGTAAACCAGTTGTAGCCTCTAGACCAATATCTACATAACCTTCCTCTGCTTTCAAGCTCCACCTGAGCCTATACTTATCCGAAAGCTTCTTGCAGTTATCAAACATGGTAGGAGCCTTATAGGGCTCGCTGTTATTCGATTTCCCCGGAGCAACAACAACATCTTTGCTCTCTGAAGGAGAAGACGAATCTGGCTCTGTAGTATTAGAGAGCAGAACATGCCCAAAATCAGAAGCAGTAGGTAAATCCCAAACCGAAACCACACCTAACTTATCCCATGTAACATTACCCAGCAAATGGACAAGGAAAGATTCGTTGTTGAATGTTTGGTTAAGCTTGTGATCAGAGATCACGAAGCCATTATCAGTCATATTCTCGAAATCAGAATTCATCGCACCCCACCAATGAACATCGGCGCCAGATAGCATATCGAAACGAGAAACCCTAAACGAACAATCATCAACGACGGTGAAAACCCCTCGAAGCTGGTGTTGAAACATCTTGAACTCAGACTCGAAACCGATCAATGAGCTCGAATTTGAGCACCCTTGTCCATTTGCGAACAAGAGGAAGAAACCCAACACGAGAGACCCTAGAAAAACGGGTCCTTGGTCGCACATGGTTGGGTTAATTTTCACTCAGAAATACAACCAAACCCAGATCTGCAAACACAGCATATAGATCAACTCGCCGTGGCTTCTGATCTGAAATCAAACGAAGCAGATCACAATCGCGATCAAACTCTAACCAATTCGGGTGTAATTAGCAGAATCAGACGAGAAGTGAAGATTACCTCAGATTTGCTACACAGATCTTCGAGCACATGAATGGGTCCCGTAGATTCGAGGCAAAGATCCGTGCTTTCGAGAGAAATGATCGATTTCAATCTGAGAGAGGTTTCGCGGGATTAACTTTTCCCGCACCAGATTTCGTTTTTAACCGAAACAACTTTTAAGGATCTTTCTCGCTAATATGCCTTTCGCTTGTAGAAGAGACGGCAACGCTTATGAGTTAAGAAGCTAATTAAAAGATTTTAAATTTGGCTAAATGTCACTATAGATTTTGTGATATTTCGAGTAACAAATATGGACATTTCTTTACTTTATAACTTTTGGTTAACGACTTCGGCTCTGGTTAACGTACATATACAGCAAAGTTATAATTATCAATCGGAATCAATCTTTAATAAAAGTTATTTTTCGTGATTATGTGACTTCTTTACGCGACACTGATTTAATTCGTTCCATTTCTTTTACAAACTACATACGTTTCTATTTATATACTTTTGTTCTGTTTCATTCTTCACTTCTTGTTTCCATGATTTTGCATACTCAAGTTTTTTAAGCTTGCCACTACTGCACTCTTTGGTTATTAGGTTGTATTTATTTTGGTCTCCTTAGGTTTTAGTCGTAGCTTTGATTTATTACTAGAATTAGAGGAGTCATCATACTAGGATTTTGGTTGCACAAAACAAAAGAGTTTAGGATTGAACCATATAGCTGATTTTTGTTTAATCTGCTAAGTCGATATAATCGACTTTGCCGGGGTAATTTACACACGTGTTGAGATATTTGGTGACAAGTGTGTAAGATTTGGTGCTAGGCAGTCCACAACTCGATTGAAAACTCTATGGTTGAATTATATCAAACCCTTGACGAATCAACTCGAGTTTTTAAAGAAAAACTTTAATCGAGGGCCATAAATTTGATGCTTAACCGCTAAAACGACCTACTTTGCATTGGTCTCAAACACCACATAGGCACATAGGTAAAATCTAGTTCCTTCACATACTACTTTTTTTACCAATGTTTCTACACACACACACTCCAATGCCTATTTAAGCTTTGCACTTATGTAGACATGATGGTTGAGTGGGAATGCATATGGTACCAGTACTACACTGGCTCAAAAAGTATTTTAACCAATGAAGCCCAAAACTCATTTACATATGAAATCTTAGTAAAATAACAATAACTTTAAAATGACTACATGAAAGAGATGATCACCAAACAAGAGCTTCATGCAGACGTTTTCGGAGCCTGATCCCTAGAACAACAAATCTTCTTCAACACCACAACTAGGGTTATGATGATCAGTACCACGAAACTTGCACATGTTGCAATGAGAGTATTATATACTGATCTGTTCATCTCTACCTTTCAACAATGAAGAAGCTTGAATTAGATATATAGAAGATATTGGAGCACTTACCGTGATTGAAAATCAAAGGTAATCAAGGTAATTTTGAATAAGGTAAGCAAATTTCTTACCAGTAGAGGCAATGGCAACTCCAGAATTTATGTTTATTCATTATTGGGAGCACACATTTTTTATAAATCTTTTTTAAATTATATATATATATATATATACAGAATCTCTTGAATTTTCTTAAAACAATCTATAAAAAATATTTTCATAATATATCATTGTATAGTATTTTTAGTCTTAAGGGAAAGATGATATTATAATGTGTTAATAAAAATGTTATATAAGTCATTTTTTATATAATATCTAATACATCTAGATAAACGTAGATTGTGTCTAAAAAATACATGATATGTTTTTAATTATCAAAGGAAAAATATACATTTGGAGGGAATAAAAACTTAAAAAATAAAATTTCATCTAAAATCATATAGAAAAAGAACAACAAAATATAATTAAATCAGAACAGTGCAAAGTTTAGTAGATTGAGTAGGAAATATGGAGCTACTTAAGAAAATTATATTTAGAAAAAACAACAACAAAAAAGTATAATGGAGATATTATGGGATTTACGTGGAACTAATGGGGGCACTATAATTTTACCAAGTAAATTACCATTTCTTTCACATAATTACAGACAAATATTTTGTTTTTTTATAAAAAAAACAAATTTAACTGCGGCAAGTGCAATCCTTTTCTCCATAGATCCGCCCCTGGGTGGAGGTGAGATTTCTGCTCATCGTTGTGTTTGTTACAAAGTTTTGACGTTTCACTACTGGAAGTTGCAATGAAATTTACATATCCTGATCCGTCTTTCATCATATCTTCTACAGTTCTACACCTTTTAAAAATTATGAGGAAGCCTGAACTAGACGTTGCATTCAATTCTCTTTAATAATAGTTCAATGAAAATTTTGATTCAAATCTACAAACATCGCGTTAGAGCTTCTCTAACCATAACATTATAAATTACATTATATTTAGTGTGATTTCAATACTAAAGTTATTTTCATCTCTAACCACAGTACCAAATATTAGGGCTGGTTATTATCCGATATCCGGTCTCCGGTCTCCGATCCGATATCCGATCATATCCGATCCGTAAAAATCGAATATCCGTGTAGTTCAGATCTGGATTCGGATAGTGAATTTAAGTATTTGGTTACTTCGGATACGGATCCAGATAATAAAAAAATTTGAAATCAGATATTTGTTTATCCGTTTATTAAGTATTTATTTATTTTGATAATATTTTTTCATTTCTAAAAAATAACTTTAAAAGTCTGTCTTCAAATTAACATTTTTGTTTTAATTATGTTCGAAAATTGTTTTTGGTTTAACTCCTTTACATATGATTAAAATTCATATTGCATGATAATTTTTTATTTCGGATTGTGAGAGAAGAACATGAAAATGGATAACACATGGATATGAAGATAAATTAACTTTTCTATTACTATTTTCTCTTTTGCTATGTAAACTTTTAAATTTTGTGTTATTTGAATGCTACTTGAATGCTTTTTAATTTTTGGTATTTGTAATTTTTGCTATAATGATATATTTTAATTATATATATATATATATATTATCTCGTTATAATTTTTAAAAATTGAAAATTTTTTTAATCAACGAAACTGGATATCCATAAATATTCGGTTCAAATCAAATATCCGGAGACCGGATATCCGGAGTTTTCGGATCCGGATCCGGATAATAAAATTGATTATCCGGTGAATCCGGATCCGGATCCGGATATCTTAAAAGTCCGGATATCCGGCTCCGTTCCAGCTCACATCAAAAAGAAATTTTCTTAATATTATATTAATTAAAAAAATCTCTTTAATATTTAATTTATATTTAATTAATTATTTATTTTAAAAATAAAATAAATGAATAGTGTTTGGTATTGTTAATAGTGTCATACCAAATTTGGTGAGATAGTATTCACAACACTATATTTGATGTTAGATTTGGAGTTTCATTGAGAGTTTTGGTATAAAATCAATCCCATTGGAGATGCCTTTAGGCCCCAAAAACACTTTGATTAACAAAACTATAGAAGTGTCCAAGTAAAATCACGTGTTACTAAATCACTGATTTTAATATCCTTTGTAAAACTTATATGTTATTGATTTTATGATCTTTAAATCTTAGTTAACCTTTATCAAAATTATGGTTTTATGATTTTTAAATCCTAGTTAAGAAAGTGTTATTGAATACTAAGGATTTACGTATAGATTTGATTTTGCAGTGGATTTTAGTGGATTAGAAGGATTTCCAGGTTAAAATACAAAATTATAAATCCAAAAAAAACATACAGATTTATATTAATTGAAATCCACATGTTATTATATTTATAAAACAATGAATTTTAATTAATTAGGATTTTGATAAAGGTAACACTTAGTATTGATAGATCCTGTATATAGAGGGGAAAAGGGAAACATATAATTAGGCGTCATTGGACCATTTGTAAGTGACTTTTGGCTATGGGAGAGAGAGGGACTATAACAAACCCTAGATTGTTTTTGTACATTTCATCGAGTAACATGAGATTTGATCTTGACTCTTATCACTAACATATTTCAGGTTTGGCATTTTTTGATTCATGTTTTTATACGGTCTTATTTTTGTATAAGCCATTTGAGCAGAAATAATTAACTTGTTGATATTACAATACAATGTAACTATTATTCAAGACGTGTGACCGGCAGTCGGCAGGTCAGTCTCCGAGCTATTGTAACATTAATGTTAAACCATTTGGATTTGCAAATGACAAACAAATAATTAAAAGCTTCAACAAATTGAAAGCACAAGATATATTCTTATTTGCAAATGATGCAAGGCCAAATGCATCTGTTGATGATGCCAAATAACACAAATACTATATGGAGAAAATGCAACTCGTGAACGAGGCAAAGTGTATACCAATTAATAAAAGTCAAAGACGCACCGAAAATAACAGAAGGAAAATGACTAGATTTAAGTAGAAACTGTAAGTGAATTTTATAAATACATATTCATAGTACACAGTATTGTGTTCAACAAAACGAACTAAAAATTAAATCAATCCGGAAAAACTATAAATTCCAAATATAAATGAAATATCAAATTTCGACCAAAAAAAAAAAATGAAAGATCAAATTGTTTATAATATCATTTAGATATTACTCAATAATACATTTATTATTATCTTTGGTTCAGATTGATGACCAAGTCCTCATTTTTTCCTGAGGCTATTATTCATAAAACAAACAAACTTAACTGGATCCAAACGGGAACATCCATCCTTAAAGTTAATAAACCAAACACAACACCATCACTGATTAAATGGGACAATCTAATCCCATTAGTGAAGAGTCCTGAAAAGATGACCTTTTCAAGAATTATGCCCAAGAAACCTGAACATGCTCCGAAATTCGCTGCAACATTTCGGCTCCTTCATATGCATACATTTTTTGACTTTCGTCCAACCCATTGGACACGAAAATCTCGACCTTTTCCAATACAGGTCCAGAGCCAAGCCCACTCCCGGAGCGAATCAGATACTTGAGCACATTTAGCTCGTTCGGGCCACACTTAAAGTTCTTAACCACCACGGTTTTAAGTGTCTTCCTCATACAATTGTATGTTATGTTATACAGCCAATATACTCGCGGATCAGAACCCTCATATGATGTAAATCTCTGAGAAATATGAAATCATTAATTGTCGTGTGGTTTAATAATTTGAAGAGATCCATATAGATTCACTTTTGAGGATATATAATTATATACATTAAAAAAATAACAAAAAAACTTACCGTGATGGGGCTTGGAGGAAGCATTTCAAAAGTTAGGGATTCCAAGTCCGGGCAATTCTTGAGAAAGAGCCTAATTCCATGGAACTCCCTCGGTTCTAACTTTGTTTTCAGCACTAAATGTTGTGTCTTCACGGGTCTCAGCATATGCATTGGATGGTCAGATTCGTGAATCGCCTTACACAAGAAAAGAAAAAAATAAAATACGCATGTTACTGTCAAAATTACATTCTAAACATTCTCTATATAGCCAAATTTAACCTAATATGGCTCAATTTTCACTAGGTCACTATTATCATACCGTGAATCAATAATCTTAAAATGCGTGGGTAATCGACTAGTGACTTAATAGAATTAGTTTATGGTTTAGAAAGAAATATACTCTCGTAATAGAAGTACAATATTTTGTTTAAGATAGCAAAGAGTTTGATAAAAAAACTTAACCTAGTAATTTCAAACTACTAATAGCTAACATCTATGTCTTCCACAGTTCCACATATATACTTTCTCTTCACTACGCAACAACAATTACTACCACATCACAAATATATAGTTCAAGCTTTCCAAGAACCATTTAATTAAAATGAACTTATACTGAATGGCCTCATTATTGTGAAACATTATAATGTACATCTTAGACTTAGAAATACCTGAAGGAGATAAGAGCAGACTTTTAAGGTCTAGCAGATCGAAGACTATTAAGCATATCACAAAGCGCTAGTGCTTGTACGTTTTCGTCGTCCAATTCATCATCATATTCACCTAATACCCCAAAATCCAAGTGAACTTCTTTCATGTTCGTATTCATTCCCTCGAAATGAAAGCAGAAAATATCTCCGGAGTACTTGAAGATATCAACTTTAGGCAGGTTAAAGGAACAAGTAGTCCAAGGGAAGTCACAGTTCTTAAAGGCAACTTCTCTCATATTCCCAGCTATCTTCTTGAAATCAAGTCCCCAACATTCATTGATACTTAGACTCTCAAGCCCCGAAGCCTTTGATAGCAAAGGCTCGAGATTTTCCAGTCTCATATACCCAAAAGATAAGCTTTTGAAAATCCCTACGTCTTTGAACCTCAAGGGATCAAACGTTCTGCACGCCCTAACCGTCAAAGACTCTAGAGACGTTAAGTTGTAAACGCTCTCGGGAACTTCGACAGTGAGATCCAAATATTCATGCACATCACGAGTGGTCTTCCAAATAGGTTTTGAGAAATCGAGAACTAGCTTCTTGACTTGTTTTCCGACGGCGAACGCGATCAGGGACTCGATGACACTCATGTAAATAGAAGGACGAGAGATGCTAATCTCGAAACTTTCGACGTCTTGATCTTGGATTCTATCGACCCATCGACACGCATAATCAATAAATGCATGCCTAGCAGAGATCCAGGATGTTTCGTCGAGAGTAGGGTTCACGAAGTCGGATTCCTTGAAAGAAACATTAGTGGTTTGAAGACAGAGATACCTCCACCGCTTGGAGAGGACACTGGTCTTTATGCAATCCTTGAAAGGCAAGCAAGAAATGATCAGGACCAGAAGTACATCAGGTAGGTTCGAGAATCTGTCTGGTTGAGCACTCGAATCCATTGTTGTAAGAGAAATGTAGAGAGAATTTCGAAAAAGAGAAAAAATGATTTGTTTACGGATAGAATCTGATGGTTTAGACGCCACAGACAGTGTAATATATAAATTTATTTAATTATTTTTGGTAAAGAGTCTTTATATATGGCTTGTTAGGTTTTTTTCTAAACCTAGTCAATTGTGAGAGGCGCGTGGAAGATATACTTCCATAAGTGGTAGACCTCATATAGACACTTAAGAGTGTTACTCAAAAAGGAAGATGACTCATTCACAGACTGGCACCTAGTCAGATGAACAGAACATATCATCTCTCTCGTCTCAAGGCCCATGGGCTTCGACAATCTAGCAAAAATCGGGGCTCATCTTTGTGGTTTCTCAATAGAAAACTTATATGTAAGAACATGCAAAACATGGTAAAAAAAACTTACGTGGAAGAACATGAAAAATTTCTGGGGTAAAGCACCCAATCGTGTGGAATCGGTAAATCAATCGATCTTTTGAGAAACAACTGTGAAGTCAAAAGAGAAACTCGAAGATCAAAAATTCAAAATGGAGATTATTTACAGATTTGGTTTGCGACATTGTGATGACCTCATCACCTTCGAAGAGAATGTAGATCAGAGTTTAGTTGCTGGTTCCGCCATTATAATCTGCTTCCTACATTTCTCTTTAATGGCCTCCACCATCAATTATTTGACAAATTAACCATAATTCCTTGCTATATCTTTTGCATCTTAGAACCCTTCAAAAAATAGCTTTGTTTTCATAATCAATGAATTTTCAAGAACCCTACTATATATTATTTTTTTTTGTTATTTTCTTTTGAGCTTTCGATAAAGATATCTAGATTATAAGATATATGCTTTGAGCTAAGGTACATTCCCTAGATTAGTGAGACTTGATTCCGGTACCCGTATCCATAGAAAAAAATAACGTATGCTTTGAGAATATTAGATTGTTGTTGACATTAGTAACATATCTATCAACTATTTCATTTTAAGTAAAATTAATAATAAACGGTTTTTATAATATATATAAACATAGATATAATATATATAAGCAGAATTACCCTAGCACGATTTGTGTTTCTCTGCAACATGGCGGCTCCCTCACGAGTCTCCCTCATTTCATCTTTTCCCCAGCTCATTTGTCAACTCTTTCAAGCGAGCGCACACACTCAGGCCCAGTCCGAACCAAAAAGTTTAGCATATGTAGCTGGTCCAGGCTACCAGTAAATTTCTTAAACACCACAGCCTTGAGAGTCTTTATCAGACACTTGTATGAGATGTTTTGAAGCCAATATGTTTGTCGATCGATTCCACGATACGTAATAGTTTTCTGCTAAATTTCAAACTAAAATCATGAGCTTACCATGAGCTTTACTAATTATAAAAAAAGGATCTAAGAAAACATGCATGACATTAAATATTGTATTTGAAATTAGACTTTATATTTCGAAAATTAAGCTAAATTTTTAATCCTGAAAACTAAACCCTAAACTGGAATCATAAACCCTAAAATCCAAAAAATTAAATTTTAAACTTTAAAAATATTCATATAAATCTTACCGAACAAAAGCTTGAATCTGGAGGAACATAATCAAAAGTTAGTGTTTGCAAAACCGGGCAATTTTCAAGAAGGATCCTAATGCCCATAAACTCCTTAAGATGCAGCTTTGTTCTCAGCACCAAATGTTGTGCTTCCAAATCACGAAGCATAAAATCCGGATCGTGACATTCTTGAATCACACACACACATGGCTCGATCAAATTTTAGATCTACCAATACTCCCTCCGTTTCATAATAAGTATCATTCTGACACATTTCACACATATTAAGAAATTAATAAAATATACAAATATACTCTTAATTAATATACTTTTATAACATTTAATTACAAAGACTATTATCTTTAAATGATGGATAAAACAGGAAATAAGAGTAAAAAATTACATTAAAAATGCAGAATGACACTCTTTTTGAAACAAAAAATGAAATGTAAAACGACACTTATTATGAAACGGAGGGAGTATAACTTAGTAACTTAGGAGTATCATCTTCTCTACTTTTCTAAAAGATCTACACCATCAGAACTACGTATTCAACATACAGTAGAACCTCTATAAATTAATAGTCGATAAATTAATAATCACCATAAATTAATAAATTTTGTTGGTCCCAAGTCGGGCCAATGTAAAATTTCATCAAATTTGATAAAATAATAAGATATATTTTTTTTGAAACCCTTATGTAAATATATAGTCCCAACAAAAATATAAATTAATAATTATATAAATTTATACAAATATATGTAAATATAATATTATAAAATATGATTAATATGTTTAGTTGAAATCTTATTGGTTCTCATCTCTCTAATTATTATATCAGTAGCTCTTATTGATGTTTTACTATATATATTCAAAATTATGATGCTTTTTTGATGTGATAATTTATTTTTTTACCTGTAAATATATTTAAAAGTATTGTAGTGTTATCTTTAATTTTATCATCAATAATACTGATAGTAGTCATGTTTTCTTTATATAAATTTTAAACTTAAAAACATGTATATTTTTACACGGACAATCCAATATGGTGTTAAAAACTATTTTACTGCAATAGTTATGATTGTTAATTATAATCTATGTTATGAGATTTGTTAAAATATTAAAATATAACATTATTCCAAATAAATTTTTAGAAAATTATATGCTAAAAGCAAATTTTCTCTTTAAATTAATAATTATTAATTTATAAATAAATTAATATCACGATAAATTAATAAAATATTATAGTCCCAACATTATTCATTTATAGAAGTTTTACTGTATTCTTAATCCTTTACGTACGCTACAATTAGAACTATATTGTGAAAATATCATCTTTTAAAAATGATGTAGATAGCTGGTAGCGAGTGTGCATTAATTTTTTTTCAGATTACAAAGAGTGAAAGAGTGTCTTCTTAAACTACATACCTGAAGGAGATAAGGGCAAACCTTTAAGGTCTTAGCAGATCAAAGTTCGTTAAGGAGATTACAAACAATTTCTCCTTGAGCTATGTGTGACTCTGTTGGTTCATCTTCATACTCTCCCTCTACACCGAAATCCAAGTATGCTTCTTTAATCACCATGTTCACTTTCTCGAAATCAAGGCAGAAAATATGTCCCGAGTACTTGAAGATGTCTACACTTGGCAGGTCGAAGAAGCAAGACATGAGAGGAAAGTCATAGTTCTCGACAACCAATTCCTTTATTTGCCCCTCTATCATCATGGAATCAAGTTCTCAACAGTATTTGATACTTAGACTTTCGAGCAAAGGAAATTTTGATAGCGAAAATTCAACCTTTTTGAGATCACCAGTCCAGCCGACACAGAGACTTCTTAGCAGCTCCGGATTTGCGAATTTAAAGGGGTCAAACCTGCATGCGTAAATACACAGAGATTGCAAGGAGTTTTGAGTGTATACGCATACTAGTAACTCAATAATAACCTCACGCCACACAGAGTTTGAGAAATCAAGAACTAACTTTTTCACTTGTTTTGAGACTGCGAATTCGATGTACTCGATATCTGCCCCTAATCCCACTGAATCGAAGAGATGAATCTCGAAACTGTTAATGACTTGACCTTGAAATCTAGACACCCGTTGATGCATGTAGTTAACAAAAGAAATCCTAACGACTTTGTTGCAGCCAAACTTGTGCACGTACTCAGGTTCTTTGAAAGCAATACTTTTGGTTTGTGGTTTAATGGCATAGATTCCTCCAACGCTTAGAAAGAAGGCTGGTCTGAAAACATTGCTTGAAAGGCAAGTGAGAGATGATCGTAACCAAAAGTAGATTTGGTAGAAACGATAACCTGTCTGGTTGGCTACCTGAATTCCTTTCCTTAGTATGCATCTTGGTTTTTTAATCAAAATCCTGCAATGGACAGATTTCAAATCAAAACACTGAATTACTTATCTCATTTGCATCTACAGTTTTTGAAAAGAAAAAAAAAAGCAATGCCTGAATTAATCATATATAAATCAACCTTTGGATTTGATAATAAGAAACAGAGAAAAACATGGCCTAGCAAAAAAAACAATTTAAGTAAATTATTTACATGTAATAATAACATATCCTGTAACATTAAAACCAAAGAAATAAATATCATAACAAGTACATAAAAAACGATTTCTTATTTCTTAATTTATAACAAAAAGTGACCCACCTTAGATTTTTCTTCACTTATGCTTCAGGAAATTTGAAGGATGTTTCCCGAAGGAGTTTTGTTTATTATATTTTGTTAAAATATTTTTTCAGGAGTTTGGTTAGTTTGCACTATATGGTGATGTTATTAAATCCAAGCATGAGCATCTCTATACGAAGAAAAAGTAAAGCAAATCTTAATTTTGATTCAACGAATCTAAATTTTTTTTTATCATGCTAATGTTTTATATTTGCTGAGTCGCAAACAACTTTCTTTACATAGAATGAGTAATATGAGATCAATGGTAAGTTGAATCAGATTTATTGCATATTATCTACTTAAATATAAACCAAATATACTATTTGAAAAGAAAAAAAATATACTAATGTAAAGATGAGGGAAGGTGTTTGACTCTTCATTAGGAAAAATCCAATCCCATCTTATTATTCCGATCCTACCAGTTTTTTTTGTTTTTGGGTAAAAACAAATAAATGAATTTTAATTGATTACTCAATTTTATGGTCAAAATTTTGACCATTTTTTTTTGTTTTCTCTAAGAATTTATACAGAATAACCTTATTTGGGAAAGATATTCAAAGATGAGGATAAAATATATTGACCAAAATTGTTTTGTAGTTGATACCATTACTATTTTAGCACCTTCGGTTTCTTGAATTTGTAAGACTTAAAAAGAACACACACTTATCTTCAGTGACTCGATTGTCGTGATGGTAAACGCAACATGGCAAATAGACAGAGAGGTGACGATCAAAACTAGGGTCTGAAAAAAATTAAGAACTATGATCTTGAC